CGCAAAATAGTTTTTACTAATATATTTTTAAACTCGTGTTTTGTATTCCTTCCGTCCCATAATTATTGTCCAGTTTGGGTTTTCATTTTTAGTTCAAATTATACTAAAAGTGAAATCTCAAACTGGACAATAATTTTGGAACAAAGGGAGTAATGGACTTTCTACATTTATTTGCTTTTTTAGTGTATTTTTTAAGTATTTTTTATATTAAAAATATAAAAAAATATATTAAAAATATAAAAATATATGCTGAAATGAAACAATTAATAATATTTTAATTTAAAAACACCATCAAGAAAAGAAAAGGAAACAAACAAACATTTAGCTTCCCTCGTTGACTGACAGATGCATCACACTTTTTTTCTCTTTCAAATTTATAATAAAATTGATAGGGAATGTTTAAAAAATCCAAATAAATAAAAATTGACCAGTCAGATATATGGCGTATGCAGACAGGGATTTTGGGGTCGCAAATCTGAATGACACCTCAGCCAATCACAGACGTCCAGATCAACATTAAAATCTAAGAAAAAAATGGAATTAATCCAGATTTCCAATTACACGTAGGTCAAGAAAAGGGGTGTTTGTTTGTTGGTCAACTTTTACCTTCAACACAGAAATTCATTTTACTATCGGCATTGACTTATTACTTTATTACGTATCTTTAAATTGGGAAGAAATTTGGGACACCAAGAATTCGAGAACCCATTTGGTTTGCCATTCATTTGGCCTATCAATTTTTTAAAAAGGTTTCCGAGTAAAATTGGATTATATTGTAAATGCATTTGATCAAGATTAATGATTAAAAAAACCTTGAAATTAATTAAGCATATGGTTAACAGTAAAATTGCTTCTTTAAACCACTTAATATCTATATTTGTTAAATTATGACAGATAAAGAGAACTTAACAGTTAATAACAAATACTCCCTCCGTCCCATAATTATTGTCCTGTTTGAGTTTTCATTTTTAGTTCAAATTGTACTAAAAGTGAAAACCCAAACTGGACAATAATTATGGGACGGAGGGAGTATAAGCGAAAACGTGACGTTTGACTTGTAAATGTGAATTGAACCCAAGTCTTTTATGAAACTTTGATGTTGTAGAAATTTCGTCTCAATCATTTAAATATTTGGTACGTGTTTAATCTAGTAAATATATTGATATTATTATTATAATGATGTATTTAAATAATTTAATGGGTAAAAATCCAGTTCAGATAGTATAAAACGAAATATAGTTTACCTCAATAAAGTGCAATTATTGATTGGTAAAAGCATCACATGAAATGCGCTATTAGTATTAATGCGAACAGTAATACCCTGGCGTTATATACTACTTTGTTAATAAAATTGCCTAAGTTCTCTCACTCACATTTACATTGTTTCCAAAAATGACAAGTTTGATATAAATACGTCATGTACACTTGTCCTAAACTTTTCTCATGGCTGTTAGATGATGTGATAAATTGGACACCCAGTCGCTGATGTGATTAACCACTGTTGCCGATGGTGGACACCCTGCAATATGAAAAAAATAATAATAATAAAAAATAGTAAATCTCAAATCAACTATTTTTATTTAATGTCAAAAGGAAAAATCATTCAACATGGTGCTGTTTTTCAAGATAGAAAAGTAAGCTAACGTAACACGATAATTAAGGGAGACAAAGGTTGGTTGGTTGAGTAAATGGTGAAATCATTGGCCAAAAGCAAAAGAGGGGCAAACTCATTTCTTTCGATAAATAATCAGTCAGCCTCTGTAGTTTAAGGAACAAAAAAAAACTCAATTCTGGTGTTACATCAAACAATCACATGTCCCAAAATACCCCTCAGGGGTACGTGGTAATGTAGTTGGCACAATTTCCATGGAGGACGCTTTCAAGCAAATATGGAAAGACAAGAGTATAAGAAAAGGGAATCCCAAGATAAGAACACATCTTTCACTGAATTAACATTAGGAAAAGATCAAAATGTGACTTGCCCTTGTCATTCAAGTCGTCATTTTGTTGGCTTTGTTCTTGATGTGATTACCTATGTTACTAATTGATTATTCTTTTTTTCCTAATAGATTGGCAATTACTAACACAGAGAATATGTGTTTTCATTAATTTTGCAATTTAAAATATATTCACCGTTTGTTTTTCTTTTTTAATTTTTTATTTTCAACCATAAGAAATACTATCTTTGTCCCAAAATTTAGTCCACATTAAGTTTTCAGATTTATACAGTACAAATTTAAAAATCCAATATGCACTATTGCACTATTTTTTTAGGACGGGAGATAGTAACTAATAAGTGATGTTTTATTTTCAATCCGCAAGTCTTCCAGAAACCAAGAGATCTGAGGAGAAATTTCTCTCCTTACAGATATGGCGAACTGTCCATTAGTTCGTCAGTAAGTTCTTAACGGTCATCACAATATTATTATTTTTAAGAAATTAATAAAGGCAAAAAACGAGTCAATAAATTGAACATTTGGACACAACAATACGCTTAACATTGTCACTTGCCCTGAACAAAATGGAACTAATACACCTAACTAAAGTACTCCTACAACAGTATGCGGAGTTACTTTTTTTAGACAAACAATATCGCCGTGATTTGTCGTCAAACTCACAGTTTGCAGAATTTATGTAAGAAATGGTGGTACAAAGGTACCCTCCGTCCCGAAATTATTGTTCAATTTAGAGTTTTTATTTTAGTACAAATAGAACTAGAATTGAAAATCCAAACTGGACAATAATTTTAGAACAGAAGGAGTATTATTCTATTATGTTATATTAAAAAATTAATATATTACTTTTTTTTTTTGGACGGAAAATATACATGGTATGCGTCAATTTAATTAGAAGCCTAGATATGGATAAAGGGGGGTTGGTTCAACAATTAAAAACTCATCAGATTTTCCTTTTATCACGAAAACAAAAGAATAGATAGAATCATAAATCAGATTGAATGTATCAAAATCTGATGAAGCTGGTAAAAGTACTAATACCCACCAACTAATGTAACCCTAATTCAATGATCTACAAATAGTTGTTATTGATCCCACACAACAAATACGTATGTCTGTGGTTTTAATGTGCTCGACAATAAGCCACGTGTTTCCAAAAACTCTTATCTGATGATCTCATTTATGCTTTTAGACTGTATATGAATATGATCTGTTTCCCACAAAATAAAAATAAAAATGGACAAAAAATACTGCTCTTTTTCCCTTATTACTTTTTTTTAAAAAAAAAATATATAGTAAAACTATTTAGAAAACTCAATCATTAATAGTGTAGCATATACACAAACATACTACGTAAGAAGCACTAGTTATAATGCTATATATGATGCAACAATCTGTAAAATCAAAGTTATGTTTTATATTTTCAACTGTCATTTGACAATTATTTTCGTTCTCTCGATTTCTTATTCCGAATGTAATATATCCATCAAATGACAGATAAACTAACTGACAACTCGGATTGAATATCCCATACATGTTTTGATACATAAAAACTTAGTAAGAAGACGTTACAACTCGGATTGTCCACGCGATATATGTCTTGAAACAGAAACTTATCAGAAAGACGTTATCGACAGCGATAATAATGTCGAATCTTAAAAAATATTCCGTTACAAAGTGTAAATCGTAATATGAAATGTACAGACTTTTTTTTTTTTTTTAAAAAAAAATTCATTCCTCTATATGTATTACCATCCAAATAATAATAATTTACGCGGCATATGTTTTAATACAGAGTAACTTAACTAGAAGCATTATGTACTTCAATGTTGTTTTATCAGAATCCAGATGAATTGTTTGACTCATTATTATTCATGTATTACATATGTATTCCTACAATAGGAATAGATTAACAACTATATTCTTCAATATCAAAAGTTAACTCAACACTAGTAATGCGCATTTCTACAAAATCGTAAAGATGCAAAAATAGTCATGAATTTCAGAATACGCAAGTCAGAATAATATTTGACCGAAATACATATATCCTCGTCCAGAAACTAAATAGAGCCCACATGAGCCAATCCCAATTTGGCAATCAACAACATAGTCAGAGAAGCCCACATCCATCCCATTATTGTAAATAAATCCAACTAAAAGACCTGTCATGTAATAATAATAACAAGCTGAAGGCCTCCTCCTCCTCCTCCTCCTCCTCCTCCTCCTAATAACCCTAATAAAAATCCTTAATGCCAATAAAATAATAACACCTCTTTTCATCCCCCAATATACGCTACTGGGTCCACTTCTTGTCTGAATCATTTTTAGCCAATAAATATAAAAACTTCTCCATTCCCATGCCAATATCTGTGATCATCCCATCATACCCAATTGATTTGTAGTTCAAAGGATTTAGATGATGTTTAAAAAAACCATGTTTTTTCAGTTCAATAGAATAATTTGAATTATCAAAACAAAAAAAAAAAGGAGAAAAAAATGGGAAGTGAAACTACCTCAGAGGATATTTAGTAGTAGTACTAATTATCGAACCTTTTACCTTACTAAGAAAGTGGTTAGCTATGCAAATCATGTACTAACATCATCCATTTGAAGTAATAAAGAAAAATAATTGATGAAGAGAGAAGTTTTGTCTCAATAATTTTGTGGCTCGTTTTTGGACAAATTACGGAGGGGTGAACTTTTCTTAATCATGTAATAACTGAAAGAAAAAAAAAAAACACAATTCGGTACAGACAACATTAGAGTAACTTTTGACTTTTATCTCATTATTACAAACCCCCAATTTACAGATTCTATCCCCAGTAAAAAAAATCTTAGTCCTTTTTTGTCATTAACTCCAATTTTGCGCCATGAACTTTTTATTGATTATTACCCATTAATTATGGTATAGTACTGTCATAAGTGAAATTTTTTTTTATCTAAATTTGGTATCTTTTACTACCGTATTAGATCGTTCAGTCAAAATATATAACTATAATAAAACGGTTTGAATCATTGATTATATATAAATAAGATATGATTGATTAACGTTCGGTTTTCATACCCAAGACAAGTCTTAATAATCAGTCTACGGCCTCTTTTATCGTGAAAAAAAAAAAAAAACAGAGAGGATCTTACAAGGTTGGAAAAGCAAAGCCAAAGTTGGGGTTTGGGTGAAAGGGTGAGGATTTGTTGTTGTTAATAGCAGTAATGCAGGATAATAGGACAGGATTTATATTTAAATTAGTTGGGACAGAGTGTGGTTATATTAGGATAATAAAATCTATATTTTTTTAAGACTAATAATATCTAGACGAAAAGCTAGGAAGGTGGAGAGAATCTAGAAATGCCCATTTCTTTTTTTCACATTTCCTCAAAAACCCAGAACAGAAAGAAATGAATTAAAAAAATCCAGCCAAGAAATCATCACAGTAGTAAGAGAGAGAAAGGAAGTGAAGTGTAGAAAAAGCAGAGAATAAAAAGAGACCGGATGTTGACAAATTTCATGTCACTGTTCTTAGAAGGTCGTTTGTTTGTGTGAAGATTTCTTATCTGGGATCTCTCTCTTCTTCTTTCTCTGTCTTAAATTTTTAATCTTTTTTTTCCTTACAGAAAAAAAAAATAATTATGGTATAACATTTTAGCAAAAACCTTTTCTTTTTTCTTTGTTTGTTTGTCATTCTTTCCTCTTTTCCTTTTCTCTTTCTCTCTCTAATAGTATTTAGGAGAGAAAGTTTCTTTCTTTGTTGTGAGAGTAGTGGCCCCAGCAGATCGAAATCTGCAATCTTTTGTTGAGTTTGATGAGGATCTGAGCTTCTTCAATGGAGTTACTTAGCAACCCACTTTATGGTTTCTTTGTAGCTATACTTATTTTGACTTAATTATTATTGCTTTCACTGTTTTTCTATTTTTTTTTTCCCTTTTCTTTTCTTTTTTTTCCTTTCCCTTTCTGGGTTTTTGTTAGTGTCAGTCCTCCCTCAATTATCAATTTTCATGATTCTGAGGTATTAGCGGCTGCTTGATGGAGAAGTAGTAATATTGGATGATTCAATTCAAGATGGCTGCTTGAGTTGGGAAGAAGTTTTATTTCCCCCCTCAGGATGTTGGTCTAAGGTAACAATAATTATCAGTTATTATTATCATTTCGTAATTCTTTTAGCAGAAATTAAGAATTCGGATTTTACTTTCATTTGACCGAGACCCTTTTCAAAAGGAAAAAAGAAAGGTTCTTGTCTTCCAAATCTTTGTTACTTGTGATTGAGCAATGCTTTTAATGCTATTTCTATCTGTGGGTTTTGCTGTTTATTTTTCTGGGTTTTCAGAATGAAATTTTGGCATTTCCTACCATGTGCGTAAAAGGCTAATAGTTTAAAGTTTTCAGTTTTTGTCTATAACGGGTGGTTTTCCATAATTGCCTGGATCATTTGACCGATGATTTTGCATATAGGATCTACCATTATTTCTGTTTCGTTGAATCAGGTTTTCCAAAAGGGTAATTGGGGGGCTTTCTTGATGATTGCGGGATTTGTTGCCAATTGCTGTTCTTCTGTGCACTATTTTGGATTAAGAGCTCTGCTGTTGCCTTGTTGATGGTCGTTTTCTTTGCAAGTGCTGAGGTTGTGATTGTGTTTCTCGGTAAACTAGTTATTGCATTCATTAGAATGAGGATTAGTTTCTGAATGAGCTTCGAGATTGTGTTTTGTTTCAGCCTCATCATTAAAGCTCTAGTGATAAAATTCAGCTGTTAGTTGGTTTTTCGATCACTCCTTGCTGTTGTTACACAGTTGATATCTATAAGCCAATAACCATATAGAATCTCTGGGCTAATATCATTGAAAATGGTGATTCTGTTTCCCATTGTCCACCATTCTTCTGTTTGACATCGTTGCTTCTGATGTTAGTTTCTGAATATGTTATTTGATTTTAGATGAAACTTGTCATTTCCAGGGGCATAGGTATTTTGTTGCTGACTCCATTTTAATTGGAATTGGACTTTTGAATTGGAAATTTTTAAATTTTATTGGCACATATTTTAGTTTCAGACGCATAGAAATCCAGTTGATTCAAAGATATACTGTGTTCGTCGTATACTAAGGAAGTTCCCGAGTATCTGGCATGACTGTCATCTTTGAACAGTGAAGGAATGGACTGGATTGCTGTCTTTCTCTGTTTTCTTGGATTTTCTCATTCTATATAGCTTAGTTGAAATCATTGTACAAAGATACGTATCTGAAGACTATTTGAGCAGAACAGCGTATCTCCTCAGTTTGACATGATTACTAATGTCTTTCAGGGAATGTGTGTATTTAATGTTGTATTACCTCATATGAAGTTGCCTGGTCAATTCGTGACACGTGTTTGAACTATTTATGTAGGACAGTAGACAGGCATCCGAGCTCTCTTGTTTTCTTGGTTTTGCGAGCTTCGTTCAAGAATCCCTGCTATCTACCTGATAATTACAATATATGTATGTGTTCTTAAGTTCTTACTAATTATTCTGATGACTTTAGATTTACATCTATAGTGTGCACAATTAATGCTTCACATTGGGCTTTAATGTACAGATTTGTTGGGAAGTAAATAACTGCAAGCTTTTATCTAAAGGACATTGACATGCACTTAGAACGGGATAACATTCACATAGTTTTGTTTCTTTCATAGAAAGGGAAATTTTCTGTTGCATGTACGAAAAGATAGGACCGTTGAGCTTAGCATTCTAGTGGTTTTATTTGAAAAGGCCTGGTTCATTTCTTTTTCATCCACGTATGTGTCAACGCTAAATTTTAACTTACAGGTGTCCCTTTTGTGGTGATGTCTGCTATGTGTCTTTCATCTGGTTTGGCTGCTTGATTGTTTGCTTCCGCTTCCGCCTTCTTTTCATATTTTTAAACCACTTGTTTAATATAAAACTTGAGTAGTTAACGCATTTCATATTTCCGAACTGTCATAACTTCTTTTGAAAGCAGATGAGAAAACCGAACTATGCTAGCATTGGGTATAGCAGATCCCACTTGTCTCCCCTTCTCTATTCGTCATTTTGAAATGAAATGGAATCATATCAATGTGCTTTGGGTGTATGGACGTAATTTAAATCATTAGATGGAGTCATGCTCTCTTATGTTCAGTTACTTTGCCGAAAAGTTGATTCCAGTGGGAAATAAATGGCGTCACCATATTTCTTGAATTTTACTGGAATTTTTTATAATATAATATTAAAACGTACTGTAATATATTGCTACATTCTTTTGTTGTCCTTCAACAATCATACTTTGATCTGTGTTTATCTGTTGATTATCTTTCAGGACACATTTATTATGCTTTCCTCTGTTGCACATCCTGGTTGCCTCTATCTTCTGTTGCTTTAGATTAACTTCATTTTGAAATGACCTCAAAATTAGAGAGCCTTTTCTTGAAATTGTTTTTTAATCTTTCATATGAATGAGGTAAAGCTGTACCAGTGTAACTATGTCATGTTTCCTATGTCTCTATTCCAGGAATCCTTTCCTTGTTCTGAAATGTTATAAAATTGGCAGTCTCCTTGATAGTTAATGCTCTTAGGCTCTGTGCTTATTGAAGATTTTGAACAATAGCTTTGCAAGTTTCCTATGTCTCTATTCCAGGAATCTTCTCCTTGTTCTGAAATGTTATAAGAATTGGCAATCCCCTTGAAAGTAAATGTTCTTAGTCTCTGTGTTTACTTAAGATTTTGAACAATCTCTTTGCAAGTAAGTGAACAAACAAATTAACCTAGTAAACAAGAAGCAAGTAACTTTTATTTTTTATGTGAGGATCAAAGATGAACGTCCAGCTTTATTGTCGGCAGGAATGGGTACGCAAGTGCAGGGCAAGAGCTATTTTCCTAGTTATTTCTCCATGAGGGACCTTAATGAAGATTCTAACAGTAGTAGCTGGCCACTGTTTTATGGTGAGAGGACTGTAACAAATGGGCAGTATTACAATGGGTACACGCCAAGGACTATCGCAGATGCTTATCCAGGATATGATAAGGATCAATTAAAACAGAAAATGCTGGAACACGAGGCTGTCTTCAGGAATCAGGTAATGGCTTCTTGTACACTTTGTAGGAACTTTGCAATCTGCACTTTGGGACATTTAGCTTCTTTGTTAACTCAACTGATTGTATTTAGTTTGGTGTGTGCCGTTTGTTGTTGTTGCTGTTGTTTTTTTTTTTTTTTTTACTGTAGTGGATTATGTTTTTTTGTCCTTAAAATAAGAATCTTTCTATGTTCTAGGTTTATGAGCTCCACCGGCTTTACAGAATTCAGAGGGATATGATGGAAGAAATTAAGAGGACAGAATTAAACAAGAGGCAGTTGTCTATAGAGCCATCATCTTCATCAAGCTTCCTTGGTTCTCAAAAGCCATCTGAAGATGCTGGGAAATGGCATGCTTCTGGCTTCCTTTTGGCAAATTCCGGCTATGCCAGAGCCTCTGTGTCTGGTGCTGAAATAGTCAATTCTCCTTTGAGTTGTACAAAGGAAAACAATATGCCAGCTGATCGAGGTAATGCATGTATGTCAAAGGACTGTGAAGTGCTAGAAACAAGACCCTCAAAAGTGAGGAAAAAGTTGTTTGATCTTCAACTCCCTGCTGATGAATATATTGATACTGAAGAAGGTGAACAATTACATGATAGTAAGATAGCTGAAAAGTCGAGTCCTCTTCCTAATGGGAATCTTAAAACTCCACCAGGAAGGTTTGACAGTTGTTTTCCCAATGGTGAAAATGTTACTGGCCAAATAAATGCTTCAACATCCGACTCATATCTGAGAAGCAGAATGAGATTGGCTGATCTCAATGAGCCTGTTCAAGTTGATGACGCCCCAGTTCCGTTGTCTGTTGACTTTCTTGGTTATTCTGCTAATCATGGAGAAAGCAAAGGCATAAATATTTCTTCTGGATCAAATTCAGATATAATAGGCTCGCGGAAAGAAGAAACACTCAAGGCTCATCCTCTAGATCAGGCTGGAAGCTCTGGTGTTGGCTCTGTAGCCAATAAAGGCAGTGAGCGAGACTGGCTCTCTGGAATCCATGGATCAGGTATGATAACTAATAGTTGCCAAAATTATTTTCCTTCTAAAAACAATTGTGTATAGTTTCATTCTGCTTCTCCTTGATTTGATTTATATTAAATTTGGTTTGTGGTCTCAGGAGAGGGCCTGCATTCTCTATCAGGGCAGAGAAAGAATAACTTGATCCCTCCACCTCCTGGATTCCAACAAGATAAGCTGGTAGTACCTCCCCAACCTACAGAAATAAGGGTTAACAAAACTCATCAACCTATGGGAATCTTTCCGACCGATTACGTAAGGGAAGAAACATGGAGAGGAAGAACAGATCATGGTTTTGAGAACATGGATAGAGTTTTTGGTAACTCTAATGGTAACCATCTTGAATCATGCTTGAATTCTCAGGTACCCAGTTTGTATTCATATGGCAATTCCTCGGAAGTCACCAATTCTTGGTCTCACTCTGCATTATCATGGGGAAAACCAACAAGTAGCTTTTCTCAGAAGTTAAGTTCATTTCAGGCTCACCCATCATTGCAGCCGTCTTCTCTTTTGAGTAGAAGTTCAAATTCATCTGCTCAAAGTCATGGCATTTTGGCTGACAAGATGGCAGATAATGAGAATTCGAGGTTGAATCGAGGAATTGGAACTGATCTGCCACCTATGAATGGCTTTTATCATGGGTCTTCATCAGCATCTAAGGAAATCATGGGCCAGTATCCTTCAGTTGGATTGATTAATCTAAACTGCAAAGAAAGTTTTAATATGGCATCTACTCCCTATTTAAATCGTGGTACCGGGGAGTCATCAAAGAGCTGTGTGAAGCCTGCAAAAGACATGGACTTGAATGTAGTCCAATCAAAGTGTCCATCAGATGAGGTAGTTGCTTTACAGGATGTTGAGGACACTAATGAAAAATCTAATGCCGAAGATCATCTTAAAGTGTTGCCTTGGCTTAGACCAAAGCCATCTTGCAAGAGTGAGACTGTGAATGTCAGGGAGTCAAACTCCGGCTTATTTCAAGCATCTCCTAGGAAGTCATTTTGGCAGGGTGAACCTGTGAAAGATCTTAATAAAGTATTCGTCAGTGACTTTGAGGTTGGGTTGAAGAAGGAGAATGGTGAGATCCACGGTGTTAAGAAAATTTTGGGGGTATCCATATATGAAGAACCTACCGTCGTCCAGCCTTGTAAGCTTCCTGGAGAAAAAGCGGCAACAGAAGTTAAAACTAAACTAATTGATATTAACCTGGCTTGTGACGAGCAAATTGCTTCAGAAGCCTTGGCTGTTGAGGAGGCAACGGACACAAAGGTTGCTCATTTTAGAAATTACATTGATTTGAACTCCTGTATCACGGAGGATGAAGAATCAATAATTCCCTCAGTTGCAAGCACTAATAGTGTTGTGAAGCATGTGGTGGAGATAGATTTGGAAGCTCCAGTTCCAGAGACTGAAGACGATGTCTTGACTGGTGATGGGGACAAGTTGCATGAGGCATCTCTAAAATCAGCCGAATCCGAAGTGGAACAAATAAATGAAGAAGTTGTCAAGGGAGCTGCGGAAGCAATAGTTTCTATTTCGAAATCTGTTCAGCTTATTAATATTGAAGAGAATACATGTGAACCACTTGAAGATCCATTAAAAGAATGCATCTTATGGTTTGCCAATGTAGCATGTCCTGATGATAAACATGAAACCAATGGTGGCAAAGGATTATGGGGGATTGATAGTTTAGTTGTTGGCAATTGTTCTTCTGATGAGATAGATGAATTTGAGGTCATGACTTTACAGCTGCAGGAAACTAAAGAGGAGGACTACATGCCCAAGCCTTTTGTTCCAGAAGTCCCAAAAGTGGATGAGGTTGGTGCAAATGCCATAACAAATCGATCAAGAAAGGGGCAGACAAGGAGAGGAAGGCAACGGAGGGACTTTCAAAGGGACATCCTTCCTGGTCTTGCTTCTCTGTCTAGGCATGAGGTTACAGAAGACCTGCAGACATTTGGAGGGCTGATGAGAGCAACAGGCCAAAGTTGGGACGCAGGGTTAACAAGGAGGAACGGCACGAGAAATGGCCGTGCTAGGGGAAGAAGGCGAGCGGTGGTAGTTGATACCGCTGTAGCAGCAGATCCAACCCCAGCTAGTACACCTCTGATTCAACAACTTAACATTGAAGCTAGTTTGGAGGATCGAAGTCTAACAGGGTGGGGGAAGACAACTAGACGCCCTCGCCGTCAGAGATGTCCTGCAGGTAATCCAACTCCTGCTGCCCTATTAACATAATCATGGGAAAGAGGCTTTTTAGTAATTGAAGAATTTATAGAGAAGAAGAGAAGCCAGAATTAGGCCAATCTGGTTTGAGGTTGTTTTTTTTCCTTTTTTTTTTTTTTTTTTTTTTTTTTTACTTTCTTAGCCTGGGGATTGTCTTTGTAAATGTCTTGTAGTCCATAATTTGGATCCCCAACTGCCGTGTCTTTGATTTTACCAACCTTGTACTGTTGAAAATAATGGCACACCAATTTCTGGGATATATATATATGTCATTCCTTGAGAATTTGTTCACAGCAAAATCTGCATTTGATTTTGCGGGTTTACAAGTTGGAATTTCGAATTGATTTTCAGGCATTAGCCAAAACTGCACAATAGGTTTTGATGTCATTTACTCCATCCGTCCCAATTTTAAGCATCACATGCTCTTGATCCAAACTGCCTGGTTCTTGAAGAATCATCACAGCAGTAAATTCATAAGCCCTTCATTTCTTTTGAAATGTCACAAATTCATAAAGCAAACCAAGATTGAAAATCATGATAATCCCTTTTTTTTTGGCCTCCTGATTTCAAAGAAGCTGATGTACCAAGGAACCAAATGAGGACATTAATATGGTCAACGAGCTGAGATCATAACAGCCAAAAAAGAAGCACATGCTAATAAATAGTAGCACTACTCTCTTTCAATGTGTAAGATAATTATTGACACCAGGATGAGATGATAAGAGTACCGACTCTATCCTCCAATGTGCCGAATTCTAATAACAAATTAGTAGTGTTTTTTTTTGGCCTTCTCAAAATCTCACCCGTTGAGTAAGTAGTATTGTGCAGTTATTAGATAGAAATTTGACTTGTATGGTGACGTATAAATACCTCTGAGTACATGAAATATGCCCATATGATTAATTTTATAGGGTGTTAATCTCTAATACAATAATACGATTTACAGATACAAATAACCAGACACACGAAATGACACGATTAACATAACTTACATTTTTATTATATTTTTTTTCTAAAAATATCTTATGAACCATGTGGATTGTGAAATACATAGCTCAAATTGACACAAGGAAAAAAAAAAATTTACAAAAAAAATTAAAAATGAGACTGGGGGTGAAGGCACGTGCGTAGAAGGGCGCGTGGAAAGGGGAGGAAGTAGGACAAGAGAGCGTTAAAAGGGAATGAGTGAAAAGATACTCTAAGCAGTAGACACACCTCGATTTGTACGCCCTGTCTGGATGATGGCATGCCCCCCTTCTTCTGTCGGTTGTCTCTCTGACTCGACACTTTCTTTTGATCTTCTCTTTTCCCTTTACTTTTATCATTTTCTTCAGATGAAGTATTATTATATTTGGATTAAGTCTAAGATTCTGAACCTACAAATCACAACCCTCTAAAAGCCCCCAGCCCCGCCCCCCACCCCCCCAAAATACTGAATTAAAACAAAATCAACTGTTCTTTTTAACCCTCTTTTTTCTTAGGTAAATTGTCTTCAACGGTTCAACCCCTTGGAATTTATATACTTACCCTTTTTTTTTTTTCGAAAAGCGATAATCATTTTTATAAAAAGTTCAAGATTTACAATGATATAATATAATCTGCCCTCAATAACTTATCTAACCACAAAAAAACTTGTTCATCCCAACTTTATGTACACTTATTTGACCATACTAATTTGGTTAGATTGATACTAGTAGAATTCCATTCTTTTCAAATATATAGAAATTTACAAATTTCTAAAAGAAGCTTTTAGCAAAATTATATTTACTTACTAGTTGGTCAAATGTTGTATACTTACTTACTAGCTGGCCGTTTTTTTGTCCGCCCTTTTCTTTTATTTTTCATCTCAATTTGACGAGAATTCCCTCTATGAAAAACACCTTTCACGGCTAATTAAAAAGCTCAAACACAAATTTTATCCTAAAAATCTTTCTTTTTGTTGAAATATTTTTGCGTTTTATCGTGTCCATATAAATAATGCCTAGATAATATTAAAAAAAAAACTGATGGCCATTATCAACACAAATTAATTAATTTAAAAAAGCTCCACGGATACCGTTCCCGTTTGAAGTTGTACGGAGGAGTATTAAACTAGTAGATCCAAGTAGGGCCCACCCTTTGCTTCCAGCTACCAACGAATTTCCATTTCTACCCTACTACTTTAACGTCCTTAGCGGTCAACCGCCGCCATGATTAGCCCCTCCACGTCAATCTGGCGGGAACCATCTCTTCTTCTTCTTCAAGTTGCTTTCATTCTTTTTCTCTGTTCAGGGCAGAACTGGATAACACAAGGCAAATGAAGAAGGAGAATGAGAATCTTATCGGTGTTATGCAGTCAAAGATCTCTCCTGAAAACCCATCTGAAACCCAGAACCTATCTCTCTATAGCAACCAATGCTCAGGTTGAATCAAGTCTGAATTCAATCAACTCCATCTCTTCAAATCCGTATTTTTCGCTCCTGAGACTCTGCAGAACCCTTCCGTCACTGAAAAAGTTCCATGCCCTTTTGATAATTGACGGCCAAATTGGGGATGTCCTAATCAAGACTAAATTAATTGGTTTGTATGGCCTATTTGGTCAACTGAAGACTGCCCGCTTGGTGTTTGATGAAATTCCGAGCCCGGATCTTACTACCTGTAAAGCGATGATCAGATGGTACTTTATGAACGACCTCTATGATGATGTTATTGGGTTCTATTATCGTTGTATGAAGCGTTCAAATTTGTATGATAATGTTGTGTTATCCATAGTGATGAAGGCTTGTTGCGAATTGCGTGATGTTGTTGAAGGGTGCAAGGTGCATTGCCATGTGGTGAAGGTTGGGAATCCTGATAGAATTGTCTTGACTGGGCTTCTGGACATGTATGCTAAGTGCGGGGATATTGAGTCCTCGAATAAAGTGTTTGAGGGCATTGTGGACAGGAATGTGGTTTGTTGGACTTCAATGATTGTTGGTTATGTGCAGAACGGTTGTGTTGAAGAAGCACTTGTTTATTTCAATAAAATGAGGGATGGTCTGGTTGAAGGGAACGAGTATACCTTGGGTAGTTTAGTTTCTGGATGTGCTCAATTGGGATCCTTACATCAGGGTAAGTGGCTACATGGATACATAATCAAGAAGCGTATTGATTTAGGTTCTCATTTGGTTGCTGCTCTTGTAGATATGTATGTGAAGTGCAATTCATTAACTGATGCTCGGATAATTCTATCAGAATCATCAGAGGTCAATCTTATCTCTTGGACCGCAATGATTGTTGGGTATACTCAAAATGGCTGTCCATCAGATGCATTGGAGTTGTTTGTAGACAAGAAATGGGAAGCTGTTTTGCCCAATACAATTACTGTTTCAAGTGTGTTTTCAGCATGCGCGCAGCTGGGCAATGGGAAGTTTGGTGCTTCAGTTCACGGTCTTTGCATTAAACTTCGATTAGATGATGATGCCGTAACAAATGCTCTCATTCACATGTATGGTAAATGTGGTATGAGAGGAGTTGCAAATTATTTATTTCAGACTATCTTGGATAAGGATGTTGTTGCTTGGAATTCAATTATATCTATTTACTCTTCCAGTGGTTCTGCACACGAGGCAGTTGCATTGTTCCATCAAATGAGATTAGAACTTTTTCAGCCAGATGCCATAACATTAGTCTCTGTGATTACAGCTTGCGCATCCCACGGAGCTGTTGTAGTTGGTTCTTCTCTCCATGCATACTCTATTAAAGAAGGACTCTTAGCATCTACTCACGTTGGTACTGCACTCCTAAATTTGTATGCTAAATGTGGCGATGCAAAATCTGCACGTGCAGTGTTTGATGGAATCCTGGAAAAGAACTCGGTTACGTGGAATGCCATGATTGGTGGGTATGGATTACAAGGGGACTGCGAAAATTCCTTGTCATTATTGTGTGATATGATAAAGGATAGTCCGGAACCAAATGATGTCATGTTTACAGCAGTGCTTTCAGCTTGCAGCCATGCTGGAATGATTGTTGAAGGATGGAATTTTTTCACTAGCATGTGTCAAGAGTACAATTTTGTCCCATCCACGAAGCATTATGCATGCATGGTTGACCTGCTGGCTCGGGCAGGCAAACTTGATGAAGCCTTAGATTTTTTGAACAAAATGCCTATCAAGCCTGATGTTGGTTTGTTTGGAGCTTTTCTCAATGGCTGCAGTATTTACTCTAGGTTTGACTTAGGAGAGGTTGCAGTAAGGAGAATGCTAGAGTTGCATCCTCATGATGCTTGTTACTACGTGCTTATGGCCAATTTGTATGCTTCTGAGGGAAGGTGGAATCAAGCCCATCACATGAGAGATTTGATGAGGAGAAAGGGTTTGAGAAAATCCCCCGGGTTTAGTAATTTAAGTTCAGATTTTGAAGGTGACTTCTACCCTAAGAGGGTGGCATCTCTTCATTAGCAATGTTTCTGAAAGGATATATTAAGTTCATACTTAGAGAAGTAAGGTAACTTTTACTGTAGATTAGATGTCCTTTGGGTATCAATCCAGAGGCCATCTCTGCGGCAGCAAGCATGTCCTTACAGATTTGGTCCTTTGGACGATGCTTATGAATAGTCTTTGAATGTGCTGAAGTGCTTTATAGGAATAGCAGGTGCAGAGAAACATATACTTCAAACCGTACAGTTGAACATATCAAGGGCAGAGAATATATGGGGCTATACATGATGTGATTACGAATTCATTTCCATATTCGTTTCCTATTGATGGCGTTGGATTTGCAGTCATATTGCAGCTATGCCAAAGTTTTGTAGGTGGGAGCATCCAAGTAGCAGAAATGAACTTCCAAATGGATAAAGTGGTAGTAGTATTGGTGCTAGGTTCATTTGTACAGACATATACATTGACAGATAGACTACTTTGTATGTTTTATGCTTTATAAAGTTACGAAACTCACTGAAAACCCAGATTTCTGGTGCAAAAAATTGAGAGAAATTTATTGCGTGGAACTTAAAAGTGTACAAGTTTAGGATGTGATAATCACATTTTGTAACTTATAAATAGTGTACGACAGCGAGTCTCCATTGGTCTCATCAATTTAAGCTTGTCAGCTTTAAGGAAGTTTGTGTTACACTTGTTTTTTCTTCTTTCAAGAAGAAACTAAGGAGTAGAATGTTTTTAAATTTTTATTCGTAAAGACATATTTTAATTGACTTCACTGTTTTTTATATCCACAAAATGATTTGAAGCTTCCTTCCCCAGAAATTCCATTAGAGTCCCAAAGTCTGTTTTTTGGTTACGTTATTGGGCATTCATTCAATTTCCTGAATGGCTTGATTTTTCACAAGTCCTAAAAGATTTCTGATGTGATTCTCACAAGAAGTATGGCTGTGAACCTATGACAACATGATTCAACCATGAACCAACACCCTCTCGGGTTGTACAAAATGGCGGTATCCCCATGGTAGTGATCTCGGCAAGGAAATCCGCCACAAAGATGGCCCTTTCTGTGTAGAAAGAACGATCCAGTCTCGCCTTTTGAGCTCCCGAATTCCCAACAAGAAGTTTTTGTGTTGGCATGGCACACTTGAATCTTCCACTATCTGGATTACACAGTGTGTATCAAGTAAGTTTATAGCACTTTCAGGCAAATCCTTACCTTGGCGCAGCAGATCCAATAGCTGTCAATATTGTTAAAAAAGCTTGCTCAGAACTAGCTAGTCTTGCATCCTGCAATAACTCTCCTGAGAGTCAAGCAGCCGAAACATCCACTTTGCCGAAATGCATATTATCCATCAGGTTGCAGGTTTCCTTAATTTGGTTGTGACTTTATCATCTGCTCCAATCTTGATCATACTCTGACCCTGGACCTTTTGCAGACCCTTTTTTGTCATGTTTGATCTCATTGTATTAAATTCATTCCATTCTCCTCCTTCAGCATACAAGTTGGACAGTAGCGTATGGTATCCTGTATCATCTGTATGCATGTTAACAAGATTTTCCTTCATACTTTCAATTATATCCATTCTCTGGTGGATTCTACATCCATTTATGAATGCACCCCAAACACTGGCATCTACAGGGGATGGCATTGATGTGATAATTTCATAAGCTCCATGTAGATCACCGGCACGACTCAGTAGATCAACTAAACAAGCATAGTGTTCGAAGTTTGGTTCAATGCCAAAATCATTTATCATTGACTTAAAGAAAGACTTCCCTGCTTCCAAATAGCCTGCATGTCTGCAAGCAGATAAAATGTTCATGAATATAATTTCATTTGGTCTTGTTCCAGATCCAATCATTTTCCAGAAGAAAGAAATGGCAACATCAGCTTGACCGTGCACTGCGTATGCACCTATTAATATACTCCACGATACCACGCTCCTTTCAAACATGGTATCGAAAACTCGTTGCGCCATCTGAAGGTCGCCACATTTGGCATACAAGTCAACAAGAGCCGTGTCAATATACAAATCATTTCTCACACCATTTGTAATTAGCTTATGGTGAATCCATTTGCCATCTTCTATGTATCCGAGATTTGAGCAGGCCTGGATTGCACTCAAGAAGGTAATGTCATTCATCTCAATAGCATTGGAATGCATTTCATTGAAAAAAGCCAGAGCTTCCTTAGATCTTCCATTTTGAGCTAATCCACTTATGATAGCATTCCATGCTACAATCCCTTTTTGCTTAGTCATACTAAACACTCTGTGTGCCGAATCAAATAACTCACCCTTACAATACATGGCAATGAGAGAATTCTGGACAAACTCAGTTGAAATTCCCAATTTAAGAGCATAACTGTGTATTTGACATCCAAGTTCAGAAAATCCTAATTCTCCACAAGCCGATAAAATGCTGGCTAAAGTAAATGAGTCTGGTAGGCTTTGTTGTGCAAGCATTTGCTTAAAGAGCTTTGAGGCCTCATTCATCATCCCTTCTCGAGTGTAACTTGAAATGAGCATGTTCCATAGCAGCACCAGCCGGTCTTCAGTACTGTCAAAAACCCTGTGGCACTCCCTGAACTTCCCGCAACTAGCATATAGATCTACCAATGCTGGTCCAAGAAGATCATTACCAGGTTGTTCAACAGCATTTTTAATACCAAAAGCATGGACAGACTTTCCCTCATTAAGCTTGCTTAACCTTGCACATGAAAGTATAACACACATCAAGGTAACAGCATTGGGTTCTACATCACATGACTGCATCTTTAAAAATGACCTTAATGCCTCTTGATACCATCCATTTTGATGGTAGCACGAAATCATAGCCGTCCATAATGAAGTACTCCTATCAGCAGCCTGCGCGAAAATGCCCTCGGAACTGTTCAAGTCACCACATTTTGCATACATTGCAACAAGAGATGTACCCAACGCCCCATCAATAGAAATATTTCTTCTTATCACAAAACCATGAAGTGACTTCCCTTCTCTCCAGAAGCCCATCTCACCACAAGCCTCAGAGACGCTAAGCATAGTCACTTCATCCAGTTCTGAAACTTCCTTAACCATTTCACCAAAAAAATCTAGACCTTCACTGACCTGCCCATTTTTCACATAGCTAGATATGATTGAACTCAATGAAACAACATCCCGTACAGGCATATTATCAAATATCTTCCTGGCACTATCCAAACATCCCATGTCACCATACATATTCAACAACGAAGTCTCTATAACAAAATCAGACTCAAACAAACTCTTGATAATCGTTCCATGGACCTTTTCACCAAGACCCAGCTCACCAATTGCGGAGCAAGCCTTCAGAACCGGAGGAAAGATGAACCTACTCTGTTCTTTTAGTTCAAACAACATGTCATGATATAAACAAATGGAATCATCAAAAAACCCATTCCAGACATGGCATTTGATTATTACACCCCACATGAAAGAATCTGGATTTGGGAAGTTATCAAACACAATTCTTGAAGAGACAAAAGGGCCGAATTGGGCATATGATTCAATAAGCTTGGTTGCAGCAAGAGGGTCTCTATGTAGACCAGTAACAATAAGGTGGCCATGTATTTTTGTGAGCGTTCTGGAAGTTGTGCAGGCTCTGAAAAGTCGCATGTATTGCGTCATCCTCACAAGAACTTCATGTTTGTGAAGATCACTGTCCAAGCCATGGAAACAAGCATAAAGTTTCGATCTTTACTAAGGAGCAACATATAGTAGTATGTCTTTACGGGGCTTACTCTGGACTCTGGAGTATTCAAACACTATAATTCGTGCAATATATGTGGGAAAATGCTGCCCCAAACCATGCTTAGTTGTTGGGTATTTAGGATTGAGCAGCATGATAAAGTGTCCATTTTTATTAAAGGCATGTCGTTTATATAGGTTTATGTGGATAACAGATAGTGAGATTAGTTGCTAAATATTCTCTCTATTCCAAAATAATTGTATGAAATTCCAAATTAGATAACTATTTCATAAGGAAAATTTTATATTTTATTCTTTCCGTTTCACTCTAATAAGCAACTTTGCTATTATGCTATAAAATTGATATTTTTTTTTGGCATATCCATGTTATAGACTAGAACTTTAGTACTACTTCTGTCCTAAAAAAATAGTCCACATTGAGTTTTCAAATTTATACTAAAAACAATACAAAACTCAAAATTTAATGTGAATTATTTTTGTGGGACGGAGGGGTATAATAAAGGAACAATATATCAAGACTCGAGTGTTATAAAGGGAGTATAGTGTTATAATTAGGCATTATCAAGACTCGAGTTTGCAGCACAAGTTGTTTTTGTTCTTTTGAGATGTAAAAATGCATTATCAAGACTCTATAGTGAGGACTGTTGGGCCTCAGACAGAGACACACATCCAAAAGTTTGCAACACGAGTTTTTTTTTTTTTTTTATTGGTTTTTTGAGATGTAAACATTGAATCTTGATCAGGCTAATTTTAATCAATAATTAACCCTCTAGACTGAAATTATAGTTGGTAAGTTCTTTTGGGCAATGGATTAACTATTGTTACAAACTCAGGAAAAGTTCCAAATTTACAGTTTTTCGAAAGCTGAAACCAAAATATGGAAGTAATTTGAGTAGTAGCTGCTAGGTTAAACATTTCAGAGTTATCATATCGTTCATCATATTTACATAACCAAGAAGGTAGCATACATAAATGTGTAATCCCTCCCTATCAGGAAAAAAAGGGTCTCCATTCTAAGCCCCTGAGATGTCAGTATAAATTGCTTCAGTGAAACTGCTCAAAGCTTCCTATGAGAGAAACAATATATAAGATAGCAGAATCTGTGATTGGATATCATCAAAAAGGTTGCCCTCAGCTCAAAAGCTTGGATCAGATGATCTAGACATTTTCCCCTTCCGGCTCATCCTCTGAATCATAGGGGATTTCATGGCGTGGTCTGTTGTACTTTTCCCTCAGCTGCTTGATAGGTATGAAGTCTCCGGCAGCGTCTGCCCCATAAAATAAAAATGAGGCATAGGGATGATCAAATCTTTCCTACAAAGATCACAGCAGAATTTCTTAAACTTCAGAAAGATACTAGGTTAAACAATGATGATAAACTCTTCTATTAGAAAGTAATGTTCACCATGTCCGGTTGTTCAGGAGCAAGTAAATTTTCCTCGGCAACTACAGAATGAGAAACCATAAGAAATTCAATTAGAGGTACTTGACAAAGAGAAAGGAAAGCTTAGGATGTAGTTTTACTTAAAAATGAAGGAGATTCTAACCAAAAGTACGATAAACAGTAGAAGTATAGACAGTGGAATCGAATCACTCCTATCAGTTAGAACTAAAGATTCATCGCTTACCATAGGCAACCAGCAGGTTGGGATCCATATAAACATCAACCAAGACCTGAGGAACAATATAGCATCAGTATGATATTCCATGCATGTGCCCAGAAAGCAAATGTGATAATTAAATAACAAAAATTGCTTGAGGAAAGAATGCGAACTCTGTTCGCCACACACTTGCAACAGAATTCATATTGAGACCCAATTAATAAGCATTTCCCAATTCTACAGACAAGTTTCTTGCACCGCAGATTGTATCTTACATGTTCAAGTAGATTAAATGACAAAATGCTTAATTGGATGGGTTCAAGGCTGGGGCTGATTGGGATAAATTTTAAAAGGACCAATAAGCATCATAGAAAAAGACAGCATCTTTGTAGAGAACAATTTTAAAAAGGACCAATATTTCATGACCTGATAAAATGGCTGATCAGGGCCACGACTCAACTTATCAACATTTGCCGTCTCCATCCATGTTTTTGATTCACAGCAAACTGGATCCATGCCACAAATAACTGCTCGATATCCTGGAAAAAATAAAATCAGGTCAAAATTACATAATAGGATTGATCAAGCCTTGAATAAAGCTTACTACACTGAAAGAAACAGATCGCAGAATCCCCTCGGGAACTTATCCATCCTTCTAATACAAATGTTATGTGATTTATGCCAATGTGCCGGGCCAGCCATTAAACTAGCCAATTGAACTGCCGGAACTGATTGTTTCATACTTGCAGAAAATATATGAAATTATGGTAGCAGGCTAAGAAGCCCATGATCGCCTAATCTAATCAGAAGGAAATTTTAGCTGTGAATAAACTAGATTCCAAAATATAGAAACGATTGTATTATCTTGTTATGACAAAGGCTGGTGATCTCATTTTTTGTTGCAGTGCCTTGGTGACAGATACACTAGATGTGCTATGGTTAGGTCACTACAAACAAATCGAGTAACTACAAACATAGCACACACTCTTAAAATCAATAACTAAAAAAAGAAAAGAGCAGCAAAAGAGAGAAGTTAATAAAGTCTTACCAAATGTTTTATGCCTCACTTTCTGTCCCAATCGGAACTTATACTGAATATTTTCATATGCCTGAGCTTTTACTGTAGCGGCCAATGACTCTGCCTCAAGTTTTGAAATTTCATCCCGTAATTGAGCTGCCAAGTTATAGTTTTCACTTTCAATTGCAGCCTGCTGTTCTGCTCTGCAGGATATACAAGTAACAAATTTATATTTGAATGGCATACATGCAGTATTGGAAAATTGAGAAGGCAAAATACGAGACTTATTAAACAAAATTTAAAAGTAAGTCTAGAAAAGACAAAGTGCTAGTAAAGACTTACCGTAAACGTAAGATGGTAATAGCCATGTCTTGGGCTTCACCTTTGGAAGTAGATCCCCTTTTTATTTGTTGCTGTCTTATGATTTCTTCTTCAACCTTCAAAAGTACATAATTTTAAACTCAGAGAAGTACTAAACAAACTCGAAAATACTCGAACAAATATTTTTTTTCAGCTAAGATTTATCGTGCTTCCTTTAATGATGTTCAGGAGAGGGAAAAACTGCTAAAAAAAGTTCAAGGAATATTATCGTACGGTGGTTAGGTGTTTCTTTTTGTGACAGCAAAGTTTGATGCTTTGTAGTTTTTAATCCAAAGTTTGTAATTAGAAACAAATGTACAATGGAATTATCAACCAGCAGCTAGTAAATGACAAGGGTTTTAAATAAGTAACCTCAGCAAGCTTTTCTCTTAGTTGTTTGGCAATATCATACTGATCCAGGTTCAAAGCATACTGCATAAAGAATGGAGCAAGGAAAGGTGATCACTCTTCACAGTTTCTTAATGATAAAAGCCAGACAAAAGATATTAGCAGAACCTGTACTCGGGTTCCTAAGTCCAGCTGGAAAAAGAACATCAATATATCTTCATTAGCACTCTCACTACGCTCAGAATTTGCATCCAGGCCCTGATTATTTCCTTTAAATGGCCATCCAACATTAGCTCGTACATTCCGCCACCCTTGCGGTTTAACTTGACTAATATAGGGTAAGAGTCGTTCATAATCATGCTGGAGATTTTGTCTGTGCATCCCAAACCTCAACCCTGTATCCCTCATCAGCTTGAAATGTCTCCTCCGAACAGGGACGAGGGAGCCAAAAAGACCACCATGCATGGAGGAGCTAGCAGACATACTTAGCACCATTTCTAGAAACCAACTAAACAAATACAAACCTGTTGCACACAAATGCGTCTTTTGTAAACCCTTTCCTTCAGGGAAACTACTATGTGTGCATAATCAAAATCCAAAAAATTAGACAAAAGAAAAAAACTCATCATCAACTGCATATCAAGCTTCCTGGTCTTGTGTGTTCAACAACAAAACAGTCAATGCATAGGCCATCTATCAGTTTAATCTACAACGTTCTATTTGATTCTCTTTCACTCTTTCCCTGCCTAATCAACCATGTTGAAGAATCAATTCATGAGTTAGCTAGTGAATCATCCAGCTGATACTTTTCTGACATTAGGGTCATTTAACAAACCCCATAACTTTTGACTTTTTACAAAAATTTGAGCATAACTATACACAAATAAACTGCATCATGAAACTTTAAACCAAAAAGCCCCGAGCATCCATATTCTTTATTCTTTTTTCACCAAATTTAGCAGCGATACAACAACAGCCCCTCTCTACATACTTGTCCCTAACTACGAGTGTATATCAAATTGAAACGAAAGCAGGGAATTTGTAATGGATTTTACCACATTTGAGGTGAACCCTTTTTGTATGTTTTCTCCAAAAGTTCACTTTTACGATTTAATTGCAGCAATTATGATATTTGAACATCTTAAAGGAGAATCTTGCCAAAGATAACACAAATGGAGAAGAACTACAACCAAGTTTTCACAGCTTCTAGACTTTTTTTTAGTGCAGCAAAAACAAGCAAGAACAGATAAAGAACGAAAGAAAGACCCGAATTTGATAAAGTGGGGCGCTTTACCTTATTGGCCGCAGAGCAGAGACATAAAAGAATGGAGCCCCGTCAGTGATTAACAAAATGACACTCCAAAATTCTGAATTGTGGGTACTATAGAATGGGCGCTTCGCTTCAGTTTCATCAGCTTTACTGAGCAGGAGGAAAGTAGTAATGCCAATAATCCTGGGATTAAAACAAAAAATACGTGGACGGTGGACCTCATCTTCATTCTTTTATTTGCAGTATTGCACTATTCTGTAATGGATAGATGGATTCTTTGTTTTACTGTGTGGGGGGAATTATGATTTACAAACTCAATGTGCACTATTTTTTTTTGGACGGAAGTAATATAAATTTATAAACTCAATGTGAATTATTTTTTTGGTACTGAAGGTAGTATAATTTTTCAGTTCTACAAAAACTTCACAGTAACTTTTGAGATTTTTACTATTCTTGAAATAGAGAGAGTGCCATTTTCATACAACAAAGAGAATAATTTTTTCCTATTTCTCTCAGCCTTCCTCAGTGGGGGTGGATGAAATATTTATTATACACTCTATTCGTTTCAAAAAATAAATAATTGTATAATCCCTCTTACCTTATCAAAACAGAATACAGGATGTTAATGTGGCAATTTCTTATTAAAAATCTTTGGCTCCAAATGTACTATATTGCATTAACCATTCTGCCACGTGTCATCCCTTTTTAAAAGAAAAAAAAAATTCTCATATGAAAAAACAAAAGCTACTTTACAAAAATAGTTACATAATTTTAACTCCTAACATTTATCATTTATCAATCAAATTAAAATAGCATTTAAATTTGCCCATAAACTTATTCCCTTTATTATTCCGCATTCTTTTGAATGATTTCTGTATCGTGTACTTTTCAATATTTTTTCATCTTTGGTAGATGATTTTTTTGTAAAACCACGGGATTATATTATTACCACTGTTATTGATGCAATTATTTTGTAATACAGAGGGCACAGATCACGGCCAGGTTACATCAAATCCTCTTGTAAAACCACGGGATGATCCTTTTTTCTTATTTTTCTTATGGTGAGAAGAAAATTAAAAAATTAGATTTCTGGAAAGAAATTTAGATCGAGGGTTCAAATCTCGCCATGGACATGGAGCAACTTTAAATATTTTAGGTAGCTGTTCTATCCTTGAGGTGCTTACAATTCAGCGAGGGAGATTAGTCACTGTTGCTAACAGTGGACATCCTCTAAATAAGAAAAAAAAAAACAGCCCCCATCCAAACCAAATCTAATAGAAGCCTAGTTAAAACATCAAACAATCTACATTTCTATTTTCTTTGTTAAACAGTTTAAGTGGAGAGGAATTAAAATTGAAGAGATGGTTTGGGGTTTGAAATTATTAGGCCTGAATGTTGATTTATTGGGCCCGTAGAACAGGAAGGAGGAAGATTAGAAGAAGACGTTGCGACGACAGCGAGCTCGGTGCTGAAGGAGGAAGATTCTAACCAAGATTTATTGCGTTTTTTTTTTTAAAGGAAAATTTATTACGTTATGAAAAAGAAGAATGGTGAGAATTCGAAGATGGTTTTGAATCTTCTATTTGGTTGCCTCCCGCCATTGCCAGCCAGGAGGAAACTTCAGCATGAAAGTTCAAATTTGCAGTGAAAAGAAAAAAAAAAAAAAAAGGAAAAAAAAAAAAAAGAGAGTGAAGACGGAGGAAGGGAAAGAGGAGAAAAGGAATTGAGGGGCAAAGAAGAGATATAATGATTTGGTAAATCACACCCAACAATGATAAATTAATTTTAAACCCCAATTTTGTGGACCCGACGCATTCCCAAAACTTGAACCAAGCAACAAAAAATGGAATTCAATCCTAAAATTTCATTCCAAGTATTTTATACCCATGAACCAAGCACCTTCTAAGACATCAAAGGATTTTCTGGCACATTTACAAATTATTGCCAAATAAAGTTCTTTTGTCCAAAGAATATGAAGTTACAAAGATTAGTGAAAGAAAAAAGAAATATAAATACACAGAATGTAACTACACCTGAAACACATAAATCCAGCGTAGATCAAAGGCCTAAATACTAGATTGGAAAGATGGACAGAAAGATATGTTAAGCGTGGCCCCAATGAAAGAAACCCAAAACCAAAAATAAAAAAAAAAAATCAAAGAATCACACCCATATGAACATATATAGTACAATTTTTTTCTTCTGGGCACTGGTTTTGTAGATGGAGCCTGGAGGAGCTCATGGGAGTTTATGGCCGTTGGTAAACGTATTTGGTACGAGGATCCACAATGACACCTTTCCCCCCATTTACTTCCAGATCATGCCTGCATAGACAAAGGTGATCCATAAAGTTCAAAGAATGGCTCAGTTATACAGTAGCTATTAAGGGAAAGACAGTGTGCAGAAAGATCTAAACTTGAAAAAAGACAAAATGACCACTGGTCTCATGGTGTCGAATGATCAAAGAAGGATTTCTCCTGTTTCCAGCATCTTCCATGAATAATGAATGAAGAAAGCAGAAAAAAATTCAAGAGGTACGGTGACTCAACTGGAAGACAAAGTCGGGGATGGTGAGTTGCTCTCGAGGGACGTATTTAAATAGCTGAAGAAGCCGATCTACATATACCACCTTTTTCCATGCCTGAAAATTAAGTTCCAGATCAGCTTCAGTGAGGGAAAAAAACATACCATCTCCTAAACAGGAGAAATCCAGTCCATGGAGGATTCATTTAAGGATAAAAACCATCTCCATCCATCGTGGATGAAAGAAAGTTAATAGGTAAACAAGAAATTAATCCCTTGATTATGAAATAACAGGCAAACTTCGTAAGTTGAAGCATACCACATTATCGACAAACAATTGTAGCCCGAAGATTGCTGCTTTCAGCCCCAAAGTAGGGTGGAGCACATAAATAGCCTGCAGAAAGAATCTGTCAGAAACAAAAAGTAGATTCTTTTCAAGGGAAAACACCCAAGTTGGCAAAAACGTGTGGTTAGTCAGCAAAAGTGTGCAAGTAAAAAGCAATTTCCCTCAGCATCACATACATGAAGATTGCGCTGATGCTTTCGACCTAGTATTTGCTGTAATCTCCTCATCCAGCCAAGATCCGGTTGCCTGTTTTCACCATGAAACAGTTGTACATGTAAAAACATTGGGCTAGTAATGACTGTTATGGGCATTAACAGCTTTAGGGAGCAAGTATTTCAATATGTGATGCCTGAAAATCTAATGTTAATGCCCCCTTTGGAGCCATATAGTTGGAATTATGAGAGGCATCTTGTGGTACAAATGCATGGGTTCTTACTATCCACAAGGTGTTCTACGCAAGAAATGATGAAAGGATAAGTCAGGGAGTGAAATGGAGCAAGGAAAAAGAGGAGAAGAGGAAAGGGACCCAGAACAAGCACGATGGAAAAAACACGCCAGGATTCATGCTTGGTGTAAGGTTGATGCTCGGGCTGGCCTTCACGTCTAGCCTGGTATCTGATACAGATTCATGCTCAGGCTAGTCCTCACAGCTAACTTGATGGCACCACATATAAGCCTGAGTTGGGTCTGAGGCTCAGCCCAGTGTCCATCCTGACCCAGGGCATGATTAAGCACAACCCAGAGCCCTTTCTAAGCAAAATCAGTCTCCGGCTTCCATTTTCCAAGTGCAAACTTCGTATTTTTTGCCACTTTTACCATGCCCAATACTTGTAACTAAGACCCAACAATCAAGACACTTACCATCCTAGAGATGCACAGACCTAGCCAGTTTCTTGTTGCCATTGGTCATGAAGTGAGTGTTTAAACTTGAATGTACAGTATATCCCCGACGCAACTTAAACATATTTTACATAAATAAAAGGGGAAAACATAGTAAAAAAAACAAAGAGGTGGATTTTAACCAGGAAAAAGCTGAAAATGTAAGTCTAAGCATCGCCTTTTCAATTTAATGCAATAAGAGGGGAAAACATGGTAAGAAATTAAAAACTGGATTTTAACCAGGAAAAAACAGAAAGTATAACCAGGAAAAAACTGCCAATTCAATTTAGTGATCATTAAGCAAGTCAGCATAAAATATGCATGCCAAGTTGAACAAATCACAGTAAGAAAGAATACTCACGGTTGTAAAGATGCAGCAGAGTGGAAGTAAACAATTGTATAGGGCTTCTGTATCAATGGCTCAAACTCCTGAAATGCAGCAAATAAGTTTCACTTATGGCAATATCAGGAATCAATTATTTGATATCATCCACTGGATAAATTCAGAAGCATACAAAAGACCACTTAAAGCAAACTAAACTCGGGAAAGCAAGAAAAAGTTGTTTACCTTTACAACATAAAGTATAAAACGTTCCAGATCAAGACACCTTAAGAGGAAATGAGCTCCCACAATGACCATTACTGGCCGACCCTCACTGTCAACTCCACCGCGATAACTGAGATAAAAGCATATAATTAAAGATGATAATTCAGCCCATTTTGCCAAACATGAAGTGTCTACAAGTGGATAATAGCATTGAGAGCTAGGACGAAATCTTACACAATTTTCATTTCCGCAATTTCAGATAGATTGAGAGAATTTGCTTTTGCAAGATATCTAGAATGCAGAGAATATTCTTCAGCAGCAGATAAGGGAGGTCCACCAAGATCTCCATATCCAAGCATTTTAAAACAATTCCAACCACTTTGTGCTTGTGCTGTTTTCTCCCATTGTTCTTTGCGTCGCTGATCTGGGTCCTTTATCAAGGACATAAAGGCAGGATCTAAGTATGACTCCAAATATGAAGAACTCCTGCAGAGATGGCAAATTTATAACACAAATTCACGAAGCAAAATTAAAGGAACTACATGTGTTATCAAGCTATACCATGCACGTAAGAAGCAGATGTGGTAGGGATAAATTAAAACTTTTACGGATGCTCACCTTCTTGTCAAACCAACATCACTGGTCGGAAGTTCGACAGGAGTTTGTGGAGGTTTTGGAGTAGATTTTTTCACATTGGGCAGAGGTTTTATTCTGATTTTACGTTCGTCTATAACAGTCTCACCATTTTCATCTCCAACATCAGCAGGTAGTTTCGAAATAGCTATCTCCTCTTCCTGTTTATCCCTTGGAAAGTATAGCGGAAGCAATCTGCAAGGCAAGGGATGAAAATATGAGAAAGTTAGAAGTAGTGTCCTCTTGCCCTTTTGTCACAGTAGGGGGTTATCAAAACAATACAAGAAACGAATGCATAAAATCAGCTGAAGAGACCACAGTTGCACACCTTTTGTATATCTCAGTATCAGGTGCTGTAGTTGTGCAAAATACAACAGCCTTGATTTTATCTTTCTGCTTCTCAAGAAACCGTCTAACAGTTCCTGAATCAAAATGACAAAATGAGCTGAAGAGCAAAAATACATGCAATAAAACTGAAAATTTGGAATAGATATTACATAAGGAATCATACTTATTGCCACGTGAGCAGCTGGTTCACGTGGATAATTTTTTGCTTCTGTGTATATACAGCCAACAGCAATACTGCACTCGAATGTTATACGGATGAGTCCAGATAGAGAAACAAAAGATCATACACAAAGTGAAAGAGCACCAATAGTTGGCGTAGAATATAGCTCTCGACAACCTTTCAAGTCCATTTTCTATTAGAAGTTCTAGGCAAGCACGGTAGCAGTGACTCAAAGCATTCTCTGCAGCAGTATGATACTTTACAGCATACTTCGGACCAACAGTATGTATGACCCTCCTAGAAAGTACCAAAAAGTAAAAGCAGTTCACCAAGTTAGGTAACCATAAATAGGAGAAACCCACATAGCTTTTCTTTTGAGTGATAGAGTAATTTTTTCAGAAATAAAAATTAACTTGTACTCACCTTGCTGGAAGATCATACGCATTGGTAACTTTGGCCATCCCCGTTCGACAACCACCCTGTCATGAAAGCAGAGATTAAATAAGAATTAGTAAGTTAACCCAAAAGAAAAAGGATAACAAGGTATATTTTAAAATTCCATGTAAAGATTTCCCACAAATGGAAAATGCATAAAGTCACCTACACAGTACCACCCAATACACCCAACCACATGTGTGAAGTACAAGCACACTCAAAATTCAAAAATGGACTCACCAATGATGCACATTCTTCAGCAAGACCAGGTCCAGCTGCTGCATGTAAACCAGGGCTGCTGTGTGCCTCATCCAAATTCTGTCAATCACAGAGTCAGCCGATTGTCAAAAACCACAGTGCACGGCAATATGGTCAAACTATTTCCTAAGAAGTACGCAGGTATTATTTAGACATCTTCATCAATACGCAATCAGAATGGAGAAATTATGTGATTACTGAGCACAACTCATCCTATAGCTCTGAATTGTAGGAAAGGATGATCTTTCTTTTAGGTAAAGCTTTGGCAGGGGCTTACAAGTAATCCTAGTGCTAGAAATAAAAGTCATTCACATAAGTTTTTGCCAACTATGCTTATTGACAAGTAAGATTACACGGCACTAACTAAAAAAATCTATTCTTTTAAGGCCTGCCCTCCAGTTATCGAGAAAAGCGATTCTGAAAATCAAACATTCCAATTTTTCAGATAATCACAAAGGAGAAAACCTCCAAAAAAAAAATGATCAGTGCTTACTTCATTTGTTGAGTTAACGACTGCATCCACCTCAAGATTCCAAGGGTTGCCTCTCCACAAATATATTTTCGAGTTAATCTCATGATCCACAGGAAACCGAGAAACCAACCCATTTCCACTACCACCAGCATCGGATACTGATGTTAAAGGGTCTGCAAAGTAAGAACTGGCTTCGTTCTCATACGAGTATCTATACTCTCCATCACTCCACCGGGGAACTTGATCTAGTGTCACCACAGAATCTCCACTATCGGTGGGCAATCCACCACGATTAGTGGTGGCAGCCCCAGGTCTAAACATTTTTTACTTCAATACCGAAAATAACTCTCCTATCACCTAATGATAATTAAATGCCACCAATTCTCCAGTACATAGTAAAGCTTTCAGAAACACGCATGAACATTCAGGAGAGCATCAACTTTCTCCTGCAAATAAGTAAAAGAGGCGAGAAAGTCACAAAAAAAAAAAAAACGAAAAAGGAAAACACTCTGACGAAATTCCTTTCAGATGACAATATGATTCTCAAGAGGTAATAGCACGTTAATGAACAAATCACAGCTGAAAACTCCATCCCAAAAACGAATCTTTAGCTATCTTATTAATGAAACTAGATACAGAAACATACTGAAACAAAAACTCGACAGCAGCAGATTATTAGAAGAATAAAATCACGCAGGCATTGACCCTCAATCTAACACAGCAAAGGAATGCAAGAATGCATGGCAATAACAAAAGAACACATCCCAGAATTGAAAACCCACATATCAAAAATCAAAATTTGAGGCAGAATTCACATAATCGAGCAATGATTCCAAACACAAAAACCGGCATACAGATACAAAAATTGAATAAACATGCGGCATATAGACAGAAGAAGAAACGGGATTTTCATGAATCAGAGGAACTGAAAACAATTGAGTGTTGGAATGATTGAGAATTGAATAACTGGGGGATTATTACAGAGGTTTGGTTACCTGATGATGATGAGCTCGTTGATGAAACGAAACTCAGTTGGACCAGGAAAAGGTTGGGGTCTGGCTGGATTCCGTCGCGCTGAACATTGTGGAATTTCCTTCTTCTTTCTTTCTTTTTTTAATTAAAAAAATTAATTTTTGCCCGTATTATTATTATTTTTTCTTTTTCGGAGTTCAATTATTACAGTTTGGTAGTTTGTCTCGTTGCAGACTTGACATTTTTATAGAGCCTAAATAAACTTGACACTATTTCTTTCCTTAATTAATTAAAGAAAAACAAAAATAAAAAAATATGACATAATTTCTTCGGATCGTCAGCATTATTTGTTATGGTGATTAATTATATAATTAATAAAAATTAAGAATAAACCGATATGAAAAGTAAAAATACGAAGGAATTGGTCAAAGAGATTCACTTCAAATTTTTGTTCACTCGCATCAAAAAAATACTTTTAACGCAATAAATGAAATATAAGAGAAATCAAAATATGTTACGGCCGGCAAGAAGTATGCCTCAAGAATATTGGGGGAAAGAAACCACATACAATAATGTGACACATTACATGAAATGTTTACAAGTAGTTAATCAATTTCATCTATCTTCAGCTGCTGTTTGCAGTGAGAACATCTATCTCTATCTGCAGCTAACAAATAGATGCTCTTTAAGTATAGCCTATCTTTCAGCTCCCCCCATGTTTAAGTGCCTATCCCTTCAGTTGCTGTGGCCAATCATGGCCTTCTCATTGCTTTGGATTAGGTTGAAATAGTCTTTATGAATCTTGCTCAAAACTTGTCAAAATTCGCCTCTCTTTCGGTAGAAATCATCACTGTGAAGGTAGAAGAAAAATTAAAAGATCAGTACCTTCTTCAAGAAAATGCATTGTACAAGGTTACAAGAAATCATGTAAAATGATATGATTATCTGAGCTGCATAATGGAAACCAGGTTGATTTATCTTACCTCTTCTGGAACCAATCTGATGATAAAATGAACCACTAGTACACTATGGATATGACCCTATATGTTCACTCTACTCCAGCCTTTTTCTTCAACATGGCAATGAAGTTTTCCCTGTCCTCGGGTGACATTGCATCTGCTGAACAATCTCCAACACCCCATTCTGCTCCTCTGATGCAGTACTTGTCGAAAGTTGCTTGCCGATTCCTGGCAATAAATACGAAAAATTAACACTTGGATGCGTTGAATTACTTGCTGTAGTATACCTGTTATCATATCTAGTTCTTCAAGAACTGGCATTGTATCAGTATGTACAACATAATAAGCTTCAAAATCTCTGCCCGAATTATGTTCAATAACAGTAACTAAGCATTTCTATCCGAATAGGTGATGTCCATCATGTTCTGCATCATGTTAGATTACTTTTTAATGACAAACAACTAATCCTAAGTTGTTAACTATAGCCAAAATGATACAACTCTACTGGATATAATTGGATACAGAAAAGTCAGGCCTATCAAAGAGGTCAACAAGGGGAGAAAGAGATGTACTTTTCTTTATTCAACTTGGATTGTTCCAGCAGCTTTTTGAGAATTGGGGACTGTTTGAATCTTTCATCATTTTCTGCATACCTCTTCTGATTTTCTTCTGAAATAGAAAAATAACACAATTCTCTCATCAGAATTTCAAGTCAGCAAGCAAAGAACAGTGGATATAGTTCTTTCTTGTTTCATGAATTTACCGTTCCAACGCTCGATGAATTCAACCTTAGGCAATTCAGGACCAGGAACTGATTCTATCCCAGGGAAACCAGATAGAATTCCAGCAGTAGCTGCCAAAACAACACCATATATTAAAACACCATCATCTCAAATTTTTCTTAGGAATACAAGTGAAGAATTCCAGAAGTTAGGCCAAAGATAAGTAAAAATGGTTTACCAGGAGAAGAGCTGAGCAAGAAAGCAGCAGAGGCAGCCAAAGAAACCAACTGAACTTTTCTCAAAGAAGCAGCAGCATCTTGAATCACCATTTGAGTCTTGTTGGTGAACCCAATTCTTCCTTGCCTACATTTCTCCGGATTCATAGATAGAATTTTAAAGGCTGAGGATGGTTTTGACAGGGGGAGACAGGGACCCGCTGAAACAGAAGCTATAGATGAGACCATGATGATGGATGATGCCATGATGGGGCTTTTAAGTTTAACCTTGGGTTTCTTCTCCTCTTCTGATACTTCTTCTAGCCCAGCTGCCTGGAGGAAGCCTGACAGAGTTGCAGAGAGAGGTGGGCGTGGAACAACGCAAAATTAGGCAGCCAAGAAGTAACGCTCAGTATTCAACTATTTATATGATGTGGCTTATGCATAGTCTCTTGATCTTTTCTCTTGTCCAAATGTGTGTCTACAGAAGCCGCACATTATGTATATTTTGTTTGGCTGACTTTTTTGAGTTTTTATTCCACTTGGTTTGTATATATAGCCCTTTCAAATGATATGCTCCTTCCGCCCCAAAATAAGGGTTGTGTTTACTGATCAATGTAGTACAACAAACTAGACAATTGATTTGGGATACAAGAGTATCACAATGGGCATAAGCAGTGACAAATAATAATCGTAATAAGGCTTTCACTGATTCAATAGTTCTTTACTTCTCAAAAGATTCATAAACAGTGGAGATTGATGATGGTGGATGAAAATTTACCACAAATACTGAAAGATGAACATCAAAAACCAAAAAGCCTTAACAGGAAGAGAAATACTAAGGAAATAGTGAAGACTGGTTCAACTGTACTCATAATCTCGAAAACTAAACAGGGATTAAAACTCAAGCAAAGTCATTTACAGAAGATCCCTTTTGAGAACAAATCATTCTTCTTGCATCGCCTTAGCTGCATCAATAAGTGCGGGTCGAAGATCATCAGAAGCCCGCCCAAGAACAGTGTAACCTTCCTTGTCCTCAATGTCCACATTCGCTCCATGTCTGATGAGTAGTAGAGCTACCTGAGAATCCAATGCATGTTTAGATTGGAACAGTAATATATTTCCATTTAGCAAAGATCTCACGAAAAAAAAATGAAATTTTATCCCAAATTTTAGATGGCTGCCATTGAACTCAAAATGGAGATGATCTCCGACTTGTTTTCACACAATGGTCTAGTAAAGAAGAACACTCTACTTTCATGGCTTTGTATGAATGCTAAAATGTCAGAAGCAGAGCTGGAAGCTACAGACTCTGGCCTCAAACTCACCAGTGCAGATAACCCTAATTATTAAAATGTGATACAGAGAGCAGCCTAACAATTTAATAGGTAGAAATAAAATGAGCCTGGCAAAAAGTAAAGGTGTTCATAAACTTGACTTCAAAAAAAGTTAAATAGACCAGAAAATGTAACACAACCACACGCTTCCTCTATAAATAGGGCATGTTCTAAGAATAGAGCAAAAAGCGTACGGAATTGAGCTCAGAATATTCACCTCTTTATTTCCACATATGACTGCATTCATGAGAGGAGTTTGACCAGCTCTGTCAACTTCATCAACCTCGGCTCCTTCCTCTATTAAATATTCACATAATTCTGAGTTTCCTATGCTTGCTGCACGATGCAAAGCTGTACAACCAACCTGAACCAAAATCAACAAATGATCAACAAAAACACAAATTCGGATGTTCACAAGAGTTCACAAGAGGCTCAAGCTAGAGCCTAACCTTGTCCTTAGCATTGAGCTTTGCACCATGTGAGACCAAGAGTTCGGCTATTTTCAACCAACCCTTGCTAGCAGCATAATGGATGGCTGTCCGCCCTCCATTGTTTTTCAAATTAACATCAGCTCCTGTTATAAGAAGTAGAAATTCAGGGCAGGAGAATGGTACAAAAGAAAATGTTTCCACCTTCAGCCACTGCCCAATCCCTCTCATTCTCTTTCATTTGCATTCTGATTGTGCAAATTTTAAAAAGGCAGTGAAGTACCACATAGACATAATAAATCCCCAAATAATTCATATTCAATTATCGTAGTTACACCCACCCTTCAATTGAAAATGGTAAAACGAAAAGAGACTAGAGTGACCGTTGAAATGAAACTGGAATGAGTAACTCAGAGACAAACAAAAGTTCCAACCTCAAACCATAACAAGTTCTATCCCTTTTAGGCCCAATTACAATATTACATTCTGTTCTAACTAAAAAAATATTGTTCTCAACCATTGAAGTTAAACTTGACAAGCCAACCAAAAAACTCTACTCGTAACTAGTAAAATCACCTGTATCCAGTAAAACCTCCACAATTTCCAAATTCCCACTACTTGCAGCAGAATGCAGGGGACCCCAGCCTTCCTCATCCACACTATTCACGCCACAAATTGAGGAAGGTTTAGCAGATGAGAGTAACTTCACTATCTGGCAACACAAAATCAAACACCAAGCCTCAAAAATAAAGAAAACTAACAACCCCTTTACATCTTTATATCCAAAACGAAAATAAAAACCCCGTGAAATCAAAAGCATCAATTTCAGAGGCCACATTCTTAAGCACAGCAATTAAACATACTGGTTTAAATGGCGGGGGAATCAAGTGGAAATGAAAAGGTGAAATCAACAAACCTGGGTCTGGCCAAAGGAGACGGCAACGTGAAGGAGCGACCGGTCATCCTCGTTACGTAGAGCTAGGGCTTTTAGGAACTGCTCCTCCGGGAGGGATTCGAAAAGGGATACGTCACCTTTTTCAGCTGCTTTGAAAAGGTCTCCCGCTTTGATTTGTATGTTTGGCTTTGAACTGACAGCACTGTCGATTTCCATCTCCATTGTCGTCAAAATTCCGACGGTGTCTATAACTCCGCTGATTTAACCGGCGTCCGGTACCGGCACTACAGTCAGTGTTGAGAGAATCTAGCTGGAATAGGCGGTAAAAGTAAACATATGGCAATTGCTTTCAGACTTTTCTGGGTTTTCTTGAAATCGATGAGTCAATCCAGTTTCTTGTTCCCAAAGAATAATAGCTTTCATTGATCAAAAGAGCCCAAAGTGCATTAAAGACAGGAAAGCCCAATGTGGAAACATTGTTTTAAACGGAGTTTTAGGGAAAAAATAATCCAGGCCCAAAAGGCCGCAAAAAAGCCCAAAAAAATTTGGACCATTTCTCGATTTGTGCGTGTCATCCTTGCGCAGGGGCCATGCTAATCTTCTCTGTATCGTTCCAATTTTATCGGATGTCCCCGAAGGGACGTACTATAGACCTAAAGTTGGGCTATATAAACAAGTCAAGGCTCATGTAGAGCAGCGATGTGGGACAGCTGCAAGCCACACGTTCCTCCAGTCTAATCAGTCATATCATAGCCTTCTAGATGTGATAGAAAAGGGGACAATTTACACACAACACCAATTCCCAATGAATTACGTCTATAATCTGCAGATCCTGACCACAACAAGAATAGTAGATTAAACGAGAGAAATTGAGTCAAATTTCAACAGGAAAAAAAAAAAAAAAAAAACCTCTCAAAACTGTTTGCCATCATCTCAATGTCTCAGACATGAAAGAAAAAGGGTCGGCAGGGTTGATAAGTTGTTGGTTCCGGGTTCGAAACTCAGTAGATGCATAAAATAATAATACAAATATAGACAAAATGTCGGTCACCATGAACCAAGAGCATTCAACTGCTAAAAAAGTGTTTCATAGTAGTACGTTAGAAGAAGGCTTGAAATATACAGTATACGGACGACCATGAATCGATATTTTTTTTTTTTTTGGAAGGATTTATACTCCTATTAAGGTTGAAAACTTGAAATCGATAAAAACACAATACATATAATACAAAGTTTATACTACTGTTCCTTGAAATTAATGCTTGTGATGCTAAAACAACAACATAATCCAAAAAAAAAATAATAATAATTATAGGCTTCTTGAAAATTTTAACGCGAAACGCAGCTCGACTGACCTGTCTAGACCATCTGTCCATATCACGTCAGTCTTTCCAATTTTTTATTTAATAATTTAATTTTTTTTTTTTTTTACAGAAATCTCTATTAGACTTGGAGCAGTTTCGGTCCCCGACAATTCAATCCTCCAACCACCGTCACCACCGCCAAAAAAAATTCCAACTCGGCCTCTCAATCTTGATTTCAAGATTTCTGATTAAAATCAGTTGTTTTATCTTTAAATCCTTCAGAATATCATCTTTATATCTTTGGTCTATGATTGTTTCATACAACTCGAAGTTATCTGGAAAGTTAGGCAGATCAGAGGAACAAAAAGACGATTAGCACTATTTCTCATTAAACTACCAAATCATCGGGTGATTCGAGCCCCTCTCCGGACAAAGCTCAAGAAGTAATAACCCAAAAAGTAAACATCTTTCTTGTAATCAGATTCAAACTCTTCAAACTCTTCGCAAGATGATCTGTGGCAATACTGAATCATTTGATTTCATAATAAACTTAGCCCCTCAGAAGTTTAAAATTTCAACATGATTCAACGACAGGATCATCGGGCATGGAAATAGAGCTGGGGAAGCCTAAAAAGTGAAATACAGAATTCTTGAAAGGGATTCTAGACATACAAACATAATCCCTAATCATTTGGAGCCCTTAATCAGAATTCTTGAAATTAAGATTTGAGAAGCCAATTTGGAATTCTGGCAGTGGTCGGAAGATTGAATTTCTGGAGAGAGGCCTGCTCCAAAGCCTAATGCGATTTAAGGTTTTTGTTCTTTTTAACTTATTAAATAAAAAGAATGAAAATTTAACGTGGTGTGGATAAGTGGGCTGACAAGTCAATTGAGTTGCGTTCCGCGTTAAAACTTTCGAGAAGTCTATCATTACTAAAAAAAGGAAGGCATATCTTTTCCATTCATATCTTTTCCGCAATTTTTGATCGTTTTTATTTCTGACCCCAAAACAAGTGTGACTATTTCTTTTTTTAAAAAAACTTTCACTATGACCGATGAAGGTCTAATCCACGTTCAAGATCTGATAAACCAAGCTAAAAGTGCTAATGGTGATTTGGCTCATTTGACGTTGTTGTTGGATGCTATTGAGGCGGCGCATAAGCTGAAAGAAATGAGCAATGATGGAGATAGTAACTAATTATAGAGAGAAAGTATAGTAATTAATGAAAAGATAAATATATTATTTTCACTAAATATGTGTATTTATTAATTAAGAGTAAAATTATAATTTTTAGGGAAAGATAAAATTTTAACGGGAAAGAGGCAAAAAATTAGGGGCCAAGAATATTCCACATCACTCACTATTTTTTGGCACTGGATATATCATTTTCCGAAATAAACTTGAGGATTCTTAGAGAACAAGGTAGTATTTTTTTTTTTCATTTTATTTTTTATAAAAGTCTTTCTTTAATGGTTGGATTAGTTAGTTAAATCAACTAATTAAATTTTTGATGGGCAGAGAGAGATGCAGCGCGAGCAGTCATGGTATATAGTAGAGAAGTTGTTGATCCTTTCAGGGCTAAAGATGCTGAAAGGAGGGAAAGGATTCGGAGTCTTCGTGCCCGTACGAATTCCATCACTAAAGCTGCAGGTAAAAAGTTTTTAGAATTCACATGGATCTTTTACAAGTGTAGAAGGCTAGGAGTATTATTGTTTGTTTGCCCATTTCTTAGTAAGGATCTAAACGTGATTCGTGGCTCATAAGTGCTTTGGTTTTTTATATAGTGTATATATATTTAACCCAATTTCAGTATGATCCACGCTACACTGGTTTTTGCCATTTGATTTTAGTTGCATTCGAACGCCTGTTTTAATTATGTTATTACAGAAACTCAAATTAGAGTTAAAATCACTTTGTAGGAAAACTCAAATTTTGTTTCTAGAACTGAAAAAGTTTTACATCTTTGCTTGGACCTAAGTTGCAGCAGAAAATTGGAGAATGCAAATTGCAAAAATCATGAAATTACCAATTGCAGTGAGTCTGATCGCAGTCATGTCACTCAATTGAATAATAATGAAATTATTACCGGAGTGCAGATATAGTTTTATCAACACAAAGAGAAGCAAAAGTGGACTACTAATCAAAGTTGGGAGGAATGTTATTTTTAAACTTTGGGACTAAAATAGCACTTCATTAATTAACTTAATATTTTTATTGATTTAATTAATTAATTTAGTTTTATACGAGCTTAGTTAATCATAGGCAGCAGATTTCAATCAATTAAATATTTTTATAGAACTAGTATAGCCTATGAAAAGAAAGAAAAAGCTTCAACTTTTATACCTTTGCGATTATTTTTTGATGCGCCAATCTATTTAATTGTATTTTGGTACATGGCAAACAAGACATGAAAATGAAAATTTTGATATCAAATTTGCTATTTGAATCACATTTTTTAAGTTCAACTAATTAAGCATGGTAAAAATCAAGTTCATTATTTAAGCCAACATAAAATTCAAATTTGTCTCGTATGATTAATCAAGTTAGTAAAAAATTAAGTTAATTGATGATTAAACCGACAAAAATAAATAAATAATTGATTATTATTTTATTCATGAAGTTTAAAAATAATAAAATATATTTTTTCGTAACCAAGTCGAATTTGCTAATTAGATGACAAAATGGTGAAATTGGTCGGAATAACATTACAACCATACATACCTGTATCTTACTATCTTTTTAAGTTGTGGTATTGTTGTAAAAGAATATAACAACATTTCATTACCCTCTCCGGCCATTTCATTGTGTGATATATTAATTTTATGCCTCTATAGTTATAATCTCTTTTATTTTTAAACAAGAGTATTAATGTACTCTTCCTCCATTGGTTAGGTATTTTCTTACTCTTCATAATTATATTGAATAATTTCGTAAGTCACTTAATCCCAAATTCACCGAGGCATCTCCACGCCTCTATTGAGATATCATTAGGACCTACGATTTTACCCCTTTTTTTTTATTTTTTGCATAACTTTCTCGATCTCTTTAATTTGAATCTTTCTATAATATGTGAAATTTTTATGTTTTTCACTTTGCTCTAGTTCACCTAGCATTGTTTCCCTATTATCTACTTCATTAATAGTTTGTGGAAAAAATCCTTTCACCTATCTTTTATTATCTTATCATCTACTAAAACACACCAATGTTTATCTTTTATGCTTTTAATCTTGGTTAAATCTCTTGTTTTCTGTTCTCTTATTTTCACAATTATAAAAATATTTTTTTTCTCCATCTCTAGTATCTATTTTTTAAAAAAAAAAATTCAAAAACTTTTATTTTTGCCTCACGTACTATTTTTTTTCACTTCGTTTTAGTATTTTTATATTTTTCTACATTATCGTCGCTCCTACAAGTGTATAAAGATTTGTAACAAATAAAAAAATTCTTTTACTTTTTCTTGAATATCTTGATTCCTCCACTACGCTTCTTTATTGCATTTATTACCTACTGAAACTCCTAGCTCTTTTTTAACAATTACTCTTATTTCTTTGGTTACCTTTTCCCATGTTTTATTGACTTCTTTTTCCATGTTCCAATTAACCTTTTCGAGTAACATATTAGTAAATCTATCCTTTTTATCTTTGTTATTAAAATTCCACCATTTTATCATATGTATTTTAGGTATTTTGTTTTAGTTGTTTCATCTAATCCTACTTGAGGTGCATATGCACTAATTATATTTATAGCTTCATTTCCTATTATAATTTTTAAAGTTATTAATCTATCCTCTTTCTAACCACCCCTACTACTTGGTCTATAAATAATGAATCAACTATAATACTTACACCATTCTTATTCCTATCTTTCCCTCTATACCAAAGTTTGTACCCTGTGTTATCTAAAATTTTGGCCTTTTTCCTCTAAAAATTTTGTTACTTGCAAACACATTATATTTATCCTTTTTCTTCTCATACATTCTACTAAATATAGAGAATTACTTGTTAAGCACCCTATGTTCCAACTCCCTATTTTACAAATTTTATCATTATATGATTATCCTTAAGTTGTTTTTGTAGGTTGGGCATTTTTTCTAGTTTCTACTACTCCCACGCCCTTATGAGAATGTAGTGGTCATTGCCGCGAGGTGAAAGATTTAACTTGTAATGTGTTCTTGGCGTACGAGGTCTCTTGCACATTTTGCACTACACCCAAGTTCCATGGAGATGTAGCGGTCCTGTCCAAGACGACGGAGTCGAATCCTTCGGCGTGCCACTTACAACGGGTGGCGTCCTAACATTTACACGATTTCTTATATGATGCATATTCATGAGAGTGATAGGGTTTTTTAATACTGGCTTCCAACCTAACGCAAACCCTCCGAATAAGTTGAACTGACCACATCAAAGTTGTAATAAATTAAATTGGCCACATCGAAGTTTCCAGTCCCTGAATTGCTAAAGTCTCATTAATCAATTCTTGAACGGCTGCGGGTATGCACTGATCCAAGTACTTAGTCATCGTCGGTTCTTTTCCGTTCTACAAATTATTTTAACCCACAACAAGAAAATTTAATTTAAAAAAATTCAACAGGATGATCGGTTGAAGTGAAACAATCAGATAGGTAAAATTAGAGGAGACAGAATAAAATGAAATTGCTGAATACCTCCAAAGACCCGTGCAATTCGCCGGTTGTCGTTGATGATCCATTGGCATTTAAAGTTCCGTTCATCGTTTCATTGGCGTAGCTAGAATTTGCGGTCTCGCCCTATTTTGGCTGAATTTAGGGGTGAAATTTAGGGATGATTTGATATTTATAGATAAATAAATGAAATTTATAGGGATTTTATATTACTGCAAAAAAAATTAATCTGTCTATCTATATCTATATATATAACTAAGGCAAAGTCCATGCAGAAAAAGAAAATGATTCTAAGTTACTCTTAATAATGGATCTCGGATATCAGATCTTAACAGATCTTATAACATACCAGTCTCATAGACTGGCCCAACAACTTTCAGGCTTTCATTCTCGCTAGCCCAAAATGATTAACCCAAGTTGTTAGTAGTTTATGAGGTTGAAACTTATATACATGTCATTCATTTTGACAGGTCGCGATGTGAGACAGGATGTTACAGCCCACCCCTTTTGGATCTTTGCGTCCTCGCAAAGCCCAACAAGCATGAATGTGGCCCAATCTTCTCCTGGAATAGGACTCTAGAGGTGGCTCCTGTGCTTCGCACTTGTCTCGTCTGCAGGCTCAGAGGTGTCTCTGTACTTGTCCCGTCAGTGGGCTCAGAGGTGTGTCCGCACATAACACTTAGCTCCTAGACCAGAGTTCGCTTTGATACCTTTTGTAACATCACAGCCTCACAGACTGGGCCAACAACTTTCAGGCTTTCGTCCTCGCTAGCCCAAAATGGTTAACCTAAGTTGTTAGTAGTTTATGAGGTTGAGATTTATATACAAGTCATTCACTTTGCCAGGTAGCGATGTAAAACAAGATGTTACAGATCTTGTGGTAGAAGACTAGAAGTTAAAGGGTGACTTTTGGTTGTGATCACAGATTTATCAAAATCTACCTTATTATTGGAGATTTTATTCAAAGTGGAAATCAAATATGATCATGCCAGAGGACAAACCCTAATGGGTATGTTATAGCCATCACTAGCGATACCTCTAATATCTCGCTATTAAAAATAATCCTTCTACGAACATGATTGAACCATATAGTTTTGACGCCATGAACATCAAGTCATAATTAGAATTGTGAACATCAATGATGGTTGTATGTGAGGCGAAAACAACGATAAACAGGAAAGCGGACGTTGCCAGAAATGTGGATTTGTTGCTGACTGGTGTTTCTAAAGATTTGAGTACTAAGCATCCGAAAAATGTTAATGATTTAGATGCAGATGACGATGACGATTAACAGGATCCCAGACATAAGAAAAAGATTCTTCAATGCCAATTATAGTGGTATGTTTATTAGCTTCTTCGAGGGCTAAAGTATATTCACATTGGTTGGTTGCTTTTTTACAATAAAAACATGAATAATTTTACGTATAATATGTGTTTAGTAGGTGATTTATGGTTTATGTTTCGAAATAACTTATTATATCATACACTACCGTGCATGTTTATCTCAATAATCCACAGTCCGGAATAAATGTGGTTGGAGCGCGATATTATCGGTGTCTTCTATCCACGAAATATCTCAATTTTATTTTATCTGTCAAGCTTTAGTCTCTTCTCTGTACTAAAAAAAATATTCTCCCTCGTCAACCGACGACCAAACCGACCTGCCGAATATATCAAGTTCTATTACTTTAATCTATTGTAGTAACATTCGTAAATGGATATTGGCTTTTTGATTCCAACATGGTCCATATTAGGTCACCTAGTCTCCAAAATCCCAGAAATTGACCCCATTGGTAAAGCACCATAATATAAACAATACCTCTCTCTCTCTCTACTCAAACTCTCTTCTTTCTCTCTAAGTTTCAAAAAAATTTCTTTCCCCTTCTCACCCATCCACCATTAATGGGGATGGGGGAGCTCAAATTTATCTTTCTTCTTCTTTGTTTTATGCTTTTGCTCTTTCCTCAGGGAGTTTCTCTCGCCCTTTGATGAATGTTTTGCTCACCCTTTGATGGGTGTTCGGTTTCTCCAGTTGGAGATCTCGGATCCTCCTTCTTAGGAGGTTTCATTTGTTTATTTTGTTGTTTTTAGGTAGTTTCTCAACAAATCTGATGGAGAAAGTATGGATCCAAGTGACACCGAAGAAGAAATCATGGTATAAGGAAAATCATGGAGTCAAAGGTACAAAGATGAAGGAAAATCTCCAGATCTGGAACTTCTAGATTTGTGTGGTAGATTTGCCATTGCATTCAGTTTTAGTTCGGACTAGATTGGTGTTGGAACTTTATCCTATAGATTAGTTCTCTCTGTATTGCTAAATCTGTTTGAAAATTTCATACTTTAGTTATTAGAGAAGTTGTTTAAATCTGTCTCAATCTGTCCAGTTTAGCCTTCTTAACACTTATACACAGATGGTGACACGTCTGTTACTCTGTGGGTTGAGAATTCGCGTATGACAGATTGCATTAGCTCAATCATCGGATTGTGTAACTCAATCCTTGTATTGTACTGTTCAACCGTATGCTTAATTTACATTTCTTTTTAATATTAAATATTATTATCGCTTTTGACCCCAAAATGAACAAAAGTGAAGCACCATAACAACGAAATTCGATGTGTTTGATGGATTTGCTACGGGAACCACCCTTACTATAAATATGAAGTGGGAAAAATCAGTGGTTTCCTTTCCAGGGAATGTTGCACGGGCGAGTGAGAAAATTCAACAAAGTAAGCTCCCCTGAACTTTCAGAGGTTAATAAAAGCCATCCGAATCCAGCTTCCATCCATCGTTTACTCTTTGCCTCCGGCAGCGATAATCGCATCGAAATCTTTCCTTTCGACCGGTTATAGAATTCACGGTCGTCACTGTCTGGTTTATCCGCAAGCATAACCAACGGAACCTTACGCGAGGCAGCGGAATTGTTGTCGAACTTATTTATACTTGCCGCGGCTCGCCAAGAAGTACAATCTCCACTGAAGGCCAAGAAATCTTCCACCGACGGTATTTGTTTTGCCACAAGTACTAGTATCTGGTGAAGAAGGCCCCCGGACCAGTTGGGTTCCGATGCCATATTGATGCGTAAAGCCAAATAGGAATTCAAAAAAACGAGGAGAAAAATTGTTGTTTTGGAAATCACAAGGCAGAAGGATGCAGACCTGAGTGACTATACTTACATAGACAGCAAAAGCCCCGTTGGATCTGGATTTCCTAACCCTAGGAGAAGCAGATATAAAATCATTTGTACAATAATTGTCCAAAAGATCTGGTTTATTTCGCTCATTTTGCATCATGAACATTGCTATTAGATTTTGAAACAGTAGGTAGCTGTCAATCAGCAATCTTCTACTGTAATAATTATTATTATCCCTCCCCAGAATAGAAACAAGAGCATTTGTCATTTGGAGCTCATTTATGATTTAACCAATGCAGAGAGAATCAGCAGAATACATTAAAAATATATTTCAGATAGGACCATTTGTTCTTGCAATCGCTCTTCAACTTTTCAGATACAGGTCCGCCGCCTTCATCTTCTTCTGGCAAACAACTGCAAACAAGTGTTTTTTCCACTGATAGAAGAAGGCTTAAGCACAAAATATGTTTACGGACAACTCAATGCAACTACGAAGCTAGAGTTTCCCAAGGGTTCGTACTATGGCTCATACAAACACTAATAAATACAAGTAAAAGATGAGTGGGATGCTTAACTGTAGACATGATGATCTCCAGCCCTTCATTTCCCATTTCCAGTTGTTCCTTCTTCAAGTTTCTAACTGACTCTTCAACAGAGGCTGAGGCTCTGCACGTTTGTACTTCAATGACCCCTAAAGTAGGAATGTCTCCAAAACCCGAAGGTACCTCCTCGAGCTGCCTACAACTTCGCAAAATCAAGCATTGAAGATTGGGTAGATGATCATCACAAGCATTCCATTGAACAATGTTTAGACTTTCAAGTTTCAGAAATTTAAGTTTCTGGAACTCCCCTTCTTTCATGTCCCAAATTTTCCCTTCAAAGGCTCCAGCTAGTAACTTAAGAACCTCCATGTTGGGTAGCTTCCCAATTTCTGAAATACAATCCCATGGTAGCCGAAATTTTGACAGGGTCAATTTCTTCAGAGTTAAGGGAAATCAAACTTACGGCGATGAAAATTCCTGCCAGAATAGAGTACATTCAGTGACTCCAGATCTTTCAGAAAGTGCAGCTCCGGAAACTGATTGTGGTTTGCTGTACCATCACCTCCCGACTCAGAAAATGTGCATCTCAGCTTTCGAAGCTTGCATAACCTTCTTAGTATGTTCCCTGCATCTTTACCACCAGTGAGCAAAGGAGTCGAAAAACTGACCAGATTTAGAGACAGAGGAGAGTTTTCCATTTGTGCACCTTGCCAAAAGTTGAAAGCAGCGCCATTTCTAACTTGTAGATGTTGTAAGTTTTCCATGATCCAAATAGTAACAGGAAGCAGAACTATACCTTTTAATCCCACCAGAACCAAAGTCTGAAGATTCCTGAGGTTGGCAATCGAGTCTGGAATACAGTCAATATCACCAGAAAATGCTAAATACCTCAAACGAACCAAACCTCAATTCCGTTTGCGAAATAATGACCCATATTGATGCATTCTAGATCCAACACTCTTAGGCGTTTAAAATTTTCAGGAACTAAGGAGATATTGTAGGGACATTTCGGATGCAAATCACTGATTGCAAAGAACAGTAGAGTGTACATGTGGGCGTGACATGACAAAATGATTTCTCTTGGAATAGATGGACAATCGGCGATTTTGATATGTCACAGGGTTTCTCGGTTGACTATAATTGGGATGGACACCATAGTCTAGATCCTCAGGACAGGAAGCAAAAACAACCTGTTTCAAAAAGGATTCCTCTTCACATTTCAGCAAGCATAATGCACGTAGCATGTCATGGACATGACAACTTTTGACTCCACCATTTGATCTTGTCTTGGAAGCCATCACTAAGCTTCTGCCTATTAGGTCATTCAAGTATTGCTCTGCAAGATCTTCTATGCTCTCTGCCCCATGTTTTCTATTAAATCTCAGCTATCCATAGGCGTAACAGTTTATGCACTAGAATTTCTTTATCGTGCATAAATGCTCCAAGATAAAGAAAGCAAGGCTTCAAATGGTTGGGTAAATGCTAGTAGCTAAGCGCTAAGATGTCCATGCACCTTGTTTCTGGATCATCAGCAATGAGTGAGCTCAAACTTTCCGCAACTTCTTTCCACCATTCTGGTTTTATGACAGTTCGTTGAAGGATCCCAGATATTGCAACAAGTGCAAGAGGGAGTCCCTTGCAGCTCTGTGCAATTTGCTTCCCCAGATACAAGAGCTCATCAGGGCAATCATTTGACTTGAACAACTTCCTCTGTAAAAGCTCCCAACTTTCATCAATTGAGAGTAGGCGAAGAGAATGAGGAATGCTACTTGCTTTAATTTTCAGAGCAACCTCATGGAGACGACTGCTGATCAAAACTCTGCTTCCGTTTTGGTCATCTGGGAATGATCTTTCTAAATCATTCCATGCCTCTATGCTCCACATATCGTCCATAACTATGATGTACCTTTTCCCCTTAAGCCATCGGTATAGCTTTATCTCCAAATCTTCATCACTCATTTCCAGGATTTTGTCAGTAATCTCCACCATGTCACCCAAAATTTCGAGCAATAACTCCCTTTTGGAAAATACTTCGGAGACATGACACCATGCACAAACATGAAAGTGATAGGTGATTGAAGGACAGTTATTTACCTTCAAGGCCAGAGTCGTCTTACCGATCCCTGCCATCCCGACAACTGAAACAACATCTCGCTGCAAAGATCCTCTGGTAAGTCTATCGATCATCCTTTCATTCTCATCAACAAGATCAACCACAACATCACTAATTAGGGACATTTTCACCAGCGACATCACCTTTCTTGTTGACTGCTGAACGTCAGGGATGCTAATCTCGTACGTCTTGGAGATTTCAAAGGCCTGGATTTTGATCAGTTTAATATCTTCTATAAGATCAGATAGCCATACCACATGATACCATCGAACACCGTGGCCACAAACAAATGAATCAGTGATGTATTCCACCTGCAAGGCCACATCAACAATGTGTGAAACAAGACTTTTCAAGTCTGAATCCTCATGATGCTTGTCACCCATACCCCTAAGGAATGATCTTAGTGACTCCATGTCTCTGTGAACAACTCGAATTTGATGTTTCACTTTATTAATTGAAACTTCATTAGAGTTTAGCAGCTCCTTTAGATCTCTTAAAAGGAACTCCATGAATCCAAATCCATCAGTCTTTCGAAAATAAGATGGCAGTGAGCTTCGAACACACATATACATCTGTTTCGTATGTGTACTGACTAGCTTAACTTTCTCCAATAACGCAGGAAGCAATAGGCTGAGTTTTCTCCCTGTGTCTTCATTAAGAAAATTCCATTGATGAGAGTAGAAAGTTGCAGCCACGTCCCCCAGAACTGCTCTTATATGTGTGGATTTCATTTCTTCATTCTCTTCAACCATGAGAAAAGTTCGTACAAGTATTAACTCCTCAAGAAGGGTTTCTATTTGGTTCTCCACAGTAGGCAGCATTGCTGGGTATATATTTTGAAGTTCTTCTAAAAGTATCTCCATCTTAAGAATCCTGATCATAAGTTGCTCACTGACAATGGGAAGAGATTTTTCTTCCAAGGTGCAAAGCGATACCACAAGCTCAACATAGTTTCAGATTGGCTCCGAAACCATCATGTTCTCACCCACAAAATTTCTGAAACAAGCAAGTCCATGCTGGATAGAACCAAACCGACACTTTTCGAGGCGCATGAACTTAAGGTATACAACATTGAAGCTTATTAGGAATGCCTCCAGCACCAAAAGCCATATCTTCTGGAGCGACCTATTCATTGTAGGATCAATTTGTCTGGATCTATCTCTTGTTGTCTCAGGTCGACTACCCAAGTAAGATCCAAGCTCACTAAATGCAGCTACAATGTCAACTAAAATCAGTCTCACAGCATCAGCTTTGTACAGTGTATGTTAGTAGAAGACAAACAGAACAAGGTGTTCAAGCCCTTTGTTAAGAGAATCAACCTGGTACTCATTAGAAAAAAACGGAATTCTGCAGAATAGCTCAAGTTGTTTAGTGAAATCCAAGGCCTTGTCAGCTGGCCTGAGTACGTCTAGATATCCCTCAATAATTGTGTTAGGCATGAAATCCCCTAGCAGATTAAAGGGTATTTTATTCCTGCTTTCATCTAAACCATTAAGAAATCCAAGCCCTTGGTTCAGGATTTCTACTTGATTCTTCTCAGGAATCAGAAATCTGCCAAGACGTTCCAAACCAGTTGTTTCATTGAACACCAAAAGTGCATCAAGACAACCCTCAATAACTTGTGGAGTGTTAGGCTTAAATTTCTTTAGAAGATTAGAGAGCATTTTCATCATGTTTTCATCTATATCATCCATATTAACCCAGCACCGAAAAGAAAGATGTGCCGCATGTACCAGTGCAGCTCCAAATTGTGTCAAGATGTATCTAACCTTACTTTGTTTAAGACCAAAATCTTGAACAAGACCTTGAAGAAATTAATCCTAGCATTAGGCTCGCGGCATCAAGTTGCTGGATGATAACTGGTGGTAGCTTGTTATACCAGCTACAGAGATCAAGCAGATTTTGCTCCAGAGAGGCGCAAAAATGCATCCAGACATCAAAGTTACTCAGAGGAGAGTTGGAATCTAACAAATAGCTTGATTCAATATACATTAACCATAAGCTGCTCGGATCTGTGGCCTCCTAAGTGTTGACTTTTCTTGTAACTTTGAAATTGCAGCTTCCAGATGCACCCTTGATCTATCTATTCCTTTCTTAGAAGCAGCTCTGAAATCCCTTCTCAACTCTTTGAAGCCAGCTTTTATATCAGAAACCAGTGACCCCAAATGACCAGCTCCATCCCAGTTTTTAACATATACCAGAAATGTTCTCAGAAATCTCAGTTCAACTTTGCAGATGTCAACTGTCCCCCTAATGTCATCCTCTGAATCAGAAAGATGGGAGGAATTACACCAGCCATCCAGCTCTTTCAGGAGAAAATCAAGAAGAAGAGAAGTGCCAGTTCGATTCATTTTTTTACATTCCAAAATAACTCCTTTTCCAAAGATACTCAATAAAACCTTCCAAAGTGACCTTGCTATTTAATATCTTGAAAAAAAATGGATGGCAGAAAATGAGGGGGAAAAAATGAAAAAAGAAAGTCTTGGAACCCAAATCAATAAAATATCGGCACAAACTGTCAAACACAACATGCCTGGAACGATTAAAAAAAAAAAAAACATATGGACTGACTTAACAGAAGAATAAGCATGCTGGTAAAGTAATAAGAAAAGTATACCCATTGAATCGGTATTTCTTTATTCAAAATGGAACACTCCCCTTACCTTTGTTTATTCCTTTACTTCCCTTCTCTTTCCTCTACTTTCCTCTTCTAATCTTTGCCTACAGTCACATGCAGATGCGACCAAATTTTCCTAATGAATCAGGAACTTAGAAGATTGTTTGGTAGAACAAGTGTGAACAAGGTCAATAAATCTATGAGGCAAAATTTCACACTTGAAATCGCATTTGAAAGGCAAGCTTAGTATATGGTATACCTGTAGCTTGAACATTCAGCAAGATGGTGCATCATAGTCAACTCGAAGGGAGATATACTCCAGAATTCTAGATCTGAAACTGTCATCTTAAGCTTAAAAGAGTCAAACTTAACCGCCCAAAAAGAAAAGAAACAAACTTTAAATGAGGGAGAACCAGAACAATGATAATAATAACAATAATGAAAAATGAGAAGGAAATGTGGAACATCTTCACGCATATGTTATGGCAAAATATAATTCATATACATGAAATTTCATCATTAAACGTCCGGGATTGACAAGCATGTATTACCGAGTAACTACTGACTATTACCCAACCAATAATTAGTCCAGCATCTTTGGATCCCCATTGTCAATCCCCTACATTTGTCCAATAATTGTTCTCTTAAATAGGAAATGAGAATCTTAGTTGCGATCAGACGATTGGTAAAAGGACCCTGTACAGAGGACTTCACAAAAATATTTTTTAAAAAAACAAAAAAAAAAAAAAAAACATACACATAAAGAGAACGAGCAGAATTATCCCCAAATCAGCAGTTTTGCCTTCTCAAATGCGGTATTGGCAGCTTGTTTTTCCGCTTCCATATGCTTGCGTAATTGCCATGCATTCTTCAATTTAATACACGTTCTCCGGAGATATTGTTCAGCTTTCACTTTGTCTTTTGAGATCTGAGATACGCGAGACTCCAGAGCAGTGCTATCAGCCTTGCAGCAAAATAATTCGGCCTCGGCTTTGCGAAGCTTGTCCTTGAGATGGGAAATTTCTTCAGTGAGATTTGCTGCACGTCTCTTTGAGACTGACAAAGTATCGACAACTTTTGCCTCGGTATCTTTGATCTCCTTCAGTTTCAGCTTCTGGCAATTGAGACGATCAGCAAGCTTCTGACAAGAATGGTTATTTGCTATTGATTGGTCAATTTTAGACAACAATGATGCACGGACAATGAATTCCTTAACTTCCTGCCTGAATTTCTTATTGTTGATTCCCAAACTATCTAAAGCTTCGAAAGCAGCATTTGACTCCAGCCTCATAATTTCATGATCTTTTATGTCCAATGCCCTTAAAATGTTAAGGAGATCAGTTTGAAGTTGTTCCCCTGCCTTCATAAATGCTTCTGATACCAACTTTTTCATAACACTGTTGGGTTGACTACATACAGATTCAGCAATATTAGTGTCCACGAGTGCACATTCAGCAACATTCGTGCACACAAGTGCAGATTCGGCAACATTAGTGCCCGCAAGCAAAGCAGCTTCATCCAGTAGACACACATTTGGCGGGACAAAAATAGGATCATAAGAAGGAAAGATACCTGTAGATTCATAATCCAACAATGATTATCAATGCTAATACAACTTCGAGAAAATGCCATCATGCATCCCCTAGAAGTTTCAAATCAGCAGGTTAGCTCAGTGAGACAGGTTTGGCTGATCTGTATACTAACTACTTAACTTCTTATTTTTCATGATTCTACACAGCATGCGTCATGGGTAATTTATTCTTCAAAAGGAACAATACATAAGGAAAGAAGCAACCTGGAAGCTCAAAAAGAAGCATTTACAAACCACATACAAGTTAACCACTTGTAAAACTTACAGCAATAGAAAGGCTTTGGTGCTGGTTCTGTCAAGCATTTTGAAGGAGGAAAAGCCAGCCTGCCCCACCATCCCTGGATATGAAGCAGCAAATTTTCACGGATTGCAGCCAACATCCAGCATGTATCTTTGAGTATATCAGAGTCTATCAGCAGAGTGGAAGAATGGTGTCGAAAAGCAAAGAAAACTTCGTAGACTGTAAGAAATCGCAAAGTGAAGGTTGTTGAAGTTAATGAATGAATTGTAGGTTAAAAAGAGCCAACGACAGAATGTCTACAGTAGAACCTGCTGAACTTGTAGTTTGTTCATTAGTCTGATGCTTTGTCTCACACTCCATCTGTCCATGATGGAATTCCTTCTCAAGTCTACGAGGAGCCAAGGCCAAACAATTTCTTGATGAATTTTCTGATGGTATGAACTGGGAAATAGACGGGCAGCTAGCGGGACTCTCATCACTTTCAGATTCTCCTTGTCTTATCCTCTTGCTATCCCTTGTTAAAGATTCATCAACTATGTCTTCAGATCCCATCAACTCACCCAACCTGAGGTTGTTCCTCTTTAACAGGCCAGATTTTTGTGACAGACTGTTGGAACACTGAGAAGTTTTCTCTCGTCCCAAATTAATTGGTTGGCTTTCCTCGACAAGATCACTCTCTGCCAGGCTAATGCTGATTGGATTGGTTAATATTGACACTGGTGATGCAGTACTTTCATCTAACCTCAAGCTCGGTGCATCAAGATTTGAATCACCATCTTGCCACATGAAATAACTGCAAGCTCCTTGTCCCTGCCCGGGCAAGAATAGAGAAACTCATTTGAACACTTACGCTCCAAACTAATCCGAAGAGATACAAGAAAATTCAACTCCAGACCTTTCTGTCAATGATGACATACAATAAGCAAGCATTCCAAATTCATTACTCAGAAAAAGAAAAAAGGGGCATAGTTTCCTCCTAGACTAGTTCCAGGTCAAGAGATTACAACAATGGACAAATTGACACTTTTTGGTAAACCTGGGAAAGAAGTTTAAATAAATGCTCATCTGCTTCACAACTTAGACATACTCCGTACTTTTTAGATCATTGGGCTTCATTTCTTTAACAAAATACACATGAAACAAGCCAATGAAGAATAAAGGCTTCTTTCCTATAAATAGAGCTTTGCCTACTGAGCCCCAAAAGTTATTCAGTAAGCCTAGTACCTATTCGATAATTGAGATTTTTGTTTTGTATAAAAAAAACTGCGAAAAGATCAAAACACTGCAACAATAGCATGAAGAATATCAAACAACCAAAGTTCTTGAAGCAAGGCAGAAACATCAGTTAAAAGGGGGATATTCAAAATGAGTTAGCTTGCTGAAAAGAAGTGCAGGCATCTACTAACTACAAGCTGCTTAATTACAGCGAGATTTTCCCCAATATTTTTTAACTGAAACGCTCTTTCTTCTCACACATTTCCTTCTATGAAAAGAAATGCTCGGAAATTCAAGCATCTACTACCAATTAGCCCTGCAACAGTGCTTATATCGAATAACATTTTCAACAAAATTACTCCTTTTTCCAAACATTTGCTGCTACGGAAAAAAGATCAAAACTTACAGAAACGGCAGGGATAATCTCCAAGAAAACAGTACCAAAAGTGGGAAAAGTAGAGTAATGCGAACCTTCTTAATGGGGCAGACATAAAATCGACGACCGAAATTTGGTCCTCGGTTGGTCTCCACATCTAAGCGGCAAATTCCAGCACCACAACCACAAAAGGGAGCCTGTTTCATGATCAATCAGTTGAATAGTTGATCACCTTTGAGGTCTACACTTCCAGCCCTCTTATCCCACTTGAAAGCTTGATAAATTTTAGGGGAAACCCAGTTGCTATTTCAAATAACTCAACCCGAAAACTGAACAATACGACGATCAGAAGCCTCCATAGTCAGTTGTACCTCATTAAATAATGGAGCGGAAACAGTCGTAATACAGAACTGGAATAACTAGTTCTTTTCTTTTTCCTCTGTTTTTCTGGAGCAGTGAACTTAAGAGCAAGAAGGGTTTCTGACTTTCAGCTGAAAGTGCTGTTGATCACAGTTAAACTGGATCATGATTCTAATACAGTACTTAGTGGTGGTAGGATGCTACCATAGTACGATTAGTTACTAAACTGTTTTGTTATTTTTACAAATTCTTGAGGTTATTTTTATAATTTTTAAAACTATTTAGGTATTTTTATAATTAAAACTAACATAATTCCGTTAATTTAAACAGAAATTGACAAATTGGATAATATCGACTAACGGTTGGATAGTTTAAGATATTATTGACTAACCGAAAAAGAATAGGGTAGAATCAACAATGCATGTAAAACTTTGGGTTTATCGGCCAATTTTTCTAGTCTCTAACCAGCATCTGCTCTAACTGCTCCTTCTATTTTTTCCTTTTTATCCCTCTGTATATCAAATAGTATCAAGAATAGTCATTGTAATCAGTGTCTTTATAGGAGAAGATTAGAATGTTGGGTAACTTACTGAAGCACGTTCCATCTTTGCTAATTACTTCTGCTATTTTTTTAATTTTTTTTTTTTTGGACTTGGTTCTAATAAATCAGTCATAGTTTTTTTTCATAATCTTCAAAAAAAATACAAGCATCTTTCTCCTTCAGCTTATCTCAAAACAAATCATCACATGACATAGGTGCTAAGATTAAGCCCCGCTTTTTGCCCACTCTGTAAAACTTTTTTTTTTTTTTATGTGTGTGGCCAAGTGTAGAATTCACTCTTTCCATCACCTCCAAAATCAACTGCATAGTAATGAAGCCATCGCCGATTTCCTTTCTAATCGAATGAAGCTCATCGCCGACTGGCCCTTCATCTACTGCCGGTTCAATTACGGACTAAATCCCCATCTAAATTTAAAAATTAAGTGGAATGCTTGAACTTGTGGAGCAAAACCCTGATTCTGAAATTGAAGATTAACATTAGAAGAAGAAGAGAAACTTCCATAGTTATTAGAATAGGAATTGAAATAGGAGAAGAGAATTTGTTATAATGATGAATAGAAAATAAGAACTGGAAGTTGTGATATTTGCAGAGCGGGAGATGAGAGGAGAGGAGGGAGACAGGCGGCTGATCAAACAAAAATAAAGTGAACGAGGAAATTAGGGATTAGGGCTAAATTAGGCAACAAATTAATATTTTGCTCTAGAGGCTAATTATTGTGCTGGCAATATCGCTAGTCAAAAAATAATCCAAATTTGTAATTGTGGTAGATATTTGAAGTGAGATGAATTGGAGTATATTATAATATACACAAACACACTGAAAATTAATATACAAACGCACAAAAAATTACTTCCTCCGTCCCATAATTATTATCCAGTTTGGGTTTTTATTTCTAATTAAAATTACTAAAAATGAAATCTTAAACTGAACAGTAATTTTGGGACAGACTTGTGATGAATTAACCTCACGACTTGCGATCCCAACGTCTGATTGTAGATTTTCGACGCAAACTTGTTTGTCTTGCTTGGATCTAAAGAGGGACGTACCGATCTCATCTCAGGTGGATCCTAATCCTTGTCTATGGTAATAACTACGTAATATCTTTGTCGCTTTTGCTTCTCTTTCCGTGATGGAATCAAATAGGGTTCTTTTGTTGTTCAATTCTTGGTTGAATTCGAAGATAGTTTTATCTGAGACGTCAACCTATCCACAGAGCTATAGGGCAAGGCTAATGATTATAAGGCTTTAGGCCCCAAATTTTGGAAGGCCCCAAAATTGTATATATTATTACTAAAATAATATATATTTAAAAATATTTAAAAAATTAAATGGATTAAGAGGCTAAAAATCTAAAATTATCACGACATTAATCTAAAATTTCAAATTATCACCTAAATTTTAAGCCTCCAAAATTTGATTATGATATGAACTCTTAACTGGTGAAATTTAAAAAACTTGAAAGATTTAATTATTATTTTCACAACTAATAACTATTTAATCTTTGTTATAAATATTTATTGGTATCGATGTCGACAAGACAGAAGAGTTATACAAGGAATCAACTGTTCAGAGATAATATTTAGTTAGATCTTATCATTACTTGCTCTTATCCTTGTATCTTTTGTGTAAAAAAGGAGATCACTCTCCACCAAATAATATACACATATCAATTCTCTCATTCTCTCTCTCAACTTGTTCTCTCCCTCTATTGTTCTCTATCTATAGTTTTTCATATTTATTTTATAACACGTTATCAGCACGAGTTTCTATCCAACTGAGAAGAATTTAATCCGTAGATCTGGGAGTGCAGAAAGTTGATTTTGATCCGTAGATCAAGGAGTACGGTAAGCTTTTCTTGTTTTGTAAATATTAAATGTAACCAAGTGCTCCTGTAGTATCCTTTTCTATTATAAATTTCTACTATGTTAAATTTGCTCCATTAGTAGCAATTTCATGAAAATATTCAAAGGGGTTTTCTTCACTTCCTGAAGCAAGTGGATTTGAATATGTCATATAAACTGACTACTTGAAGTGGTAAATATAAATAAACACACACGATAATGATTGAGCCTGTCAGTCAAGACAAATTATGGGAACATCACGAACCACCAAAAGTTGGAAATTAGTGATAACTATTTTTCAAACATTTTCAATGATTGGATGAGTTTACATTCATGAGATTTTTGGATTCATAAGTATAATGTCGAATTGCTCATAGAGTAGCAATTTATTATTTTGTTAAATTTACTAATATGATTTTGTTAAGAGAAATCACGAGACTCCTTGATTTGATAATTTCTCACTTCTTGAAGTAAGTGAAGAATTAATTTTACAAGTCAAGTTGCAAAAAGTAAATCTTATATAACAATACGAAGATCACATATAAAATATGATTTTTCACCCAAAATGGAAGATTAGAAAATTAAGGAATTGCTCCTGATGTATACATTTATTTTCTTGTTACTATTAAATAAACTATTGAGTTTTTCTTTGATTATTAGACTCGTCAAAATTGGACGACTGTATTTCTTAAAGTGGATGCAATTATCAAAAATTTAATATGGACAAATTGAAGTCCCAAATATAATTGAGAACTGGTAATGATACGAAAAATATATCTAATCACCAGAACTAATAGATTTTAATGAAAATAAAATAATCCACCTGAAATGAAAAGTTGAAGAGAGCAAAAAGGTAAAAGACAGAAAGTGCTATTGCTACAGTATAAAAGATCATCACATACCTACTTTGTGCTAAAAACATATTATTACTCTCCATCATAACCATAAAACTATTTATGTTAACAAAAGTGTTAATGATATTATTATGGAGATGTTAGCTATATGTTCTCTCTGAAGGTGAACAAATCAAGAATCAGAACTATTCATGGATGATCACCATGAAGGTGGTATTAGTTATCTGTTCATAATGATGATATCTAGTGGTAGTGTATTTTATATTTTAGAATAGTAATTTCTTTATTATATACTTTATCGTATACTTTATTATTTATGATTTATGAGTCCAGGCAATGTCATCATTCTTTTGTGATATAAAAATTGATTTAATGCTCCTGTAGAGCATGTATATGAATTTCTTCACAAAATTGGACAAAATCTCCAGAAGAGCAGAATTTGCTATGACAAAATACAATATTGTGAATGCTCCCTAACTACTGGGAACATGTAAGTACATTTTTCCATAAATGAAATTGGATGGAATCTCCTGTAGAGCATCAGTTATATAATACTTTATATGTGTGTTCCAGAAAAGTAAGAATACTTTGGTAGAATGAAAATAACTGATGAAATAATACTACTGTATAGTAGACAAATTTCGTTAGAGTAAACGCTCCAAAAGAGTTTATTTGGCAGAGATGAATAGTAATTGTTTGGCGTCTCCAGAAGAGAACTTGTGAATGTGACTCTAGAAGAATAAATAAAATATGCCATGAGCAAATAAAATTTTGCCAAAATATCAAAGGTGTTCGAGAAAAGATTTTCGAATATCAGAAAATTATTTTCATAGACTTGTACACTAAGAATACAGTTTCCAGAAGAAAGTTGTCTTTGTATTCATGTGTATTAAAATACTATACATGTATTACTATTGTTGGGTTTTATAGTAAACCCGAAGTTTATTAGGGAACTAGAAGTTCACTTCTCATACCAACAAGTCAAACCGGAACTTTACCGATTATAATAAGTTTACACAATTAACATACTTAAGTTCATGTGATTTAAATTTAGAGAACCAGGAGTTTCTTCTAACAAATTAATTGATGTGCTAATAAGTTAACCACTTGTATGTTTATCGTTAACTTGCAACCTGGAGTTTGTGAAAGTTAACTACATACCTTAATTCACTTACGTGTTTCATATTCTCTAATGAGAGAATTTTTATTTGATAGTTCTGGTGAATGTATGACTCAATACCAGAATAAATGTTTCAGTGATAAAACATGAACATAGAGTGCCTATACAAGTAAAAGTGAAACGGTCCAGTAGAATCGTTCATTAAAAGTGTTCAAAAGGAAAGTAAATACCTAATATATACAATCGAAGATGTGTTTAAACATAAAGGCACTAATCATATGTATAAGACCAAATGGGTCTTCAAAAATATTCTTCCAAACATTGGTTTTGGTCAGAAATCATACATATCCATTTCTAAAATTTAGATGTGCGGTTTATATTTTATTGTTCCACCACAATGCACTCAAAGATGGAGATCCTGGAAGAGGTTAAGAACATACGCTGAATTTTGAACCTCCAGCCTTTGGGGTTATTGATGTTGGGTTTTACTATTCGATTGGCTCATGGTCTGTTTGACAAGTTAGTTGCTCCAAGCGGAGATCTATTTACTACTCGATTGGCTGACTATCAGTTTGACAAATTAGTTATCCTAAGCAACCGTACAAATTCAGGCTTCGTCAAGTGGCACGCCCGGTGGGACCGATTTGTTTGGTATTCACAACCAAATAAATTTCTTGAAAAGAAGTCGAAATTTGTTGGTTCTTCATGGTGTCTCAATTCGGATCCAAAAGCAAAAGTCAAGAATTAGGAAATTTTTGCGAAGCTGCTAGCCGTCGACTTCCTTGTCAAGTTACTCCATTCGACGAAGAGACCGATGAAGCTGCGTCAACTTCCATGCGACCTAAACAAACCGACGAACAGGCCGACAAGGGGCAGGAGGATCAACCGAGAAAAATTTTCACTAATTTTATAAAATTTAAAAATCAGCCCCTATACTTTTTATCTTATAGTTATTTACCCTAATACTTTTATAATTTTACAGATAAGCTCTCAAGTCCTTCGAAGCAAGGGGCAATCTCGAAGATTGAAGTTTCGAGAGATACATCTCCTCGAAGGGGCAATCAGTCCTCGAGCATGATACTACTACTCGAAGTGTTCGAGAAGACGTATCTTGTCTTTCTTCTACTCAACTACTATCTTCTTGGAATCGAGGTAACACCTTCTCGAATAAACAATTTATCTCGAAATCAAGGTACTTCTCAAACTATTTTTAATATATTTCTCGAATATAAATTAATCTACTGCTGAAATTCTTTATGAGCATTTCATTACTACATGTCATACTATATTGCATCTCGAGCATTCAAACACGTAGGGGCCACCCTTCAAATCAGGCATTGGGGACCACCCCGCATCAGAAAGGAACGAAAGACCCGTTAGAAAGGCACCGGGTTTAAATAAGACCTGCTTGACAAGCACGACCCACAAAGACCCGCTAGACGGGCAACGGCCAAATAAGACCTACTAGATGGGCACAGCCACAAGATCTGTACAATCGGCAAATATAGACTTCTCACCTTTAAATAAGAGAATACATGCTTCCACCTCCTAATCAGGAACTCACTAATGCAAAGACCTCCTCGAGGCACTTTATTCTCTTTATCTTATATAAGTGACACCCGAGAACGAAAGAGTTCGAGAACTGGAGCAACACTACGAAACTCGAGAAGACATCAACACTCGTAGTAACCTATATTCTTAAGGCTAGGGGCATTTGACGAGTCCAGATTTAATAGGCCCAGGGTTAAATTGCTTAAGGCTAACTCACTGCCTAAACTTATTCCGCTAGAATTTCAATAAACAGGTAACACCACATCTATATAAAGAGGTGGTGCCTCTCTCATATTTCATATTTTCTACTCATCTTCATTCTTCATTGCTCAAGAATGAAGGTATTTCTCAGTTATTATATGTTATTCAAATATATTGACCTACATAGAATTATCACTACGAGAAACAATGAAACACAACTAAAGGATTTACAGAACCCCATTCAAAACACAATTGCTGACTGCAATTGTATCAACATCATTGAACTATAAAGTGATCAGTATATTCCACTAATAAGCTCCATCAAAAGAGCAGAGCTTTAAATTACCTCCTCATTATTAGCCTTCGAATATTCCATGGCATTAAATTCCAGGAAAAAAGAACAACTCGTTCAAATCAGTATAATGGTTTTAACAGAAGCGGAAAAAAAAATAAAAAATCAACGAACTAAACTATTCAAATGAAATACATATTATAGTAATTTTTAGAATATCATACAAACATGAGAGGTATTAAAAAAAAAAAAAAAACCCTCCATATTCAACGGGATGCCCCAAAGGGGTGACCTGAGAACACAAGTAAATACTTGGAAATGTACCATGTTGAGTAGCCAAATATACAATTTAATGTATAAGCATCCACTTGTGATCTCAGGTTCACCACTTCAGGGCTTCTCCGGTGGATTTTGGCACTTTGGTACCAAATATATGCATTTTATTCCAGCATCTTTTTATTCTGATTTGTGAGTTGTGATTACTTATACTGATGTCGGGTCATGAATGTCGTCATGGTATCGACACATCTACAAAATGGTGTCATTCTTCCGACATTATGCCGTCTCCTATTTTTATTTTATTTTTAATGAAAATAATGTTGAGTGTCATTGAAGTTGTTGGACTTGGAGCCGGATAATTGAGATCTTTTACTGTACGTATATCTATGATACTCGCACTTGATCGCTACAAAATTCATGAACTTGAGAATAATTACCAGACGATTGATAATTACGAGTTAAAGTCTTAATAAATCATTGATTTGTTTCTCTCTCGATTTGTGTATATATGTTCTTGAAATCCTTACAAATTTATCAAAGAAATATCAACCTAAGAACCCATTGTCTGTAATAGATTAAAAATCGCTGTACTTTATGTGCACTTCCATTTGACTTAAAGTGCACTCCCTTAAACGCAAAACTCTCCCTTCAACTGTTTACAGTTTGACCCCATAACAACATGATGACATGCCATATTACAACTTTCAAGTTCAACGTTGACATTTCATTTTTTAAATTATATCCATTTCTAAATTCATAATATATTCTATTGATTCATTGGTTGTGTAAGTTAGGTATCCTCCAGTTTTTCATTTATTTTTTTTTCACAAAAAAATAATAAAATAATTTTATATGTTTCAAAGATATATATAATACTAGTAGCACAGGCACAAGCCGAGTCCTCAAACGCGCAAAATGACCGCCCCGCGCATCAAACGAGTGCGTGTCCACAAACTAAAACTTGGTAAAGTTTCAGCCATTTTTCACCGCGTTGACCCCCCTAATAAATATCCCGAATTGTCTCATCTTCAACCATTATTATCCAAAACATTTTGAATCCTCTGTTTTTGGTTGAAAAAAAATCACAAAGTTGATTTCCAATGGAGTTTCCTCATGATAAAGATCACACCAAAAAACCCAACAAAACCAGTAATCACCCAACACCATCTTCCTCCGAACTTCTGTCCAGTGCCAAAATCGTGGCCAACGCCGCCAAATCCCAATTCAATCATGACCCCAATTACAAGTTTGACAAGGCGGAGGTCGCCGGAGCCGCCGAGAACATCCTCCACGCCGCCTCCCAGTACGGGAAGCTAGACGAGAAGGGCGGCGGATTGGGGAAGATGGTGGGCCAGGCCGAGAATTACCTCCACAAGTACCACTCCTCTCAATCCACCACCACCACTACGACGACCACTAATCCGGGTCACTCCACCACCACTACCCACACGACGGGGACGAAGCCTCACAAGGAGGAGCACGGTGGTTCCGGCGGTGGGTACGGAGATTATATCAAGATGGCTGAAGGGCTGATGAACAAGCATTCTGGAAGTAGTGGTGAAGGGGGACATTCTTCTGGTGGGAAATATGGAGATTATATCAAGATGGCTGAAGGGTTCTTGAAGAAGTGATCGGGATGGACATGGAGATTTCTTGAAGAAAAAGTATCAATTTACATTTAGCTTTAATGTTTTCTGAATCCAGTTGTCTTATGCTTTTTAGAGGAAATTTATGGGCAATGGTTAGACCTCTCTGTATCCATGGGTTAATTCGTTTGATCCAAATAACATGAACAAATTGAAGTGTTTAATCTGATTCTGGAGTTCAGTTTTTCTTTATGAGCTTCTGCTGTTGATGTTTCTTTGCTGAAAATGGTCTTAAAAGTAGCAAACAAGAAGAATCAAATCGACCCAACTTTTAAAAGCATCATCGAAACAAACACACATATTTTTCTGTCTTCCACTGATGTAGTAATAATCTTTGAGCAGGGTCGTCTTCTACAATAGACAGAAGTAACAGTATCTGAATTTACGTCATCATTCATCAAGTTCAGTAACCAGTGCAAATCAGAAAAAAAAAAAAAAAAAATTAAAATATCACTTGTCTGAATGAATCAAACTAAATGCCATTAAGCTTATCTACCAGAAACCCTAATGTTCACGCAATTCTACTAATGGACTGAAAAACGTTTGTCTTATGTTGTGTTTTTTTTTTTTTCCGGTTGACTATTAGCCAACAAGCACAAATAAATTCATCATAATCCGGAGCTAATGATAGTAGTATCAAGAACCTTGAAAAGAACATTTTGTTCAGATTTCATTAATTTGATGATGAATTTATCAAGTGTTTAATCAAAAGAGATGAAAGGGTCCCCAAGGTGGCCTAAATTTGATGTCCACAGAAGTCACCACCTCTTTGAAGATTCGATTAAAGCCTTAACGGGTTCGTGGCTTCCTCATAATACAAGTCTTAGGTACGTTTTCATGTGACAAGAAACGGATAATGTCCGATCTGGTGGGTCATCAATCAATATGATCTGGACTGGAAAAATTAGCTTAGTAACTAAAAAAATACTGAATGAATCTGGCCTTTGATTCAAATCTTTTTTTCTGCCTATTCTTTGCTGTTAGGAATTAGGATTACTTATTATATGTGATCCTCAACACAACTACTGCAAAAAATAAAAAAATAAAATAAAAACAATCAGTTGAAAGATAGTGAAAGAGTAAAGTCAAGGGCCAAAGGCCAATCAAAGATCATCATAGTTGTATACCAAAATAAAAAATAAAAAAGATCATCATAGTTGTGGTATTGAGGAGTTTACGACTATTTTGTATTGGAGTAAATGGAATTAAATGAGCTTCATGAAATCATTGAAAGAGAAAAGAGAGACAATGAGGGTTCCACTTGCTTTTCCATCAACCACCCATCCCTTCACAACCCATAAAAGATCCACAAGTTGGCCAAATTTTAACATTTCTTTGCCGACACCCTCATCTTCGATTGATTGCTATCTTTTGGACCCCCCCAAAAAAAAATATCTTCAAGTCTTTTTCCCTTGTTTTTCTTTCTTTTTTCAGTACCAATTATTTCACTCACCCACAACTTTCCAGCTAAAGTTTTTTTGAGTCTCAAATCTAAAAACTCTTATGACCATAAAACAATGACTAAATGAGCTAGTAACTTCTAATAAAGGATTACAAATATTTTGATATGACCGAAAATTGTGAACCAGCAACGAAAACCAATAAGAGCATCTTTACAAGTCGACAAGCTCAATTAACTTGGCAACACGGAAACCAATACACGTCTACAACACTGACTGATCAACTCTCAAACAAACTGAATCCATCTATAAATACCCACCCAAATAGCTCACATCCTCCCTGTATTCAGCTTTGAGTGAGCTAATTCTTCAAATAGTATTTCAACCAACTTTTACTCCTCCACTGAAAAAAAAAGAAAATAAAAAAAAAATCCAAACTTTCCTTACTCTGTGAAATAGTTTCTCCCACCAATGGATTTCTTGAAGAAATTTGCTGAAACCAACATCTCCAAGGCTGAAGAAAGCACTGAGAAACCATCATCAGAACCGGCAGCAGCAGCAGCTGATCATCAGAGCAGCAATCCGAGTGATCTGTTCTCAAGTGCTAAACTTGTTGCTGAGGCAGCCAGATCCACAATCCAGAAAGAAGAACCAAAATATGATAATGCAGAGGTTGCAGGGGCGGCTGCTGATCTTCTTGATGCTGCTCAGACTTATGGGAAGCTAGACAAAACTTCTGGTGTTGGAAGTTATATTGAGAAAGCAGAGACTTATCTTCATGAATATGAAACTTCCAATAAACCAAAAACTGTTCCTCCTCCAGAAGCGCCCAAGACTGAAGAAAAAGAAGCTCCCAAAACAGAGGATTCCCCTGTTAAGGAAGAAACTAAGACTGAAACAGAGGAGGCAGTGAAGACTGAAACAGAGGAAGCTCCAAAAGAAGAAGTAAAAGAAGAGATTCCAAGTGAACCAGCCAAACCCACAACTACTGAGGAACCTAAATCAGAGATTCCAAGTGAAGTTGGTGAGTATGCTAAGATTGCTGAAGGGTTCTTGAGCAAGCAATCTGAAGGAACAGGAGAATCTGAGAAAAGTGGACTTGGAGATGTTGCCAAGCTAGCTGGTGGTTTCTTCAAATAGATTCGATGATGACACATATGATCAGAGTCGCCAGATCCATCTGTGTGTATTTTAAAGAGTTCCAGATTCTTCTTTAGTAACTTTCGTTTTTTCTTCATCATTTAGTGGTGTATTCATCGTGCTTGTAATAGCCCTTGTATTTGTTCCCTGGTTTTCTGCTTGTTTGGTTTCAAAAATTGGAAAAAAACAAAAGAAAAGATTGGGTTGTGTGTTTTACTTAGTTGAATTTGTGTGAAGAAAATGGTTATTGCAGACTGTAATTGCTTTTTGGTTTCTTGGATTTTCTTAATTTCTTTGGATTCTTCTAACGTTTGCAACGTAATGCTTACATTGTTGTTTGTGGCACGCATGATGATGTATCTTTAGTCAATGTATTTGATGTTTTCTGAACTTTCGGCCTTATCTTGTGCCAACAATAATTGAACAGAAATCAATATGTTATTGAAGAAACTATATGGTCCATTTATCTATATGATCCATAAAACCTAGCAGGATTTTTACTGAATATGATAGTAACCAAAAAAAATAAGTAAATAAAAATGGAAAGGAAGATGTCACTTGGCACCATTGCCATTGAGCATGTGAAGAGTTGAAAGAAGTTATGTCAATTTAACAATAGAATTCATATACATGTAACAATGTACTACCTCCGTCTCACAAAAATAATCTACATTGAATTTTCAAATTTACACTAAAAACAGTACAAAACTCAAAATCTAATGTGGACTATTTTTATAGGACAGAGTAAATAATAATGATTAAAATACTTATCCAGATAACTTTATAATATTTACATTCATAGTATAATTCACAAATTACAATTTCTACCAAAGGTTCCCCTCTTTAGATTACAGTGTCAAAACAACTAAAAAAACACAGGTGACTGTTACAATCAAGACGAATTAATTAGGCAGAGGTTACAAAAAAGTCGGTTCATTGGGTTTCTTCAACATTGTCTCATTTGACGAAGCATTACATTTTTTTTAATCAAAGAACAAGAACCCGTCAAATCAAGGTCGTTAGTATTGTTAATCTCAAAAATCAGCATACAACTGAACAAGATTAAATTCAGCTTTAGGCAGTAAATGATTCTCTGTCCTTTCATTTTTGGTAAATAATATTCCGTTTGTTCCGGAAAAAAAAAATGATCAGTTACATTTTATTTTAGTCTAAATTGTATTGAAAATATAGCTGATACTTCCCTCCTTGAAAACTATTATTCCCCAATTGTAAAATTATTATCCAGTTTTGATTTTCACTTTTAGTACAAAATCGTTTAGTTTGCATTTTACTTTAGTACAAATTGTACTGAAAATATAGCAGATATTTTCTTCCCTATAAACTATTATATATCTGTCCCGAACAATAATTTCAGGACAGAGAGAGTATTAAAGAACAAGATGGTAGAATTTTATGACATTAAATTCACATGCACAATGGTAAAATAACTTTTTTGGAGAAAAGTTCTGTCTTAACAATAAAAGAAAATCGAATTAAAAGACTTATAATTTGAAGGCATGGCCAATTGACTGTTTAAATCAACAACAATAATCATAATAATACTCCCCCGGTGGTACCAATTTATTAATTAATTTTAAAGAAACCTTTTTTTCTAATATAACATAAATTCTATAAAAATGGATATATAATGAAATTTATAAAATCAATAAATATACTATAAGAAATCGTGATAAAAATAAATGGCGGTGAAACTACGCGGATTTACTTAGGGCATCCGATATTTCAGGGGCACGCTATGTAGGAAATTAGGAAACTTTAATCCAATTCCATACGGAAATTGGATATTTGAATTCCCCTTTCGACTCTGTTTACGTTGTTTGTCCTCAAACTCAACTACACTTATAAATATAACCCCCTCGATGCTGTTCTTGTTGCTTACTTCCCACTCGACTTTTCTCCCAAGTTTTAATCTTTGCTCTCTCTCGTCAATCACCGTCGACGTGATAATAATCTCTCTGTTTTTCCATCATCCAGCAAATCACTAAATTGTTGGGTTCCTGAGAAGAGGTTATCGTTTATTGATTCGGGAGATTTAGTAAATTCAAGGTTGGTCATGGAGATCGAGAGAAGTAATGCATCTGTTTTCGATCGTCCGCCACGCCCTTATGCGAATAAGAACAAAGTCTGTCACTTTTGGCTCCAAGACAGATGCAACAGGAACCCCTGTAGGTTTCTTCACCCGGCTTTTCCGGAATCACAGAATTGCAGCGGGAACAATTTCAAATACGTTAATGATGTCAGGGTTCCGAATTCCGGCCAGATTGCCGGAAGTAAGAACGGTCAGATGAATCCGGAGAAGGGAATATTGGCCAGAACAACAGAGCAGCTTGGATCGAAGCAAAAGAAGCTTTGCCCATATTGGGTCGACGATAGATGCGTTTACGGTGATAATAACTGCAGATTCCTGCATTCATGGTTTTCCGGATCTGGGTTTACTTTCTTGACCAAATTAGAAAGACACCAAAAGGGAATCTCGGGGATTGCAATTCCATCTGGATCAAGCAAGCTGTTTTCAGGCAGTATAGATGGAAGTGTTTGTGTTTGGGACTGTGAGAACGGCCAATGCGTTGGAGGTTTACAGCTTGAGACTGAAATTGGATGTTTGATGAGTGAAGGTCCATTGGTGTTTGCCGGATTAAGAAACGCCGTTAAAGTCTTGAACATGGAATCGAACACCGACATTGTTTTGCCTTCTGTAGGTGGTCTTGTCAATGCCATGGTCCTGAATGATGGTGTGTTATTCGCCGGCGTAGAAGACGGTTCAATTTTGGCATGGAAGTCGAATTCGCAATCCGGCAAGCCTGAAGAATTGGCAGCTCTAAAAGGCCACAATTCTGCCGTAATCTCCCTGGTTGTTGGAGCAAATAGGCTGTTTTCAGGGTCTAAAGATCAGACCGTAAGAGTTTGGGATCTTCAAACATTGGAATGTATTCATACATTAAGAGGCCACAATGGTTCAGTGACTTCCCTAATTTGTTGGGACAAATTCCTGTTTTCTGGATCGTTAGACAAGAGTTTGAAGATTTGGGGAGCATCAGCTGATCAAAGTGGGGATTTGGAAGTAATGCATGAGATGAAACAAGAGAGTGGGATTCTTGCTTTATGTGGGATCACAAAAGAAGATCAACAACAACACATTCTACTTTGTTCGAGTGAAGACAACGTTGTTAGAATGTATGACTTGCCATCGTTTGCAGAGAAGGGAAGAACTTATTCAAAGGGTCAAGTCCTGGCTGTTGAGACTGGTCCTGGAGGACTGTTTTTCACTGGTGATTCCACTGGAAAGTTGAATGTATGGAAATTGGATTGAATAAAATAATAATAATAAAAAAAAATCCATTTTTTGATGTATGAACTCGTGGAGTTTTTTGTAATCCATTGTTTATTAAAAATATAACACGGTTTTGTGTAAATTTCTTTTGCCAGCATAAATATTTTCTCACCACTCTCCAGTAATAATTACCAGTATTTTTGAGTATCTATGATCAGAAAAAGAGCTACTGTACTAATTGATGGATGTTCACAAAAACTAATTAAATAAAACAATTAATCACCTTGAAGTAGATACTTGCAGATCACAAACATAAAATGTTGATCCAACAGAAAGCACGATTTAAAATAGATCACCAGCAAAAACGAATTTAGAGAGTTATTGAGCAAAAACTTCGTGTGTTATTGATGGATTTTTCGGCTTCAATAGTCACTTTAACCACTTCATTTCAGTTTGGGATTGGATCTGCCCCTTGATGTCTAATTACTTGATTTGGTTTTAATGGGCTAGTTTAGTTTGTACAAAGGAGAGAAAGTCTAATAGTCAATCAACCAGTGTAGTTTAAATTGTTTAATTTAAATTTTTATTTTTAGTTTAAATTGTTCTAAAAGAAAAATTTTAATAGGCCCATAATTTTAGGACAGAGAGTACATCAAATTCAAAGAATTATAGTCATACCAGTGTAGTTATGAAAGTGTTTGTAGCCTGTAACAAAAAATAGCAAAGAAGAAAAACTATCCGGCGGGTTTGACCCAGGTGAATCAACGAAAATGTAAATTTAATTTTACCGGTTCAAGTATCCCCTGAATTACCGCTCCTTTTCGGTTTATTTTACGCAAAAGACAATAAAACGACAACATTTTCGCAACAATCAACCAGCTAAAGACGTCATCTGCGCTAAGAAGAAAACAGAAAGGGAGAAATTTTACCCTTGTTTATTAGGCGAGCAGAAAAGGGGAAGAGGGGGATGAGAGAAAGAAGAGGTTCTTTTCTCTCCTGATCTCTCTTCCACTGAAGATCTTCTTCGAAATCATCGCCAAACCTCAGTAAGTTTTTTTCCAACGTTATTTAATCCTCATATCCCATTGTCGGTGCGAATTACAACTTCCTGCTGTCTTGGTTTGTCACATTTGTTGCCAAGCTTCTGGGTTTTCCTTTTCATTTCATCGTTTTCGTGTTGTTTCTACAGATGTTTGATCCTTTTTAAGATTCTTGTTCGGGATCATTAATAATTATGCTGTGAATTTTTGTTGGGTTGAATTTAAATTTCACTTTAAGGTTTCCTCTGTAAAAGCTCGGTTTTTTTGGTCATCTATTCCTTGAATTTGCTTTTCTTAGCTCACCCCCGTAAGATATGGAAAAAGAGGATAAGAATGCATTGAAATTGACGAAAGAAGCAGTTGGGGGTTTTAGAATAAGGCGATTACAGGGGTCGTAATCGCTCTTTTGGGGCTGGAGTTCGTCAAGGTCATTTGCATCAAAGGGTTTATTCTTATGGGTTTTTTTTTGTGATCTTGGGATTGGGGCTTGATGCGTGATATCTCAGTGATTGGGTATTTGAATAGCATTTTGAGATGGTGAAGTCACCATATCTATTTTTCCGATCATGTGGAAGCTTATGTCCAGAATCTGAATTTTACTTCCGTAAATAATGGGTGTATTTCAGTCAGTACTCCTCACTCTCTGCCGCATTTCCAAACTTGATTTGAGAAAAATAGGATAGATCATCCTTATCCCTTATTATGTAACAAGTGTTTTAAGATTGTCTTATCTGTCTACTGTCTGGAAGTGATTCAGCTAATCCTTTTTGAATTTTTCACTGTTTGACTGATCTTGCTGTTGAACCTAATTACATCTGTTACTCATTGTCAGCCAGTGGTGTTTGTCATTATGTGGAAGTGTCTTTCAAATGCCTTTGGAAGCTCTGGTCCAAAGAAGGTTAGTTCGAGTGAGAGTCTGCCTTTTATAGAAGACTCATCTGATGACGAGACATGTTCAAATGTCAGTGTTGAGGAAGGGTTGGAATGTCCGATATGCTGGGAATCTTTTAATATTGTCGAAAATGTTCCCTATGTTCTTTGGTGCGGCCACACTCTATGCAAGAATTGTGTCCTAGGGCTTAAGTGGGCTGCGTTGAAGTTCTCCTCTCAACATATTCAGATTCCGTTCTTCATTTCATGTCCATGGTGCAATTTGTTGACATTTCGACTCATTTACAAAGGAAATCTCAGATTTCCCAGCAAAAACTTTTTCCTCCTCTGGATGGTTGAGAGCAGAAATGGTGACCGGATGAAGACCTCTTCCTCCATCTGCGGGGACCATCAGGTATGGTCTCCCAGGTGCACTTCAGTGATTGGAAATCCTGCATCCAGTACCCTTAATAGAAGGGTACATCGCCTTGGCAATTCAGGATCTAACAACAATGAGATTGGACTGGCCAACCGTACAAACACCATGGACAGGCCCCAATTTTCCTTTCAAAAATCCCTTGATTACTTCTTCAACTTAACAGCAAAGCTTCCGCTGATCGTGGTACTCCTTACCATTGTTGTCTTTGCACTACCCTCTAGTGCTGTCATATTGATACTTTACTTGGTCATCACAATCGTGTTTGCCGTCCCAGCTTTTCTGGTATTGTACTTTGGATATCCTGCTCTAGATTGGCTGGCAAGAGAAATCACCTCCTGATCTTATGTGAAACTTTCGAGTGGTTCAGTTGTTTGTGGAACTCTTTCGTGTGTTTCTTGATTAAAATCTGTAAATGCATCGTTGAAGTTTGTGCTTGATTTGGTTGCCTTTTGTAGGGTTTCCTGAGTTCTGTTTCATTTTTATTTTAGTTTTAAATTATGTAAATATGTTTATGAAATGAAGGGGGCTCTGTGTTGTTATGAGTATTGCGCATTGAAACCTTATATTAAAATCTAATATGCAAGCTTTGGCCTTATCTAGAAGGTGATAAAACCTTGATCTGCAAGTATTTCTTTGTGGGTTCCACTTTGTAACCTTTATGAAGGAATACACCAAAAGAACTCTTGTGATCACTGTTTATTTGTGTTTAAAGTTGTTTTCCTTTATAAAGATAAACACACCAGAATGAAGTTTTCACACAAGCTTCACAGTCTGGACCCATGAGAAATAGGTCCAGAATACAAGGTATCGGTTTGTTGTGACTTACATGCTAGAAATTTTCTTTTCTGAGAAGTTCAGAGTCGCATATAGCCATAAATATAAAGGCAGTAAATTATCCCTGACATTTCAAAACCACCAACATGTTGTCGGGAGTTTACCCGTTAATCTGATCTTGTTTGCTTTCTCTTTCGTCTTAAACTCTTCATTTTTCCTATTTTCCTCGGCCTGTGATCTCGCTCCTCCAGCAGTGCTTTCAATACTCGCAAGTTCGCTCTTGTAGTGCTGCATTGCCTTTGCCCTTCTCTTGTCAAGTTCAGCCTGAGACATCCATTAGTTAGCTAGTTATCTCGTCTCAAATAGTATTATGAGGTTATATGCAAGTCACATATGGAGTGACATAGCCGAACCTCAGTTCTTTCTAGTCTGCGTTTTGCCTTGGTTTTCTTCTTCTGTTCCCAGTCAAGAATTTTGGTCTTTAACTTGGCATACCTGCAGTAGTTTGTCAGCAAGCAAGCACAAATGATTGATCTTGGTAGATTTTAGGGTTTAACTCTGTGTTGAACAAGTTGTAATGCAAATATGCAATTGTCAAATTTGTGTGTAAGCGTGTGAATTCTCTCTCTCTTTTTTGGGTGGGTAAAAAAGATGAGCATACCTTTCGTGTATGCTAGCCAGTTCATTCTTTTCCCATGTGTCTGCATCAATGTCCCCTTTGACTGGAGCCTTGGTGCTCTGGCTCACGATATCAGCTGGTAGAAATGGTGGCCGAACAGGGGAGGGAACCTCACGCTTTTGTTCTGAAGCCTCTGATTTTCTACTTCTCGTCCTGTCCACAGTCTTATCAAAGGTGGACGTCTTTTTAATGGATGGGCGAATGGGCTTCTCATCAGGCAATGTACCTTGAGGTAGAAAACTAGATGTGGTGTTCAAGTTACTATCCGCAAAAGAAAGCTTTTTCTTGACTGGTGGAGCAGGAGGGATAACTGCCGCTGTTTCAGGCATTTTCTCTGTTGCTCCTGTTGTAATATGCACCCTCTGATCTGGAATGCCTAAGCTTGGCTTTGGAACGTCGTCTGTGTTACATAAATTTCAAGAAGAAACAGTGAGAAATGGAGTCTTGAGGAGTTTAGGTTAAGGAACCTCCTTTAATACTACATCCACCTGAAAATTTTATTGATTTTGTGCGTCGTTCAGCAGGCGGGGGAGGAAGAGGAGGAGGAGGAGGAGGAGCTGTTGTTTCCTCTGTCTTCCTCACGGTCTCTTTCTCTGGAAGTCGACTTCCCTTTCTCGCATCTCTGCCTTTTGATTCTTCAAGAGATTTGACAGCAAAAGCCGCGGCTGCAACTGCGAGTTGATACTCTCCTTCAGCGATGGAATCACTATCCTGCCCCATTGATCCTGAAAACTGCCTCTTTATCCAGCTCGGGGTCCTTTTTTTCTCTGTAATTGATTCCAAAAAGGATATAAATTGTCAAGCAGAGATATATAACAAGGGAAACAATGGCCATCAACGAGCTGTTTTCTCAGTATACCTCCTTTGAATGATTGAGTTTTCTGGAGTGGTATAGTGCTCTCCCTGCTGCTGCCTTCTTTATCTTCCTGCCCTACGTAGGGAGACCTTGTCCTAACAATAAGTTGCAAGTGACAATGCTTTAACAAATGGTGATTAGCAATTTAGCATTACGTAAATTAGATTGTTAATCGTGCTCTATTAAAACGCATAGTTTTTTGTTGATAAGAGAATGCTGCGAAGGAAACATGTTGAGTACTCTTTATCAAAAGTTCAAAGTTACCTCAATTGCCTGAACAAACTGTCCATTCTTTTCAACTGGTATAAACTTGAAGTTATTTGCGAGAGAACCGAATTGGTTGCTTCATGGCCTTGATCCTTATTTGAAGGTCAAGAATTGGAAGAGAAAGGTTTTCTGTCAGAGCTGGATAAGGAGGCAAGTAAAGTGGGATACCTTTGCAATAGTAAAGGGGTGTTTTGGTTGTCATTACTATCAAGAAAGGCATTCCTTTTCTTCTTCAACAAGTTCAAAGTTCATTTCTGTCTCCTTTTTAAGTATCTCCTATTGAATATATTATGGAATGGTCCCGAGCATCTTTATGATGTCCTTGATTGGGATGTTCCTTCTAAACGACTAACAAAGATTCTTCCTGATCTCAGTGGAATTGGCATTTATCTTGTTACTCTTCTTCCAAGTTTACCTCTTTTGGGGTGTCAGATATAAAATATATAAAAACGGCATAAAGCTCTGCTAAAAGTTGCAGACATGCTTGGAACTCCATTTGCTATTATTCAATTTTAACTTCAATCACAAGGCCCTTTTGAATTGCAATGATAACTGTTGTGAGGTCAAAATAAAAGAAGAATCTTGTTGAATATTCTATCTGATGAACTGAAGGAATCTACGATGTCAGGTTTCCTCTCTGAATGAGGCCGTCTGTTTTTCTTTTTCTTTTTCTTTTTTATTTTTTTCTATGCACAAGCAGGGGCTTTAAAGCCTTTCATTCTGGCATACACTACTGAATCGGGCACCACAATAATCGGCTCAGAAGCGTCAACAACCTGGGGATAAAGACCTGGGATATCAGATGATTCAGTGAGCTCCAGTGGAGTGCCATTCAACAGCAACACATCACTTTGGATGTTGCCTTTTTCTGGAGTTAGATGATACTCTTCTCTTTGTTCCGTTGTGCCGTAGCTTTGCATTAATTTTCTTTGAGGGTACAGATTGAGGTCATTCACTACTGAAACATGAAAAGTAGTGGAATTCGACATGTTGATTAGGAGGATAGTAATGCCAGTCTGCAAAATGAGACACGCAGATTTTAGCCAGAGAAAACTGAATAAAATGAGGTACATTACGAAACACAGAAGAAAACGAGATTTTGGAAATGGAAAGTAAGCAACTTACACTATTTTTTGAGCAATGAGAGTAAGCTCGCAAATAAGGAGATCCATCATGAGTGGTAGCAAGAACATTTTTGCCCATAAGTCGATGCCACAACAGAGCACTGTTAGAAGATTGATCAGAAGCAAAACAGATATACTTAGCAAAGTTCGATTGTGTTAAGGTAGGGTTTATATCACGATATAAGGACACTAACCCATAATAATCTGGATTAGGGATGAAAGAAGTTGTGTTGAGAAGAGCATAATTTCCTCCAATTAAGGCTTGTCTGCAGAAAACTTGGTGATTGAAAGTTGATGTCATTCCTAATTGATCCAAATACCTGTTTCGACACGATCAAACCACAACCTTATAAGCTATCTGTTGCTATAAGAGTTGAAAGAGCAGTAAAACATTTATCAGATAACAAACCAGAATCCATTTGCAAAGGTATGAGAGACATCTTTGCCTCCACTGTTATAAGCTCCACCTGCTTCTCCAACCCATGTTTTTGCCCAGGGTCCAAACAATCGTACACTGATTTCTGCATCCTTGTATGTCTGAGCTACTTGATCGAGGAAAAATGGATCCTGAACCTTGTTGATCAAGTCTTTATCAACACCTGGAAAACAGAAAATGTGTTGGCCACAGAAACAATTGACAAGAAATGAAATCTGGATAGGCACAAACCTGCACCAAGGTTGTATGTATGATGAGTTACAGCATCCACGACGCCTGGTCCTGATGTTAGAAGGAAAGTACTGAACCATTTCTCATCATAAAAGCCACCAGGTCCCAAGACAAGTGGACGTGTGGTTTCATTTGGATACAACTCTTTCACTATGTTTTTGAGTACAATCATGTCTTTTCCATACTGATCTGCCTCTACTCTAGCAGACACCCCACCTGCGGAAAGTTCGTTTCCTACAAAAATATGCAAGAAAAATGTGTTTGAATTCAAGCTGCAATGGTTTATCTTTGCATTCAATGGAATTTGACTTCTAGTTACCAAGTTCATAGGAGTCAATCTTGTATCCTTTGTTGGCTGTGTAGGTCATTAAATCGCGGGCGTTCTTAGGATTCCAATCTCCTACCCAAAGGACATTATCTTCTTTAGCTTTTCTCCTTCCAAGAAGAGCATTCAAGCCAAATGTTAACAAGACCCTGCAGAGATGAATATTGATGTGCAATATAATCAGTTCAGTCTGAGTCATAACAACAATGTTAACCTTAAATTGAGTAGTAAGAGGGGATCATACCCTGTTCTGTTGAATAAAGCATTAAGCTCATCCCATCTCTTCATTGTAAGGCAACCTCTGCTGAAGCCAAACAAGCCATCATCAATCTTTTTCAAGCTTGGGCATTTCTTTACTGCAGTTCCAACCTGATACACAATTTGATCTTCAAGAGAACCTCCAATCCTGATTCGAAGATGGCCAAACGCTGAAATCCAATACATTAAAAGATCGAATTATGGAAAGCTCAAGTGGTTGAAGCCTGAAGCAACTAATTCAAAGTAAAAAAAAAAAAACTAAAAAGCAATGGGAGGGTTAAAATGAAAGACCTGGCTGATCATTCAACTTGCATATGCTTTGAAGTATGCAAACTTAAAATCATTACAATCCACAGACTAACCTTTGATGGCATTTTGAAGAATCTTGTTGTCCAAATCCTGCAAAGTCAAGAACAACTCATGAAAAACTGTAAGATGTCAAAAGCTGTTTCTTTTTTCAAAAGTTGCATATAATCTAAGAGTGTGGCAGTCATATATACCAAGTTGAAGATGCCAGCTTTTTCCCATGGGCACTGACCGTAATCACATTTATTTTGAGGCCACCAGTCTAAAGTTGCACATATGAAGTTATCATCAGTCTTAGCAATGGAGGTCACTGTTTGCACTTTCACCTTCACATGCTCTGTTGCATCTGCTAAAGACGACAAACAAAACCACCATGAAAAGACCCAGCAACCCCACGAGAAAACAGCTCTAGAAGAAGAACCCATGATCAGTGATCACAAGAAAGTAAAAGAAGAAGAAGAAGAAAACGGTAAAGCTTTTCCTCTGCTCTGCTGACAACATAAAAGGAGGTGGCTTAAATATAAAGATAGTATAAAGTTGAACTTTTTCACGCATTTTACGCAAACAGATTTTGGACTGATTTAGAAATTCCATCTGGAAAATCCTGGGTCGCGGCAAATCTTGACCTCTTCTTGAACCTATCGTTTCCCCTTCCCAGGATGCGTAACCCCTTTCTCGAAATTCTGGGTAAATACCAAACCAGGAAAAAAGGGTTAAATTTCACTTTATCTAAATTACTCAAAGACAAACTTATCTAGTTTAGTTCTTCCATTCCTAATTCAGAAGGCTTAGTTTTAACTCATCCTCCAAAAAACCGAAAAAGATTGGATTTTTATGAAAAGGCTCTCTTGCTCAAAACAAAAGACAAAGCAAATTTATCAATCAGTCATTCAACTATCGTTTCTTTTTTTAGGGGGGAAAAAGAGAACCCGCCGCTTAAGATCACGAGTTCTGGTAAATTTACCATAGTAAATTAGTGCCACCAAATTCATTACTTTACTCCAAAGCCAAATATATAGGAGTGAAGAACTGAAGATGGCCCCACAAGAACTATCACAAAGAGTAATATACAATCACATCAAAAACATATTGGGATCCTAATGATCTCGCTACTGTTTCTTCGGTGTCATTAGTTATTTTAGTTTCAGCTTCAAATCAATAGGTGGAGCCACTTCCCCGCCTATTTTGGATGTGCAGTTTGAAATAGGATGGTCATTGATAATGTCAATAGCCAGTAAGAGATGCCTTCATCTGTTGGAAAAATGTATGAATATTGATCAATTAAAGCAAGCTCATGCGCAAGCCATTACTTCTGGGATTGGAACAAATAGCTTTGCTCTTAGTCGACTTTTGGCTTTCTGCTCGAACCCAGTTCGTGGGAGCTTACTTTATGGATATAAAATTTTTAAACAGATTGACCAGCCCACAATCTGTATTTGTAATACAATGATCAAAGCTTTCTTGCTGAAAGACGAGCAAGAGAAAACTATGGATGTATACAAATGCATTTTGAGAAATGGGATGTACCCTGATAATTATACACTTCCTTATGTGGTGAAAGCTTGTGGAAACATGAAAAGATGTGATCTTGGGGAGATAATTCATGGGCATTGTTTGAAGTTGGGGTTCTCGGGTGATATTTATGTGGGCAACTCTCTAATTGTAATGTACTCTGGTTTTCACAACATGGAAGCAGCACAGCTTGTGTTTGATGAAATTCCTAGGCCTTGTGTTGTATCATGGACAGTATTGATTTGTGGGTATGCTAAAAAAGGGGATGTTTTTACAGCAAGATTGATTTTTGATGAGGCACCATTGAAGGATAGAGGAATTTGGGGAGCTATGATGTCTGGTTATGTCCAGAATAATTGCTTTAAGGAAGGATTAGGATTGTTTAGGCTAATGCAGTTGAAAGGGATTCAACCTGATGAGGCTATACTTGTTAGTGCACTTTCTGCTTCTGCTCATTTGGGTTCATTTGATGTTGGAATTTGGATACATAGACACATTGAAAAGTTTAAACTTCCACTGAGTATCAAACTGGGCACTGCTTTATTAGACATGTATGCTAAATGTGGATACTTAGATGTAGCTGAGAAGGTGTTCTATGAAATGCCAAAGAGAGATGTTATTTGTTGGAACACTATGCTCTCAGGTTTTGCATTGAATGGAAACGTCAAAGGGGCTCTCAGACTGTTTTCAGAAATGGAACATTCCGGGATCAAGCCAGACGATATTACTTTCATTTCCATGTTTACTGCTTGTAGTTATGGTGGCACGGCAACTGAAGGTCTTAGATTGCTTAACAAAATGTGCAGTGTGTATGGAATTGAACCAAAAAGTGAACACTATGGATGTATAATCGATATTCTTAGTCGGGCTGGACTTCTAGCAGAAGCGAAGATCATAGTAGAGAAAATGCATAGTTCTAAGTCGCCATCTGAGGAAGCTCTTGCATGGAGAGCATTGCTGAGTGCTTGTTGCAGCCACGAGCACATACAGTTGGCTGAGGATGCTGCAGAGAAAGTTGTCGAGCTTGAAAACCACAGTGGTCCTTATGTGCTTCTGTCGAATATGTATTCGGCTGCTGGAAGACATGATTTGGCTAAAAGAATAAGGAAAAGGATGCAAAGCCGAGGGATAGAAAAGGCACCAGGTTGCAGTTCATTGGAGATTAATGGAGTTGTTCGTGAGTTTATTGCTGGTGAGAAAACACATTTGCATAGGGAAGAAACATTTCTGTTACTGGAAATGGTTAATAAGCATTCAGAATGTGTATGATGTGTACACTTGAGAGTCGATACTTCACTTACAATACATTGTTGTTTTTAAAAATGGATTAAATGATTTACTGTTGAAAATTAACAATGATCGATGGAAAACAAACACTACGAATTTAAATTCCTTGGATTCTATGCGGCGTTTTACCCGTATTACGTGTACAAAAGCTACATCAGAAAAAACAAACAAGAAATGTGCTGTTAAGTTCACAACAGAATAAACTAAGGAGACAAAAATTTGGGTGAACAATTGTGAACTACATTAAACTCTATGAGCAGAGAGGGTACTTATACTGCTCCCATGATGTGTAATTGCGATGTTATAAAGGATCTACTTTTATATAAACATTTACTGATTATTGGATTCTAAGTGGGCTAGAATGCCATATCTGCATCAGAAAGCTCGAGCACTTTGTGAACCCCAATTGGATTTACACCTTGTCTGAATGAGTTACCTTCAATGTACCTGCACCCGAACCGAATTGAGGTCAGACTCATGAAATAATCACAAATGGGAAGCTGCACTTGCAGAATGATAGAAGAAAAGAAGCCAGGCTCACATTTCTTTCAAGAAAGGATGCTTGTAAAATGCATCTGGAATCCTCCCAGAAAATTGATTGTGATCCAAATACCTACAACACCATGAAAAAAGGTATAAAACAAACAATAAAAGCACGCTGCTGTGCACACACACAACATGAACAGGTCTGTTGGGAAGAACACTTACAAGTAAGTTAACTTAGGGATATGAGCAATGCTTGATGGAACAATTCCAGACATTTTGTTGTAGGATAGATATCTATCATCACAAAAATGAGTAAGTATATCAACTTCAACAGTCGCATATAATTTTCTTTTTTTTTTAAACAGAAAAAAGAATGCCGATACATGGTGAAATTAACATGCTTGTGTAAGATTGTAATAACTTCCAAACTTACAAGATTTCCAAATTTGTCAAATTTGCAAGCTGAGCCGGAAGCCCTCCAGTAAGATAATTGTTATTAAGGTAACTGCATCAGAGTTAAATGAAGCAAGAACTTAAACCAAAGAGGAATAGAGAATTACATGCAAATCTACAACTGATACATTTTACTAAAAGCATTTTGCGCACTCAAGGTACTTACAGGTTACGAAGAGCAGGAAAACAACCTTCAATCTTTATGAGTTCCCTTATAGTGCCGACCAAATGATTGTTACCAACATCTCTACAAGAAGAGGTACAATTACATGGATCGTCAACAAAGAAACAAATCCAAACCCCAAAAAGATACATTTAAAATGTAGATAGAACTTACAGGTGTCGCAGATTTTGTAAAGTACCCAATTCTGGAGGAACACGTCCAATAAACCGGTTCTCATGCAGATGCAGGTAACGAAGCTCGGGAAGATTGGCAAGCTCCTTTGGAATTTCACCTTTGAAATTATTAAAACTCAAATAGCTGGAGAGCATCAAAGGGAAGGCTTGTTAGCTATAACACCATATGACCGTAATTTTCTTACAGCCGAGAATGAGGAGCAAAATGTGAAGAAAACTCACAGATGAGTGAGCTGCTTTAGTTCTCCTATTTCAGGAGGAATAGCATCTTGCAGCTTATTCCACCTCAAATTACTGGAAATAAAGACCAAACAGAAAAGACAAGAATTAGCAACCCCGCAACTCTCAAACAAAAAAAAAGAAGTAACAAAAGAAGTCCTATGAGTTCTTTCTTTGGATAAAGGTAAACAAAACCATGCAGGGTTTCTTGCTTCCCTGCTAAAATATCAATATCCCAGAGCATGAAACAACTACCAGCCCTCCCCCCTCTCAACCCACACCGCCAAGTTCTATTGTATCAAAGCACAGCAACAATTCAGTTCAGTTCAGAAAGTTCACATCAGATAAAGGGAATCATGCAATGAGCAGTCAAGTAACTACTACAAATCCCTTATTTGGTCAGCGGAACCCAAATCAAATTTCCATTCAGCAGCTAACATAATAAATAAACCAAATTTATCCATTATCCAATATTTTCTCAAGTGATCATAAACCTCTATATCTTCTTTTTCTTTTTGGCTTTTTTCCCTTAACCCAACTTCAGTACATTACGAGATAAACAAACCCCTGATCTATAATGTGCTGATTATCCAATGACAACATTTACTCTGTCTATTTGCATAAATAGCATGTCATCAAGGAATGCAATTCTAATCAGGTAAAAGACCATACAGCATTTTGAGACGCTTCAAACGCTCAATTTGAGGAGGAATTGGACCAGTCAGCTTATTATTGTGAAGATCCCTGCAACATACCCAAAAAAAAATAATATCAACCATCAAAGAGATCAAAACACTCTACTTGGACTCCATGTGGGGATAATACGGGACAGGATGTAGAAATATCGATACAAATTTTATTAGACATTAAAGGACCAACAGTTGCAAATTTACAGATACATTGAGTAACTCAAACCCTGACCCTGCTATGTTTTACTATAGTGTCAAAGAAGACAGACCGCTAAATCATGCAAGGTTGAAGATGCATGAGGTTTTCACCAATTCTGGCACATGCAACACACATAACATGTCAAGAGTTTAATTCAGATATAAGAGCTCTAAATTAAGGAGTTGAATGAAAGGGTATAGACAATGAAGCCAAGAGTAAATCATACAGCCTCGTGAGGTCCAACAAATTGGTCACAGCTGTTGGGAAAGGGCCGACAATGGAAACTGCATAAACTTCCCTGGATGTTCATGGCAAGGAAATAAGAAATTCCATCAGAAAATGTCTAAAGAAGAACACCACAACATCATCACCACAATACGAGGGTTAAACTTACAGTTCAGTAACGACTTTGTAGTCTCCCACGTTGGACTGTGAGCATGTAACTCCAGACCAAGGAGGCAAGTCACCCTCTCCACATGGATCTTCTCCAACCCAAGCATATACCACACGCCATCCAAGAGATGCTTTAATTTCGTTCAAAGCTTTAACTGCCGTGATACATCAAGATAAACTTAGTCCATAAACCACCTCAACCTAAGCTGAATTTAACATTAAAAAAAGTCCCTCATTGAATTCAACCAGGAGGAAATGGCACTCCATAAAAATTCCATAATTGAATAAACGTGATCCTGACATCTAGATATCCATATCCAACAAAGCAATCAAGTTCGTAATATTGATTAAGTTCATTTCAAAATAACCAAATTTCAGTTAGGCAGGCAGCTTTCTACCTAGCAAACCAAACCCTAAAAATAAATAGAATGCTTGAATTATAAATACCATAGGCAATAATTGATTTGAACTAGCACTAATCACTACACTAATTTGCCAATCGCATTGAATACCCGGTCAAAGCAAAAAGGAGAAATGTAATCCTACGGCATGAAAAAAGAAAAGAAAGATTAAACTAAATAATAAAAACCACAGCCAGATCAGAACAGAGAGGGAAAGAAAACCAACAGAGAAAAAGTCAGTCAGTTGAGGTTTAAGGAACCGTACCATCGCGCTTGAGAGTTTTCCCGCTAGCGACGTCATTAAGGAGCAGAAGAATTAGCAGAAAAGCCGCAGGCGTCCAGTGACACCGACGATCAAGCGCCATTCCGGTCAGACGCAAAACGAAGCGTCGGTGATTTCTCGCTTGTTCTAAATGTAGACAAGACTATCCTCTTCTACTCTTCAGATTCCAATGTTCTCTTATCAGATAAACATTCCGGCGGCGGATTAAGCAGAGGGAAACCGGAGATGGGAACGGAGATCGGAAAGAGTCCGTTAGGGCGTGAAGGTGTGAGATCTTCCGGTTTGAGTAATCAATCAGTGGAGAAGTATAATAAATGAAACGCGGAAGAAATGGGATTGGCTGCTCTTTCCCGTCGGTGGATTATTAATTCTTCCTTTCTTTTTTTCCCTTTTCTTTTTTTTTTTTTTTGTAATTTTCCTTTTCTCAACTAATTCAATAATTGGGGACTTTTTTTCTCAACTCTTTTCAGAAAAAAAATAAATAAACGGGGACTTTTTTTTTTTCCTTACTTCTTTTTCCCTGTTCAGAATCAAAGACTATTTTCACTCTTATAGGGGAATTTTCTTTGTTGGTAACTTCTGGATTTAATTAAAAACGAATAGTAGTCGAATCTAGAAACGTCGCGCAATGAAAAAAGAAAACAAATCACTTTTATGACACGACTATGAAATTGTTAAAATAAGAAGAACAAAGTTTTAGCATTCTTTGAAATATGGTGTATGTGTTTGGTACCTTTACAGTTTACACACTTGCAAGAGTGCTGCAGTAACTACAACATGAATTCATTACCCAAAAATGAAAAAACAAATTAAAAAAGGAAAAAAAAAATCTTATTGGCCTATTTATTCAACACTTGAGCCTCAAATGGAAATTTTTGATGATTGCTTGCAGCATCATTAACATGAGCAAATATCGAATGCATATATTCTACTGCATAGGATGATGCATTCAGACGCTTTTAGGCTGAATGTAGATGATATTAATTTGGATAAAGAAGATTATGCAATAAACTAAAAAAAAAAAGAAATACCCCCTCCGTCCCGTAATTATTGTCCAGTTTTACTAAAATGAACGATTTTATTTTTGATCAAATTTAACTATATTTTACCTTAAATAACCGGATATACCCCTACATAAGTAATTGTTTAATCACTAAGATTTTATGGATAATGTTTTTTACTAAGGACAAATGTGTAACTTGATCTATAAAAAGTCAAATTTAGACAATAATTTTGAAACAAAATTTTTTGGGCAAAGTGGACAATAATTATGGGACGGAGGGAGTACTACGTAGTATATCCAATGTTTGCACCCAATACTTTCTATTGTCAAAAAATGATGCCCCTTCCTCCTTTCAATGTACTAGTATTTAAGTAGCATCCGCAACAGAAATCCATATTGCGTTTGATTTTCTTTGCTTCAAATTTGCACAAAATAACTATTGTCCTTGATTATATATGGCAGAAACATTTTCAAAAGGTATATTCCCTTACAATTATATATGCTCTAACTGCCCAAAATGATTATTACGTTATTAGATTTGTTATATTGTATTAAAAGCAGTATAAAAATTGAATAAATATTTTTGGAAGGATGAAGTACAACCTATTTTTGGATTATTGTGAAGAAAAATGTTAAGATACATCAGAATGTGACATCCTAGTACCCTTTTTTCCTCATTGAACCTTTTTTTGGCAACTTTTTCAAGGTGTCAAAAACCCCAAAATTTCACGAGTTATTTATGAGTGGGTACCTAGTCCTAGGAAGCTAAATCCTATAATTCCCTGTCATCCCTGCTCAGTAACAGTGCTTTTTTTTTTCTTTTTTTTTTGGGAAGAAGTAATAGTGCTCAGTGCTCAGTGCTCAGTGCTCAGAAACAAGAACAAAACTTCCAAACAAACAAACATGAAAGATAAAATATACCAGAACCGGGGGGGAAAAAGAAGTAAAATTTGAAGAAATTTATGTAAATGTATCCATAGATTGAATTTACATGGCTATATTTGAAGTGAGATTAAAGAAAAGGGCAAAAAAAAAAAAAAAGAAAATGGAAAAACACACCAAATGGCCAAGAAATTCCTTTGGGCTTTCATTCCTTCTTCTACCCTATAATAAATGTATCATGAGAATTAATGGAACTCATGGGCTTCTCTTGATCTTCATGGCTTACTCGTTTTTCCATCTCCAAACCAAAAAATTTGAACCGAAGACTTGCCCCCGTTCCATACCCCCAAACTGGGCTGACTATTTCCAAGCTTGTTTTCGTTGCTCCCAACCGTTTGATGAAAGTTCTCTGAATCCGCCACCACCAAAGACCAAAAACAAGAGTGGAAATAGCAAAAAAAAAAAGAAAAGAAAAGAGCCCCCTCTAAAGTCTAAACGGATTAAAATGGTAAAAAGAAGCTGGTACCTCAAAATGGTATTCAAGAAAGTGAAGGAAACAAAAAAGGTAAGAATTCAAGAAACGGAAAGAAAGAACATGGGCTAATTAGAATTGTACGGAAACCGGAGATGATGAAATGGGGAGAAAGCAAATTTGTCTTCTTTTCGTTTATTTTCTTCAGTTATGAAGAGGGTTGGGGCCAGAAGGGACTAATCGTTTCTCGACGCCATATCTTGGGTCAATCTCATAATCCCCCGGCGAAGAAGAAGACGGCGGAGTTGGTGGCGCCAGAGCAGGGAAAGGCGGGCAGTAATGGCGGATTCTCTGAAGCTGAAAGCACACAACATGCGGCGGCGACCCTTTAGCACCGCCACCGCCTGGAATTGAGATGGAATTCCAATCAGCCGTACTCCGACCATGAACCGCCGCCAAATGGTGGCGCCTGGTCTTGACTTCTTGAAGCAACAATCTTGACTTGGATTCTTGATGAACTGATGCTGACTCCGCCGTAGAAATCAACGTCAAGAACATGATCAACATCAGAATGAAGCCCATTAAAGAAACAGAAATGAAACGCCCAGTTGATGAAGAAGATTCAGGGGCCATCTTCATCATCATCAGCATCATTGATGGATTTACACACAGTGGGTGGTGGTGTATGTGTCAACTTGTGATTTTGGATTGTTGGGTTAATCTTCTTTTTTTTTTTTCTGAATTAAATGGAAGTAGTAGTAATGAATTGGGTGTGGGGGTGGGCTATATAATTTTTGCTCTGATCAATCAATGAAATCACGAATATTTGTTTGCACTGAATCAAATGCTGGTGGTGAAGAAAAAGGGGGAAGAGTGTTATTTATAGCCATCCGCATTAAATTTAACATCAACAGTTCAATTGGTTTTTGTGAGCTTGTAAAATTTAAGATTGTGGGACAATTCAAAAGATTAGGACTTCTCTCATTTTGAAGCGGGATTTAGTTAAGTAGTTTAACTGTAAACATCTACATTTAATGCTTGAATTCGTCCTCTTTGGCCTTTTCTTTTTTTCTTTTTTTTTTTCTGGAGGGAAAAATGAAAAAACTCTGAATTAATTATCTGATAAACACTTGTAACCATCGTTCTTTTTGTTCTTCACCAGCTAGTTGTTGATATAATTTTTGGTAGTTAGTCATCATTGAGAAATGCGGAGATAAGTTGATTTTGAATTTTTGTTTTCTATTCTTTATCTAAGAATTATATGAATTAGTGTTAGGAAGTGTGTGTGTGTGTGTTTTCCTATCACTGTCAATTATACAAAATTTGCGCACAATTTTGGAAACTGAAAAAGATCATCTCGCCTATTACTAATTGATTATGTTTTGGACATCCATGATCCATAACCAAGTGAAATAACATGGTCAATAATACAGAAATGTCACGAAATATCCAATTCATAGTTAATTGATTTCACCTTCGCAAACCATATTACTTGCCATATTCTCCTTGTTTCAACCCTTTATTTTTCATTCTAGCTACGTGAAAGGCATTTTTCTCAGTGATCTTTGTTTCAATCTTGCAATTCTCATCTAGATGCACTTGATTAGTTTTTGATAGTGTTACCACATAGTTAAAGTTGATTGAGTCTAGCCGTTCCTTCATGCTGATGCTATTTTGTGTAATTGTTTCTCACATTCGTTTAAACCTGTCCTAGTACACAAATTCACTATTTCCATCACTATTTTGTTGGAAAACCTAAAACAATTAGTAATTAAATTTAATTCAATAGTAGACTATTAAAGTAAGACTGACGCCCTTGTTACTCAAGTAGCGGGATGAAGAATTTGACCACTATGAAGTGGGCTAGTGCGGTGATAAATTGGTGGGCCGAAAATGACAATGCTTGCAGCTTGCCAACCGTCAAACGAAAATTCGCCCTGGTCAACACAAAATGCGGAAATAATTCATATTTTCCCGCCATAATAGTTTTAGCGCCAGAAACTGGAGTCATGAAAGACAAAAAAAAAACGGAGAAATTCTTTTTGGGACATTATATTTCCAGTCTTGAATCACAACACAACCCCACTGCACAATAGTGGTAAAACTAGTTTCACCAATGCAAGTAACTTTACCTCGATCTTAATAGGGAATATGTGTTCTGCATGGTTCTTAATACTCCCTCCGTCCCATAATTATTGTCCACTTTGTCTAAAAAATTTTGTCCCAAAATTATTGTCCAATTTGACTTTTTATGGATCAAGTTATACATTTGTCCTTAGTAAAAAACATTATCCATAAAATTTTAGTGGTTAAACAATTACTTATGTAGGGGTATATCCGGTTGTTTAAGGTAAAATATAGTTAAGTTTGACCAAAAATAAAATCTTTCATTTTAGTAAAATTGGACAATAATTATGGGACGGAGGGAGTATAAGATATTTTGATTTGTCCTAACTTTTATCTAGTACGCATTTTTAATTGATAAAAAAATCTTAAAATATTTCCTAACAATTAAGAAAACACAACGAATGTGAAAATATTTTCAAAATGCGTAGAGAATATGTGCCCAATTCCAAACAACGTTAGTCTCCCTTCAAACTTTAACCTAGAAGGTTATTGATTTCTGAACGATAATGATTCACCTTTGCAGCCAACTGCAAAACATAAGCGCCCATCTCGTCGACAACCTTCCACGTCGAATTTATCTTGGCATAGGCGGCGTCCCTTTCTGCCATCAAAATTAGTTAGTTAATATGACGACTAATCAAATTAAAAAATAACAAATAATTACTCCTTTCGTCCCAAAATTATTGTCCAAATTAAGATTTCAGTTTCAGTATAATTTCAGTTTTTTATTTTCTCGATTTTACTTCCTTCAATGAATCCACTGGTTTAATCAAATCATCTTTAGCAACATCAGTTTGTTTAATCAGATCATCGATGTCCGCCATTGCCGAAGAGAAAATAAAAACGAATGTCATCTAACAGAAAACAAACCGCTTTTACAAAAGAAAATCGAGAAACAACCCAGATCTAATGAAAACCCAAACAAATGAAGAGACAATTTTTTTAGAACATGAAGTAAAACTTAACTAACAAGATAATAATAGCAGAACATGTCTAACAACATAGTATTCAAAATTAAAATTACGACAATACTTGTAAATTTTCTTTTCCTTTTTTCGTTATAAAAAAAGAGGCAAAACCTGATTATACTATTTCTAAGGTAAGAGACCCTTATAATACTTGTAAATTTTCGGTGCTGAAGATTGGCAATGGTTTAACCAATTCCATTTAAATTTTTGGCAAGAAATCGTAAACTTGTGCTGAATCTTCTTGGTCAAGGTAGATCATTAACCAATTCCCCCGTGCCCAAAGCTTAAAAAAAGGTCTTTTTAGTTTTTACTCAAAATGGTTAGCACATTTTGTCATTTGACTACCTAAAATAAAACAGTAAAACGGCGTTCACGGTTTAATGTGAAAGTGACAGTGGACTCGGGGCTCGGCATATTCGCCCATTCCTTTGGCCCTTTTCCAACTACTGAAACTCGATATACTATTTTAAGAAAGTCCGCCATGGATAACATATGACTCAAGCTCATCATTCTTCCTTCCCTTCCAACTTCCAAGTTCTCTCTCTGAAAAATGAACCCTCTTCAGTTCTCCTTCATCTTCCTTCACCTCACTTTGTTACTTCACTTTTCGTCAGCTGCTCCGGCGTTGACTATATCCGTGACTCCAAAAACACTTTCCAAGTCCGGTGACCCGGTTCACATCCAGTGGTCCGGTGTTGAATCGCCTTCCAGACTTGATTGGCTTGGAATTTACTCCCCTTCCACCTCCCCCAACGACCATTTTATTGGGTATATCTTTCTGTCGAGCTTAGCCGGATGGGAATCAGGATCCGGGACCGTTTCAATCCCGTTAGTCAACTTGAGGTCCGATTACCAGTTTCGGATCTTCCGATGGACGGAATCCGAGATGATGAACGCCACGAGCTTTGACCAAGACCATAACCCACTTCCTGGAACAGAGCATATGTTGGTGGCGTCGGAGGAGATCGGGTTTCAACCGGGTATGGGGCCAGAGCATGTGCACTTGGCGTTGACGGGTCGTTTGCATGAGATGCGGGTCATGTTTGTGACACCCGATGGGAAGAACAATACTGTGAGATATGGGTTGACCGAACAGAATCTGGATCAGGTTGTGGGAACTGAAGTCTCGAGGTATGAGCGGGAGGATATGTGTCATCCACCTGCAAATGATTTTGTTGGTTGGAGAGATCCCGGTTATATACATGATGGTGTTATGACTAATTTGATCAACGGAAAGAAATATTATTACCAGGCAAGTAAAAATTAGATTTTTGACTTGTTTGATTTGTTTTATGTATGATCTGAGAAGTGTAATTAGATGGAGTATTAATTTTTTTTTTGGTTACTTCAGACTAGGATCATAGTATCTGACTTAATTCAATTCACTTAATTGTACAGATTCATTTTCAGTAATAGTTCTGTACGCTTAGAGCTTTTGGATTATGTACACATTATGTAGCTTTTGGAATTTATCATCTGTACATATCGTGCAGCCATCTCTGTCCTTGTAAGGGGGAAGAACAGATGGTTTTATGATCTGTCCTCATCATGCTACTGTTATTCTTCTTTCCTTTTGTCTTTTGCTTGTTTCTGCAATCCGTTGGCTACAAAATTGAACTGATTAGTCACTTAAAATGGAATGCTTGTTGTGGGGAAACTGTTGCTTCTTTAAATTCAAATTGAAAGGCCTTCCTGTAATCTGAAGTTGTTGTCTTTCTTACAGGTTGGTAGTGATTCAGGAGGATGGAGTGATATTTTCAGCTTTGTTACCCCAAAGACCCATTCGAAAAAAACTGTAGTTTTCTTGTTTGGTGACATGGGAACTGCTGCACCTTACATTACCTTTGATCGGACACAGGAGGAAAGCAGTTCAACCGTGAAATGGCTACTCCGTGATATTGAAGCACTCGGTGACAAGCCCACGTTTATCTCCCACATTGGAGACATAAGCTATGCTAGAGGTTACTCATGGCTTTGGGACCAATTTTTCCATCAAATTCAGCCTATTGCCTCCAGAGTTCCTTACCATGTCTGCATTGGTAATCATGAATATGATTGGCCATCACAGCCGTGGAAGCCTGATTGGGCTAGCAAGTTGTACGGCTCTGATGGTGGCGGTGAATGTGGAGTGCCATATAGTCACAGATTCAAGATGCCTGGGAACTCTTCGCAAGTAACTGGAACAAGCGCACCTGCCACTAGGAACCTATTCTATTCTCTTGATTTCGGGGTAGTGCATTTTGTGTATATGTCAACTGAGACAAATTTTCTCCCGGGAAGTGATCAATATGAATTCTTGAAAAATGACTTAGAATCTGTTGACAGGCAAAAGACCCCATTTGTGGTTGTTCAAGGGCACAGGCCTATGTACAGCACCTGCAATAGGCCGAAAGAGATCCCCTTGAGGAAGAAAATGATTGAGCACATAGAACCTCTTCTGGTGAAGAACAAAGTGAGTCTTGTGTTATGGGGTCATGTGCATAGATACGAGAGATTCTGTCCTCTAAATAACTATACTTGTGGGAGCTTGGAGAAGAATGGTGAGGATAACTGGGAGGCATATCCAGTGCACATAGTGATTGGGATGGGCGGACAGGACTGGCAAGGACAGTGGCTACAGAGGGAAGATCATCCCAGTGATCCAGTTTTTCCGCAGCCAGAGCAATCTCTGTTCCGTGCGGGCGAGTATGGCTACACTAAACTTGTGGCGACGAAGAAAAAGCTCAAACTTTTTTACATAGGAAATCATGATGGAAAGTTGCATGATATGGTGGAGATAATGGCACCAGGAGTAGCTCCAAGTGCCTTTATGGAGATGGAAGCCATGGATTGTTGGTACTACGTGAAGAACCTCTCTCTGATGGTGCTTGTAGGCTTTGTTGCATATTTCCTTGGTTTCACATCACATTGCAGAAGGAATGTGACTGAGAACAGCGGCTGGACTCGCTTAAAGGCTGAAGATGTATAAACAAGTTTTACAACACATTTCTACCACGAAGTTTTTATAATTGCGATTGCAGTTCATCATTCTGATCAATACAGCAAGATATGCTTGCAAATTTGCATTTTAATTGATGTGACCAGATCCCTACTGAATGCATAAAGATGTTTATAGATTTGAATAACACGGTAGAAAAACACGCGACGGCATCAAGAAAACAAAATTGCATCAGTTTACACCTAAAATTTGTTCCAAATGACTTTCTTTCTAGATCAAGTGACGTTGTTTAGTCCAATCTATCACAATCAATATAGAGAAATGTATGAACCAATTTGTTGCTTCAAGCAATGAAAAAGAGTTTGATTAGAATGAATAGGTTGGCACTTGGCCTAAGAATATTCATATCTATTATCCTGTGTACCTTTCCAAATGTTCCTACTGACCATCTCAATCAGTAGAGAAGGAAAAAAAAAAAAAAAAACCACCTCAATCACACAGAAAATAAAAAAAATCAAAGGAAGATAAAGAAAATAGAGTCGAAAGTACAAAAACACCCTCCTTTCTCCCTCTTTCCAATTTCCATCATCAGGACCAAGCTGAAAAAAAACAGGAATAAGGAAAAAACTTCAAAGCTCATCTCCTAAGCTGAACATGGTTTTGCTAAATCCAAGATTGATTACCTTGTTATTTTCTTTGTTGATTCTTGTCCCACATTTTTCATATTCCGAAGTCTCAATTTCAGTGACTCCAAAAACCATTCCAAAGTCAGGGGATGAAGTCACGATCAAATGGTCCGGGGTTGATTCCCCTACAAAGCTCGATTGGCTCGGTATTTACTCGCCGGCGAATTCATCCCACAAAGACTTCATTGGCTACTTCTTCCTGTCTTCCTCACCCGGTTGGGAATCTGGGTCGGGATCCATTTCTTTCCCTCTAATCAATTTGAGATCTCCGTACCAGTTTAGGATTTTCCGGTGGTATGAGTCGGAAGTCAACACCAAACATCACGATCACGACCAAAATCCTTTACCTGGGACGAAACATTTGGTGGCTGAGTCGGATGCAATCGGGTTTGAACCGGGTCGCGGTCCTGAGCAGATACACTTGGCTTATACCGGTAAGGAAGATGAGATGCGGGTCATGTTTGTGACTCCAGATGGTAAAGAGAACTCTGTGAAATATGGGTTGAGCCAGGAGAAATTGGATCGGGTAGTAGGGACTCAGGTTGTGAAGTATGAGAGGGAGGATATGTGTGATTCTCCAGCCAATGACAGCATAGGGTGGAGGGACCCTGGATTTATTCATGATGGGGTTATGATTAATCTGATGAAAGGAAAGAGATATTTTTATCAGGTAATTCTTGTTTGAATCTCTCAATTACTGCATAAAATTTTTTTGTTTGCTATGGTTGATTTTCTGTTTATTTTCACTTGTCTTTTAATGCCGTGTCTTAGCTTAGACTATAAAGAATGGTTCTTTTTGGCTTTACCGTTGGTTATGGTGGAGTGATTGACTTCTTGTAATCTGTAACTCTTCACTGAGGATGGACTTTGAGGTTTAAAGGAAGAGTTCTTCTTTCTCTGGGAAGATTACAATCTTCAGTTTGCGTGATTTGCGGACAAAGTAATGTCAACTTATCTGTAATTCAATCACTTAGCTTATTAATACCATGCACACTCTGCTGTTATATCAGAGAAGCTGTTTGACATGCTTTGCATGTAGCTTGAATCTTTCAACACTGGCTAAGTGCTCTTGGTACTGTACTACTGTTATTGGCATGATGGTCTCGTAATTCACTTATTGCGTTCTCTTACAACTCGTATGATCTCTTTGATAAAGATTACAGGTGGAATTTGGTGGTTTTGAGAAATGTTGCACTTGTGAATGTTGAAATCTGAAGGTGTGGTATTTCAACTAGCCTTAAAACTGGAACAATTAAGTTTAGTTAGTTGCATTTGAAATGTTAAATTTGGGTTTAAAGGTGGACCAGTATCAGTATGATGAGTCATTGTTTGGTGCCTAGGTCACCTCTTTATTAGTTGGGTTTTGCATTTGCAAGTTCCATGATTATGCATATGAGATTTTACTGAAAACAAATGCATGTAGGTGGTCTCTTATGTCTGACATAAAGCTTATTTCTGCCAGCATTCCTTAGAGGCAGTTATAATCTAAATGCATGTTTTATGCATGTAAGACAAGAATTTGGAACAGCTTCCTCTGTCTCCAGATTAGATGCATGTTTGATCTCTGTTATATATTGGCCATTTTAGAGTCTAGAACTGTAGATGCTTATATCTGACTTTGTTGGTATGAGGAGTACAGGTTGGTAGTGATTCTGGTGGCTGGAGCGTCATCCACAGCTTCGTCTCACAAGATCTAAATTCAAACGAAACCGTAGCTTTCTTATTTGGAGACATGGGGACAGCAACACCATACTCAACTTTTCATCGCTCACAGCAGGAAAGTATAGCTGTGATTAAGTGGATTAGTCGTGATATTGAAGCTCTGGGTGACAAGCCTGCCTTAATTTCACATATTGGAGACATAAGCTATGCTAGAGGCTACTCATGGTTGTGGGACAATTTCTTTAATCAGATTGAACTGGTTGCCTCCCGGGTTCCTTATCATGTATGCATTGGTAACCATGAATATGATTGGCCTCTGCAGCCTTGGAGACCCGAGTGGTCCTATGCAATGTATGGAAAAGATGGCGGCGGCGAATGTGGTGTACCTTACAGTCTCAGGTTCAACATGCCTGGAAACTCTTCTGAATCAACAGGAACACGTGCACCGGCCACTAGGAATTTATATTATTCTTTTGACTTGGGACCTGTACATTTTGTATATTTTTCAACTGAAACAAATTTTCTTCCTGGGAGTAAGCAGTATGAGTTTCTGAAGGAGGACCTGGAATCAGTTGATAGGAAAAGGATGCCTTATGTTGTTGTCCAAGGACACAGGCCAATGTACACTACCAGTTATGAAACCAGAGATGCCCCTCTTAGGATGAGAATGCTTGAGCACTTGGAACCTCTGCTTGTGAATAACAACGTGACTCTTGCGCTTTGGGGACATGTACATAGATATGAAAGGTTTTGCCCATTAAATAATTTCACTTGTGGAAGCTTAGGCATGAATGAACAGGATTGGAAGGCTTACCCAGTTCATGTCGTGATTGGGATGGCTGGCCAAGATTGGCAACCTATATGGGAACCAAGACCAGACCACCTCGAGGTTCCTGTTTTCCCTCAGCCTGTTCGATCTATGTATAGAGGAGGGGAATTTGGTTACACCAGGCTTGTCGCTACCAGGGAGAAACTCATCTTCTCCTATATAGGAAACCATGATGGAGAGGTGCATGACTCTGTGGAAATCATGGCATCAGGTCAAGTCATCAATGGTGAAGGTGTCAATGGCATTGTTATGAGCAAAGCTGAAGTAGAATCTTCTGGGAACAAAAAAATTACAGAATCAGCATTCTATTGGTATGTAAAGGTGGGTAGTGTATTATTTCTTGGAGCTTTTATTGGTTACGTTGTTGGGTTCGTATCTCATTCTAGGAGAGATGCTGCATCTGGTAGGAACTGGACGCCAGTTAAGAATGAGGTTATATAGATCTGTATCTCCGTTTGGAGATGCATGGTAATATATCTCCGTTTGAAGATGCATGGTAATTAGAAGAACACCACCTGGTATGTATAGCTCTTTCCTCGTAGGCAAGGTTGGCTCTTATCCCGAGTATTGTACACCATACAATGAGTTAGACTCTTGGAGATGCTAAAGATGATTGTAAATTGGATGTTAGACTTAAATATACAGTGTATTGTATCTGGAGGCTATTGGATATCACTTGTGTGATGCATTGAGCTGCAAATGTGTTCGAAGAAATGCTCCACTGTTGTATTAATCTCAGACAAAAGGTTTTTGGCTTTGCAACGTGCTGCAACTAATTGATTCAAGTGAATATCCTCCAGCCTTGGCACTCTGTGGGATGCAGGTGCACCTGTTTTTCCAAGTTTTCAATGTATGTAGGAATAGCAAATGATCCATCAGTTTTGCACACTTATTAGTGGTAGGAAGGTTGTACAATAAAAGGAAATATACATGTAATCCTTTTGGTTTCAGATGATATATGCTAATGACTGTTGTTTCATTTAGCCCAAACTAGTTATTTAGTTCTGCATTTAACAAGTTTGTTTGCGGAATCTACGCCATAGTTGCTGAATTCATTAACCTTTGTACGGTTGTATCCCACTCTTTCTTAGATATACTACTAAATCATCACGTGTTACATGCAGCATTCAGAAAATTTAGCAGCACTACCAGTCTGTGACTCTGTTTCTGACTTTCAGTTAAACAAACAAGTTCAAGTTTGGAAGGGTTGGGATTCTTTTTCAGGAGAAAAAAAGAGAGGCGAGACCGATTTCTGAAAATCGCGGGGTTTAATCATAACTTCTACAAAAGCATTATACAAAATGATCTTGTGGACTAAAAATTGCTGCAAAATTGAAAAGACATCGAAAAGAGGGAAACGGTCCTAGAATGTGGTGATCTTGCTAGGTAGCCTGTCTAATCTGGCTGTTTCGGTATGGAGAGCCAGTCTCTCATTTCCCCAGCAACTTGCGTGCTCGTTGATTGGCACCTTTCACTCGTGAGTTAAGCTCATCCACATCATCGGACAAATGATCAAGTGCTTTGTTCTGCCTGTAATTTGTACAACTTATATTAACATCCATGAAATACAAAAGAAACAGAGCTGTAGCAGAAACAGAGTGGTGTTGTTATGCTTCATAAATTCAGTGAAGGAAATACAACTGACCTCTCAAGCTCAGACCCCATGTCAACAGCCATGCCTTTAAGGTCACCTAGAATGTTGCTCAGATCAGAAAGAGCATCATCTTGCTTTGCCTTCTCCAGCTGATTGTACAAAACACCAGTATAAGCAAAGTAGGTTTTAGTACCCAAATGAAACAATCACATATCCGAATATTACTCTCTACCTCAACTTGCTCCAAGGCATTTGTTGGTTCTGGAGGAGGAGTTTTCGAGTTCTTTCCTTTTGGAATAGGAGCTAATCCAAGCTTCTCTCTTTGTTCATAACTTGCTTTCTTTCCCTTGGCATTGTTATCTGTCAAGCCAAATTAAACTCAATGTCAAGTTTGAACTGTAGATAGCATCTTCAAGTCAAGATGTTGGACAATAAGCAAGCAATAAACAAAGTAGATAGATGATGATCAAGAGAAAGTGAAACCTGGAGTGGTCACAGGTCCATTGATCTCGCGTGTCTTCTTCGGTTTCCAGGGCTTTGAGAACATGCCCCCAAGATTATTCAGCAATTTTTCACCCTGGAATGTGGTTTCACAATCAAATCAATAATCATTAGGGCTTGCAAGAACTGATAAAACCAGACACATTGAGAAAGGGTCTAAAAGCAACCTTGCTTAAATCTTTGTCCATGTCTACAGCCATCACATGAGTCCTATTTATTTGTTCACCTTGTTGGTGCAATGTTTCAAGAGTCCGAGCAGCATCCTGTTTGATGTCCTCGGCGATTTTCAGGCAGTTGTCGACGCTTTTCGTGGTCTGCTTGGCTTGGTCCACGGCATAACCCTCCAATTCTTGAACAGACATGCTGTCCAAGTCTTTCTTATTCCGGTTCCTGGTTGGTTTCCCTCTGCCAAAATAACCGTCATCGTCGTCGTCGTCATCAGGGCCCATCAGCATTGGTTCAGAAGAAGTTCTTCTTGCAGGAGTAATAGTTGCAGGATTGTTGGTGTTTGGTCCGTCATTAGAATGAAGAGGGCTAGCATTTGTAGAAGCTGAAACTCCAGGTTCCCCTGGCTTTGGCTTGCTTTTCATAAAGCCAAACATGTTGTTGCTTAGCTATAATGATCCCTAGTCGAAGATTGGATCAAATTGATGCACCTGGAAAAATTCAACATTATGTTTACAATATTATGAATCTGACATATAAGCATTTGCAATAATGATACAACCTATTTATTTTACATTAACCCAAACACAAAACAAAAAATATTAAAAAAAAATGATATGTTTATTTGTTTCGTGAAAATAATATTGACAAGATCAACAACCACCTCCAAATTAGAATGAAACCAAGAATCAGCCCAGGAATACTACAATCAGAGATAAAAGGAATGAAAATGTAGACCTGATGTGAAGAAATTGACCGGAGGACTTAGTAAAATGTAATGTTGACCGGAGAGGAATAACTAAACCAAGATTGGGAAATGTGTTTCTATCGAAGAAAATTCTTCTTCCCTACGCCCAGAAGAACAGAAGAAAAAGAAATTTAGGTGAGAATAATTGAAACCAGAAAATGTAATTTGAAATCTGGAATTTTGTTTATTTTTTATTTTTTTTTTATTATTTTTGGAATGAAGTATTCAAAGGGAAGATTTAGAGGAGTGCCGAAAAAGCAGCTATTTGAAGATACGAGAGTCTCTCCATCTGCAACCGCTTGTTTGACACTTAGTTGACCGTTGGTTTTGCGATATTGCTCTTTCTTTTGTATTCCATCCCTTCTTCCAATATTTACTCCACTCAAGTTTTGCTTATTTGATCCTCAACCAAATTCCCAAACATGGGTCTCAAATAAGATTTTATTTTAAATTTAGCTTTTTTTACTTAAGTTCGAACCTTCTTATTCGTGCTAAGTAACCACACATTGAGGAGCCAACCACCTAAAAAAGAAAATCTATTTACATAAATATCTTTTTTTTTTTTTAGTTCAAAGAAGGAGGCTAAGAGAAGCCTAATTAGATACTACTGCGGGTATGTTATCCCAATCACGTCGTGACGGAGTCAAAGTAGCACTTCCAGCGGAGGTGTACAAAAGGTGTTCAATCCCCATTCTATTTGAGTTTGCACACCTATTAAACAGTTTACTGTGAAGTTGGCTTCGCGGTGATAATGCTTAAATTCCAACCTCCAATCCCTCTGTTTGAATTCCTGGATGCCGGAAATGATGCCAGAGTACATAAAATCTTATTTTTAATTTAACTTCTTACTAAAGTTCGTACCTTCTTATCTGGCCTACTTCAGAACACGTTAGAGTAACAATATGAGAGTGAACCTAAAATTTTGATACGCATGACATTTCAACAAGCAGAGCATGTGCGCGATGACGGTGGCATTTTTCCTCATAGTTTGTCGGTGTACGGCGATTAATCAAACACTTTGAAAAGACAAACCTTTTTTTAATGTGCATGAATTAGTTGTCAAAATCTATCATTGTGAGCAACATTCGTCCCACAATCGCGAATGTCAAAGAGAAGAAGATCTTGCCATGTTAGGATCCAAATAATTTGGGGTGGAGACAATAAAGAAAGAAGCACATGCAATATGCATATGGTGACCAAATTCTCAAATCAAAATTCCAATTAAAAAAAAAAAAAAAAAGAAGCCTCAAAAGTAACACGTCAGATCCCTCAATTTCAAGAACAGGAAAATTCAAAGTAAAGAAACAAAAATGAGATCTCTTCCAGCTAGCAAGCCAAAATTGGAAGCAACACTAGTCATCCTTCTCCAGAAACTTCCATCACTTTTCGGCCTTCTTCTTCCAAACCCTTTCAGTCCACCGGCCATCATATGAGAATCTTGGTCTGTTTACACCAAAACAAATCATAAGTTAACTCAGACAATAAATCAAGGGCCTAATAATTAGATGATGTAAACAACTAATTAAATAGATTTTGGATCTCCCTAAATATCACAACACCACAAAATTAATGTAATAGGGAGGGAATAATAACCCACAAAAAAAAAAAGGAAAAAGGTTCTTACCCATAGACGATTTCTCCCGCCGCGCCGGCGACCCTGAACAAACACAAATCACAGAAAAATAAATAATCAGAATAACCGGATGTGGAAGTATACACCAAAACTGAAAAATAAAAAAGAAAAAAGGAAAGGACATGAATAATATTCATACAATTTCCAGAGGGCTACGCCGGCAACAGAACCGATGGCAACAACCTTGACAATTCTAGCCGGAGTCCAAGCCGTCGCCGCCGCCGCCGCCGCCGCCATTGAAACTAATTGAATGAACCGGAGCTTTTTAATTTTGCTAGATCTAATACTTCTCTCGGCCACCCGCCGCTCTTCTCTCTTTCTGTGGTAATAACAAAATGCTTACAGGTGCAGCTAATAGGGCTTTGTGGTAGTTTATTTATAGGTCTAAGGGAGAAGGGCTTTTCTTGCTCCCCACGCCGCCTTATTGTCCCAATTATTCGGGATCCTGTCAATTTCCTTTTCCTGTCTGTCCAAGGAATAATATTTCCCCATTTCTTTTCCATTTTATATTCGGATTTCCCATGTGCTTTTTTTGGGCCTTTTTTAGCCCAAATTATCGGTTAACCTATTGGGCTCAACACTAAAGTTCAGGAAAATCAGCTAATTTGCCTGATTGTTTGAGCTTTTTGTACATTTTTTTATTAGTCTTTTCATTTCCAAAACTTAGGTCCATCTTGTAGTGGGAGAAGAAAGAAAACCAAAGAGTCTGCAACTAAAACATGTCCCCGTCTCAGCAAATATTTTTTATATTTTCAATACATTTTTTTACATTTTTAATACAAAAAAAATTAAAAATACATATTGAAAAAACGATCCAAACACATCCTTAAATTTCACATTACTTGGTATGAATAGGTTGATTTGGTGTTAGACGAATAGAGATACAATATCTCCCGAAATTAACTTAAGTATATATCAGTGACTAGTTTTACTCTTTGTGTAAGTTAAAATAAGTATAATCAATTCTCAAAGAATTTTTATTTTGAGACGAATTAAAATATGTTTCGAAAATAATTAACTATTATTATGGGGCTGATGAAGCATATTATAGGGACTCGTAAAATAAAATGAATGATGGTGATAACCACTTAATGACAATCAACAAAATCAATCAATATCTCTAATTAGTACTATCCCATAACCTTTTCCCCCCCTATTAAGGCTAGTTGTGAAGGTGTCATTTTCATGGTTTACCAAAGGGATAACAAACAAAGAGATGGTTGTTCAAGAATCATAACACTTTGACACACAGTAAACTTAACCCCCTTTTAATTCGTAATGATGAAATCTATGTTACAAATGGGAAAATGTATGGTAAGTGTTCAATTACAAAGTACCCTGTGATGATTTTATCATCAAGGTTCAGTGTTCCGGGGATTTATCCATTACGTCCTTTGCCCCCACTTGGGAGTTGCGATCAAATCTGTCATGATGTGTTTTAGTTTCGTGTCGGCCGGAGCTTTTTCGCCGTCGGATTTTCTCATCGACATCCTACAATCATTTACTGTATTAAAATTTGAATGTAACATCCGAACCTACAATCTTGTCAAATCTTTATATTAGCTACTTTTAGTCCTAAAATTTGGGCAAAAGATTGTTTGCAAGATTTTATACTTCTACATGTTTAATACTTGATTGATACTTCCGACCCGACTTACCTAGGGTGGTTTACTTCCTATTGTGTATGCAGGCTATTGCAATGGGCATGGGGTTTAACTATCTCTGGTGGAGTTCTTGGCGTTACCAAAAATAAAAAAATAAAAAAAAATGAACATGACAATAATTGTAAGATACGAGTAAAACTATGGTGAATGTAGCTTAACTGTAACCATAAGTGATAAAAATCCGATAACAAGAAAAGAAAACACAAAATCTGACTTGCCGAAGAAATGAAGATGAATCAACACAGCAAAATGCAAGCAATCAAAGTTACATCGATCTTTCGGTTGAGAATGATTGACTGGACTTTTGGGAGCTGAGGTTAGTTGAGAGATTTTGTCAACGGTAATACCATTATATTCTCCCAAAATAATAATGCGGTAATAAGTAAAAGAAAAAAGGCCGAAAGCGTAAGATTAAATGCCCAGTAATAAAGCCGCAAAAGGAGCTGAGATTAAAAGGTAACTATTCTCATTGGGTTTTTTGGTTAGTGACGACTTTTCTTTCTTATTCTGGAAATATTCCCACTGAAATTAAATTCTGATCTCCTAGTCACATTTCTCACACAACTCTTCTAACTCAACGTATTTAGAAAGAACTTAAACAAATATTTTAGGAGCGCTTTTGATCTATGTTGGTTGTGTTATTCGGGAAAATAAACAAGCAAAATAACAGAGTAGCGTTACATCTATTTTTCAGATTAAATTAGTAAGTATTATTGTCTTTGTCGCATCACACATCCGAATGTTCTCTTTACATTTTCAACGGCTTAAGTGGTTAACGTTAACTTTTTAAAGAAAAAAAAATTACTCCCTCTGTCCCAAAATTATTGTTCAGTTTAAGATTTCACTTTTAGTAAAATTTGAACTAGAAATAAAAATCCAAATTAAAATATAATTATGGGACGGAGGGAGTATAACAGAGGAGGACAAACAGTAAAATCGATACCAGTAAACGTCGATCAAGCTATAGGAGGGAAATGTGTGAAAGCAAATGGATTGAAGACACACACAAAAAAAAAAAAAAAAACTATATATACTATGCCGATGTATTCAACGACGGAGCTAAGAAACAGGTAGGTGAGATTGCAATACTCATTAATAAAACATTTTACATTTAAGTATTTATTGAGTCAAATTCCAAAATATTATTATACTATTATCCATTGTTTTTATAAATCTCACACTTTTGGCAAAATTTGACTCCCATGTCAAAGTATATAAGTACTTTATACTCTCATCTCAAGACCAATTAATAATGAATGAGGTGGCCTTTGAAATTTATAAACAAGTGACAGATCCCTCACGATACCGATGTGGGATTCTTTGTCCCAACAGCTAATCACACAAGTCATGAGTAGGGAGACTGACTAAGCTGGCCGGAAGAAAGAGTCTCTC